CGTGTGCGTATTGTTGAAGACTCGTCAGATGAAGACAATTCATCAGAGGACTATGTTGATGCTCTAACATCAATAAATATGGCAAAGTCTCGGACAAAACAGGACTCTGTGGGTGCAATAATGAAGGTAGGCAAATCTCTTGTTACTTTCCAAGTAGATACTGGTGCTACACCCAATCTCCTCCCTGTGAAATATGTCCCAGAAAATGTCTCAATCAAATCTACTGCTACTACTCTTAAGATGTGGAACTCTTCTACATATAAACCCAGGGGAAAAGTCTCTCTCACTCTGAAAAACCCCAAAACAAAAACTAGATACTCTGTAAAATTCATTGTTGTTGAAAATGACCAGACTCCTCTCTTAGGGTCAAAGACTGCACAGTTAATGGACCTCATTACTGTAAATGATGATAAATTCTTATCAGCACCTGTTCTTAAAATGACGGCTGAAGACCTGTGTACAGAGTACAAAGACGTGTTTGAAGGTGATTTTGGTACATTACCTGGACGTGTTACTCTTAGAACTGATGATACTGTAACTCCGAACACAGTGACTAGACAGACTGTGCCTATCTCAGTTAGACGTAAGCTCAAAGAAAAGCTTGACAAAATGACATCTCAAAATGTTATAAAACCTGTTGACAAACCTACTAAATGGGTGAGTAGCATAGCTTTGCCACCCAAGAAAAATGGTGATATTAGGGTATGTATAGACCCTAGACCTCTGAATAAGGCTCTGAAACGTGAACACTATCAATTACCTGTGCTTGATGATGTGTCACACAAACTCTCAAAAGGCAAAAAGAAACTTATGAGTATTTTTGACTGCAAAAATGGATTTCATCACCTAGTACTTGATGAAGACTCTAGTGAACTGACAACATTTATGACTCCTTTTGGAAGATACAAGTGGCTCAGACTTCCATTTGGTTTGAATGTTTCTAGTGAAATCTTTCAAAAAAGACTCAATATGGCACTTGAAGGCCTAGAAGGTGTTATCTGTATAGCTGATGACATACTGATTTATGGTCAAGGTGAAACTGACGAAGATGCAAGTATTGACCATGACAAAAAACTGAAAATGTTCTTGCAAAGATGTCGGGAACAAAACATTGTCTTGAATAAACTCAAAATGAAACTTAGACAAACTGAGGTCAAGTTTATGGGTCATCTTTTGACAGCTGATGGTTTAAAGGCGGATCCTGAAAAGATAAAGGCTGTGATTGACATGCCTAGACCAACTGATGTAACTGGAGTACAAAGAATTAATGGCTTTGTGCAATACCTGGCAAAGTTTCTCCCAGGTATATCTGATGTACTTGAACCGATCAGACAATTGACTAAGAAAGATGTAAGCTGGTACTGGGGACCATCTCAAGAAACTGCTTTCACTAAAATGAAGAAAATGGTCACAAACACTCCAATCTTACAATACTATGATCCGACAAAAGAACTGACTATACAATGTGATGCAAGTCAAACTGGACTTGGCGCATGTCCTCTGCAAAATGGACAACCAATTGCTTATGCAAGTAGAGCATTAACAGACACTGAAACTCGATATGCTCAAATAGAAAAAGAACTTCTGGCAGTATGTTGGTCTGTGAAAAAATGGCACCACATGACTTATGGACGTAAAGTAGTCGTACATACAGACCATAAACCTTTAGAAAGCATACTGAAAAAACCACTAGATCGAGCTCCTAAAAGACTTCAGCAAATGATGATGAGATTGCAAAGATATGACATTGAAGTTAAATACCAACCTGGTAAACTCATGTATTTGGCTGATACTCTTTCTCGAGCTTATCTCAAGTCTGACAGTTCTTCTGACAAAACTGAAAGAGTAAACATGGCATCTTACCTGCCTATTACTTCAAAAAGACTTGATGACATAAGACTGAAGACAGAAAATGACGAAACTCTCCAAGAACTAAAAAAGGTCATTCTGAATGGCTGGCCTAATGAAAAAATTCACTTACATAGTCTTGTTCATCCCTATTTCAACATGAGAGATGAGTTATCTGTTCAAGATGGTCTTATCTTTCGTGGTGAACGAGTTATCATTCCTGAAAAACTCAGACCTCTAATGAAAGAAAAAATACACTCTTCACACTTGGGAATAAATGGTTGCCAAAGACGTGCTAGAGAATATATATACTGGCCCAGCATGCAATCTGAAATCAAACAATTTGTCTCTGAATGCTCTATCTGTAGAGAATTTGAAACATCACAGACAAATGAAAAGCTGATGAGCCATGATATACCTGATCGACCTTGGCAAGATGTGGGCACTGATTTGTTCGAATTTGAAAACAAAGAATATTTAGTGACAGTTGACTACTTCAGTAGCTTTTTTGAACTTGACTATATACCTGACATGAAGTCATCTACAGTGATCAGAAAGCTAAAAGCAAACTTTTCCAGACATGGCATACCTGATAAGGTAATTAGTGACAATGCAGGACAATTCATCTCAGATGAATTTAGACAATTTTCTCATGAATGGGATTTTGATCATTTTACTATTTCTCCACATAACAGTAAGGCTAATGGGAAAGTCGAATCAGCCGTGAAAATTGCTAAAAAACTGTTGAGAAAATGTAAGAAGTCAAAATCTGACATATACCTAGCTCTTCTGGACTATAGAAACACACCTACTCAGGACATGGATAGTAGCCCCTCACAAAGGCTCATGAACAGGCGAACTAAAACGTTGTTACCTACTTCCAATAGTCTACTGATGTCAAGAGGTTTTAACAAAATTGACAGAGAAAAATTGAAAAATAAACAAGAAAGACAACAAAAATATTTCAATAGAAACACCAAAGATTTGAAGCCTCTTGAAGAAGGTCAGACAGTTAGAATGAAACCTTTCAAATTAGGTGACAAAAGTTGGAAAAAGGCAACTATTCATAGAAGATTAGATGAAAGATCATATGAGGTTGAAACTGACAAAGGTGACTTATTGAGACGGAATAGAGTTCATCTGCGATATTCCTCAGAGAAACCAACCCCTCCCATTTCAAATTCCAATTCATCATGCCCTGAACCAAAACCTGTCCAATTATCTCCAACTAAAATCTCTTCTCCAACTCCAATAAAATCCAAACAAGCAACACCAAAGATCTATCAAGAAAGTAATAGGGAAACGCCTAACTTTAGCAATAGCCCTACTGTGAAAACACCTGTGAAAAGCAGACCTAGTAGAGATAAAAAACCACCCAATTATTTGGCTGATTATGATACAAAGTTCTCAAAGTAATATGATACTAAAGTGATATGAACTGATTTATATGATGACTACTGCTATGGAAAAGGACTATGAGAATAAACATTATAATCGCTTATAATCAATTACATAGTGCATGAAATTATTATCTGAACTCTGGAAAATAGCAACAACTTCTAAGAACATTAATTTGTGAAAATTCTTAGTTACACCCAAAATTCTTGAGTTCATACATGAAGCAGCTAAAAATTACTTTTAGAGGAACACTTTTTTATATTCCAATGTTAAAGCTTGAAAACAATGAAGCCATACATGTATTTGGTTTATAGCAAGATTCAAGGACATTATATATCATGTTTAATTGACAGCTTGTTTATGCTTCCTTGCAAATGCTGATAACTGAGTTCTGGTACCAGGAATATGTCACATTAATCAACCTACTTAGATGGTGTGGTCACCAGATGTTTTAATTAACTATCCTAGTAAACCTTTAACCATGACCTTAAATAATTAATTGAAACAGAGAACTTAAATCAGGTCACCTATATTTTCTAATTAAGGGATTATCTCAAACTTTCAGAAAAGGAAGGATGTTTCATATTGTATTGTACTTGTGATACAACCCCTCTTAAAACATATCCTATGTCACGAGATAGTATAGTTTGTTATTAGATTGTATTACATACACACCCTTCACTTGTATGCTTGTAAGCTACCAATAAACAGCTCTTATTAGAAATAGATATTACAACAACTATATGACTCGACTCTTGTTTCATATGTAGTAATATTATGTAACAGCCAGTACATTATCAGAATGGGTTATTTCATACATGATTGCTTTGAAATCCAAGAAAGAATGATACAGGCCAGTTCTTTAATGCAATTGAAATAACTATCACTCTTTTATAAAAAAAACGACAATATCCCATTCTATATGAAACCATAATGCACTGTGATGACTTCACTATTTTACCAATGTAGCTGCTAAGTTCATTATGAAACAATAATGCATTGCATAATGTTTCTGCTGCCCTTACAAGTTGATTCGCAGGTTTTAGAGACATTTCCATACAAACATTACCATAGTCATGACAGGCCTTGCAATATAATATAGCATTGTCAAGATCATATCAGGCTTTAACATTACCACGGTCATGACAGGCCTTGCAATATAATACAGCATTGTCACAGTTACACCAGGCTTTCACAATAACAATACCACGGTTATGGCAGGATTCTAGCGAAACTTAAAAACAGTTATTAACACAGTGATGGTTGGGCCAGGCATAAGTCTTGCAACAAGCAGGGGGGGGGGAGATTTCCCAAAGATGACCTTTCATATTGGCACGTTCGAAAACAAATTTTATAAACAGGCCTCATTTGCCATTGAACTGAATCTCCAATGTTCGCTGTAGTTTTATGGGTATTCTATATAAGTTTGGATCGAGTATCTTCAATAGTATTACTGTAGGTTTAAAATGATATTGAACTGATGTTAACACCATTTCCACGATTTCACATTTTACTTTGCGCAGCCCTGAGAGAGCACGTGCTCATGTTCACGTGATCGCATCCTGCAATTTGATTAGAGATGATCAGGGAGATGACTTAATGAGGAATCCCTGAATACCATAGAATATGAAAGAATTATGGGAGCTACTCACTTCTTCTGGCAACAAGCTCTGAGCTGAGATTCCAGAATCACTTTTGGCGATGTGCATTGCGATAGATTCTATATCGATTATCGCGATAACACTAATACTTACCCAAGATGGGAGTTCATCGACTCTGGCCAGGACAGTTGCTTTCTCATCTTTTACAAGAGCGTGTGTTGTGTCGATTCTATACTGTCTTGCTCGTTTTCTTTTCTCATTCCACATAAAAATGAGAAGTCCAAAAATAGGCCAGGCAATGCTGAAGTTGAAATATCCCGCTCCGAAAATTAAGCCTACAAGTCCACAGTTTTTGAAATAGCTGGTAATGAACGGAAGCAGTTGATCATCTTCGTTTGCTAGCTTCTTAGTAGCCTTTTTAGAGCCTTGATCAGCCATACTAACGAAGAAAACAACCAAATTCCAGAGCTGTTTGGAACTTGATAAAAAATTGTTCCCACTATTTTGGATTACCTCGATTTTGCACAGGGGTGATAAGTTAAATTACGCTATGATACCATCCTCAATAATTATAGTCACAGACAAAAATGGCATGTAAATGATTCAAATAATTATCTAAGTATTAATACATTAGACTGTAAAAGCTTCTATAATCATTTGAGTTCATTTGCTCGTTTTCTTTATGGTGCCATCCATTTCTTAGGTGAAACATGGAACCGTCCACCTGGTTGACCTATTTCAATGTCGTCAAATGACTTAAATCAAACGCTTAGTATATATTTTTGATACTTTCAACATAGAACAAAACATTCAATTTTATGAATTTAGTGCAATTTGTTCATTTAGGATGTTTATAACTCTTGAGGTAAACAAAGTTGACCTATTTACGACTACAGAAAAGCACCTGTGCGCACGCGCAGAGAAGAAATATTTTTCGTCTCAATCATGGCGACCGCGAATTTACAAATTTCTCCACTTTGATTGGATTTTGCGTCGCCTCCCATTATTAAGGGGCGTAACCATACAAATCCGTTGCTTAAGAATGCCTTCCGGAAGGGTAAGCATATCTTGTATTGTCCCTTTTGTGTAACACATTGCCTAATTTCAGTCCAGAAAAATTTTGACATTTTCGTTGCTACAACCATCGGGCTTCTTTTTACCTTCAAGTCGGGCATCAAGTTCATGCAGTGAGTCTGTATAGTGTCACTTGGTTTCTTTGTTTAAATTGTGTCATGTGTAAACTATCGTCTATCATGCTTTTAGCCATTTCAATGCTTATTGGATTAGTAACCCACATACTAACCCACAATGTCTAATCATGGGCTTTCAAGAGATGAAAGCCCATGGTCTAATCAGTAGGCGAGTCACTGTAGGCTAGAAGATGATTAACAAGATATGCTAGATATCTTATTCAGTGAATTTCACGAGAAAAATATGAAGGCCACATGCTATGAAAAAAACTGATCCACAGAGAACAAAATGCTTGTTATGTTGTTGGTTAATAGGGGGTTTGTGTAAAAAACCGGGTGAACAGGTACCCGGTTCAAAGTTCCACATTTCCCCCGATATATAGTAGAGAATTGACTTGACAGACCAAGCCTACCGTGTGTACTGCTGTTCGATATTTTTACCTTATACGAGACAGAGCACTTTTTAAAATGATCGATCCAGCAAACAGTGACGTCCATGTCACGTTGCTCATAAGTAGCATATAAGTTCCTAGAAGACGTTGCACATTTTCGTTCTTTACACATCGAGGCAACGTAAACACGAGACATCTATTGATGGTATAAAAAGAACGTTGTTGTAAAGTGTCCGTAAAGTTTGTTAGTGTGGAAAACATAACAAACAGGAAGGTTTGATTTTTTACTACATTGGTCCATATGTGACGTAACTCAAACGTTAAAATTCAACGTTGTCAAAACAGGCTTTTAATATCAAAATATTTGTTGGTGGAAAAAAACATGATGAAAACTTTGTGTTCTCACTAAGTTGGTTCTTTACCGACGTAGTGTTAACGTTAAAATTTAATGTTGTCGAAACATTTTTTTCGATTTGAAATAACCTCAAAATGTGACGTCAGTAATGACGTTCATGGACCGTATTGATCTGACGTTATTTAAATATTCAGCAAAACGTCGATGGATGGTTGAATTTCAACATTGTGGAAATGGCTTCAAAATATTTGTGAGTTGAGGAAACTTTACAAAGACGTCAATATGTTCTCACTAAATCGGTTCATTACAGACGTTATTTTAATGTTAAAAGTTAATTTTGTCAAAATGTTCTTACGATGTGAAATAACCTCAAAACGTGACGTCGAAAATACACACATGTATCATCCAGATCCAACTTTATAAATAAAAAAAATTTCTTACCCTGCTAGGAACGTTAAGTACCCGGTCACCTGGTTACCCAGTCACCCGTTTTTTTACACAAACCCGTTGGTTAGGTAATATGTTCACAACGACACATATACATATTAATGTAGAACGAGGCAGTGACGTTATGATTATTTGATTGTTCATAGTTGCTCGATTAGGTAAATATGTGACTGACATCATAGTTTGTATGATACGTCATATCTATGAATCACAATCACATCATTTAAGGACTTGGCAGTTGCCTTGATGATTTGCCATATAAGCTAAGGCGTGAATGGTCCAAGCCCGCTCATAGTACGAAGGCATGGCCCACTTAAGAAAAGCTCAATTAACATATAACCTTTATCTTCCACACCCAATATATTGACTAGAGGGAGCTCATTTCTGATGAACATTTCCGAATTTTTTTAAAATCACACAAAAACTGTCTGGCTTCAAAGAGACAAAAATAATTTGTATGGATCATGTATCTTGAACACTATTTTTTTGAATGGTGGGGACGCTGAATAAAAAGGACAATTTTTAAATATTAAGGTCTAGGAAAGGTTTCATGCATACTACTCCTCCATAGAATGAATTACACTACTATTTTCACAATTATTGATATTTGGTGTCAACTACACATATCTGGGTATATTTGAAGTCCCCAAATGGCTTAGTTTCAGATGTACTCCAAATTTAAATTAAAAAAAATGACCGTTGACTCAGCTCCCTCCGCTTATTCATGCCAATCCCAATATTTCCCACAGGCTCCGTCTGCATAGAGTGAAACTTGCTATTTTGTGCTTAGAATAATGCTGATAAGAATATCTTCATTACTTAGATACTCATTACTTATATCTCATATCCATCACTTCTCATACTCACTGTAACATTTCTAATGACTTTTGTAGATATTTCTCATAGAAGTATAGATATCGAGAACAAATGTACTAGATATATACATGTATATATAGAGTAGATCTGGTATTTGTCATCTTCTAATACATCCTGTGACATTTCTCATAGATCTGTTCTGTCATTTCTCTTATTTTCCAAACTACAACACTAAATTAATGCATTGTTTTTTAGAACAAGGATAGGAAAGAAGACACTTGGAAAGAATCAGATTTAAAGAAATCTATTAAGGTGACAGCTTCTCTTCATTCTGCATTTCTATTGGTTATAACTCTTACTAACCAATTAAGTTTATATACGTGATGCCTTTTAAATTGAATTTGCGAGCAAAGTGAAATGTAAATTATAAAATATGAATTCACCAGCTTGCTATAACACACATATATAACTTGCAAATTGTATCAATTCTCTAGAGCTTTTAACTGTATCATTTGTACCATGGTGACAATGTGCCGGGACAGATTTTGTTATTTCATACGATGCTAAAGTTGAAAAGGAACTATTAACAAAATGAGTGACAAGTGAATTGATATATAAGACTTTTTGATTTAATTTGATTAAAATCAATCGTAGATGTATACAATGAACCTTCAATCATATACATTTAATATGACAGGAAGCCAATGATGAGAAGCCACATAAAAAGCACCGGGACAAGGACAGGGAGAGGGAACATCGCAAGAAAGACCGCCACAATGAGGATATAAATGGTGAAGATAAAGAAAAGAAACATAGAAGGAGAAAAGATGAGAATGGTAAGAAAGAATTTATTGAAGAAATAATATTAAAGAGAATGGTAAGAAAGAATTAATAATATTAAATGCATTCTTAAATTCTCATGTAAAGTGGGTTGATCTTCCCAGATTTGTAACACCATGTTCTTCCAAATTGATGTGTCATTCTACAAATTAATGCATCTGAGCTTCTTATATCGGAAGAAAACAGAATTTTGAGAATGAGTGATGTTTTTCAGATTGATATTTTCTGTTGATTACCATGTCAATGTACAAATGATTGTCATCAAACATGTTCAAGTTAATACTTGCTCTTCACATATTAATAAGACTTGATATGTTACAGAGGGGGGCAGTAGGGAGAGGAGGCATAAAGAGCGGAGAGAAAGGCATGATGAAAATGGGGATGATGACAGAGAAAGGAGACATAGAAGATCTAAAGATGCTGAAGAGGTGGGTATACGTTTGGGAAACAAATATCTCTCATTTAAGACTTAAGTATTAAAATTGACCATGTACTGGTCTGGTCTGGTACATACTATGCCCTATGACACTATTTCCCTCATGTTCTGTTTTATTACTGTCATATTTTTCCCACTTGCTACTGTGTGTCACCATATTGTTATGGTCTCCATTTTTTGGTGGTTGGTGTTTGGTGGTCAGTGTTCTGGGTCTGTAACAAATGGCAGGTGTTGACATTTTGCATATCAACGCTTTGTATACTCTTGTTGCTGTCATATTTCCCACTTGTTACTGTAATTTTTCACTTTTGTAACTGTATTATCCACCACTCATGAATGTCAGATTTCCCAATTGTTACTAAGTAAAATCATAATGCAGGATGATGATGAAAGGAGGAAGAGGAAAGAAGAGAGACGTAAGAGAAAGGAAGAAGATGGTGATAGGGATAAGGACAAAGAGAGAAGACGTCGGAAGGAAAATGAAGAGGTATGTAGATTTAAACATGTAGGTTATATCACTGTCACTAATTAACTAAAGGAAATTTACCTGATGTCAGATTCACCATAACAGTATATGATTAGATGAAAAAGAAATGAGATTTTAAATTATTTATTTCTCTGAATAAATTGAATTTTAGATATTAATATGTCAGGGAATAACAATAACAGATTCTGAATTGAAACATCTGTATCTGCTTACATTACCCTTTGCACACAAATCCTTTTTATTACAGAATGGAGATGACAGAGAACATAGAAGACGTAAAAAGGAGAATGATGGTGATGATGATAAAGAGAGGAGGAGACGCCATAGAGATAAAGAAAATGATGATAGAGATGATGATAAAGAGAGAAGACGACGACATAGAGATAAAGAAAACGATGATGGAGATGATGATAGAAGAAGGAGGCATCGTGAAAAAGATGAGGAGGTAAGTGGTTCCCAAACGAGGTCATGTTACAGGAGGGTTTAACTATCCAGTATATAAACTACATCTACCACTACTAATTACAGATATGTCCTAGAACTGTTTTATCTTGCAATTTAAAGTACAATTAAAGAATTCAATTTTAATTTTATTAATTTTCAATTTTATTAAATATATATGCATACAACAATACAAAGATGATGTAGGGAGTGATCAAAACAGTGTTCTTCTTGGGAAGTGTTCCACTGACAGAGGGTCATTTACATATGTTAATGAGGGACAGGATTTGAAAAGTGTTTTCTTATTTTCTTTAGTATTTTAAAAATGATTTCTTTCTATTATTGTTGTTATGTTTTATGTTTATGCTGTTCACACTCCCTTTTTGCTCTTTGCATGTTCACAGTGCTTCATATTTTGTATTTTATATTTTGCTGTTATCTCAACTTTGAAATAATGTTTTGTATGTTTATTAAAATGAGAGTCAGAGATGTACAGTGCGTATCAAAAAAACGCAACAGAATGTTATCTTGGAAAAGCACGAAACCAGTGATAACAGCATTGATTTCATTCAATGCACCATAAAGCCATTTGTCTCCTCTTTACAATGATATATCATTCATCGATATTTGGTCATGGTTGGGTGAGTAATCATCCATTTGCAAAGTGGGCCAAAATTAGTTTGGGCCAAGTTATAAACATTGCAAAAGTCAGTGTACGGAGCCCGATGCAATATTGGACGAAAACATAAAACCAATGCTGACTGCATCCTTTTAATTCAATGTACCAAAAAGCCAAATTACTCCTCTTTGCAATCGAATATTATTCATTCACAGGGAGTCATCTCTGGCCGAATAATCATTAATTTTGCAAAGTGGGGCAAAATTCAGCTCGGACCCAAGTTTAAAACATTGCAAAAGTCAGTACAAGGGGCATAGGGGCTATTGGAAGAAGGTGTGACAGGTATGGCATAGACAGTAAAGTGTTCATACTCATACCTTTGCAAGAATACATCCTATACCCCTCCACTTCCTTGCACATAAAGATGCGCTCATCTGTCCACGTCATGCATGGTTCAGCCCTGAATCATGTGTGGGTTAAAGCAAAGAAAAGCAGCCCATGGGCAAATCTTTCTCGAGGTTTTGCAATATCTGGTGGAGGAATTGTGAGCACAGATGCTCCTGAGATAGCTCCAAAAGAAAAAGTCACAACAATTAAAGTCAGGGGAACTTCCATTGGCACTTAGCCCTTGCACTGATTTTTTCGATATCTAAAACTTGGCGCAGAGCCGATTTTGACCCACTGTGCAAATGGAAGGATTTCTCACCCAACCATTACCACATGTGAAGGAATGACATATCATTGCAAAGAGGAGAGACATGGCTTTATGGTACATTAAATGAAATTGATGTAGTCATTACTAGTTTTGTGATTTTACGAGATAACAACTTGTTGCGTTTTTTTTTGATACGCCCTGTATACATGCATGGGCTTTCAATTAGCTAGTTGAAAGCCCATGATACATGTAAATGGAAAACTTGCCAGTATTAATGTATTCATTAACATTTCAATGGAACATTGAAATGTCAGGGAAAGGTCAAGAAAAAAATTTCCTTTACCTCACCTCAAAACGAATTTTTCTATTGAAAAGAAATATCTTCAACCTGAAGACATTTAAAATTATGATAATTATGAAAAACAGGTTGTACTCCATCTCTGATGCTCCCATGTTTAGTAGTTCTGTTATGTTATTATGTCATAAATATGCCACAGGGAGATGATAAGGAAAGGAGGAGACGTCACAGAGATAAGGAGAATGAAACGGAGGAGGAGAGAGAGAAAAGGAGAGAGAGAAGGAAACATAGGGAAGATGAGGTATATAAGGTTCACCCCCCCTCCCACCTCTTAATTTCTCAGATATAAGTGTTTCAATGGGAGTTTTTGTATTATGCTTTATTCTGCTAATTTAATTTCTCGCTCTTTATTTTAATTGTCACATTATTTTGTTTGTTTATTTTCTTTTATTTAGAGTGTACAGTAGTTGTTTGAGTAACTTAGAATTACTTTAATTCATCTGTTTTATATTATTTTCAATTTTTTGGTCCAGTCTCATAAAACATGTCTAATCAGAGTATGCATAATGGAACATGTAAACATGCATTAGTTAATCTTTTTCAGGATGATGATGAGAGGAGGATGCGAAAGGAAGAGAAAAGGAGGAACAAAGATGGAGAGGATGACAAGGATAAAGAGAGGAAACATAGGAGAGACAGAGATAATGATGTAAGCCACAATACTCATATACACCTTAATATTTAGTTATTTATTCTGAGGAATTGGTGAGAAATACTTTTTGCAATTTTATGTCATTTTGGAGACATATTGTTAAAGCGACTGATGTTTTTGCAACCAGCATTTAGCATATTTGTATTTGGCATCTGTAATTGTTACCATTTTGTAATTGCAATCAGTTGCTTACATTTTGTCTGTTGTCATAGTGATGTCATGTTGTTTCAGGATGAAAGAAAGCATAGGAAGCACAGAGATGAAGAAGATGATGGCGATAGAGAGAGACGAAGAGCAGAAAGAAAGGAGAGGAAGAAGAGAGAAGAGGTTGATATACATAGAAATTATTTTCCTCATTTATGTAGTATATATTGATGATGAGATTTTTGTGTTTTTATTTCTCATTTCCAAAGTATGAGATAAAAATGTTACTTTTTATGTGTGGGTGGTGTATGGATTCAGCTTTTGCGCTAACTGTCTTTTATGCCAGGATACAAGTAAAGGTAGCCAATGATATTTTTAGCCCATAAAGATAAAAGATAAAGCAGGAAGTCTCGGTCAGAAGGACCAGAGAACAAAATCTACTCCATCTAGACAGTCTTCCTTAACTAGGGCATTGCCTGCTGGACCTCGTAACAAATCCTTAGATAGTTCACCCTTTGGAAAAGCGAGTAAAGTTTCTAGTAAAAAGACATCATTTCATTCTGGTATTAGAAAACAGAAATCCAAAGGCAAAATCACATTAACAGTGAGAGTACCGGTATTGCAATAGATAAGTCATACCTTAAGCATTAAGTTTGTTGTTTAAAACTGTTCATTGTTGCATTGTTTGTATTGTTGGTATTTCTTTAAGGAGGGACTTGTATTGTAAGATGAAGTTTTATTTCATGGGGACATGACATATGGCCTCCACTTTTTGCTCCAAGCATCTGTAATTTGTTACATTTTTGTTATGTCATCACCACACTCCAACTTTTTTGTGGACAGTGTTTAGCATCCTATTGCTGGTGTTCAGTGGTTGGGGTTTGGTGTTCAGTGTCTGTAACTAATGGCAGGTGGTGACATTTTGCATGTTGATGCCCTCTTTCCATTTTACAATATAGTATATCAGAAATGAGGATCAGATTGACTTGGAACTTGCAGTGTCCACTTATAGATATTTTTGAATTTTTACAGATCTAAGACAATATCTATAACAATGGCAATAAATTAGAGGACATATCAAAAATATTAAAAGAACATTAAATATTTGGGCCAAGACAGGTAGTATTAGGATTTTGTACTAGTCTGTTGGAAAAATACATGTTGAGATCACTATGATTGCTTGTAAAACACTGTGTATTCACATGCATGGCCAAATGGAACATTTATTCAAAAAGATATACATTGCCCATGTTATACGTTACAGAGTCAGAATATAGGGGACCAGGAAGTCTCTGAAAAGTCAGGGAAGCACAGAGATAGGGACAAGAAGTCAAGGAAAGATGAGGTAAATATTTGTAATGAAGAGTAAATTCTCTCACTCTTATTTTGCTTATAAAGGATTCAGGAATTTTGACATCACTTGCATATATGTATTCCCAAATTAAACTACTGTAATCGACGTTTTAAGCGCCTGTGCAGAATTCCAATAAGAATGAAATAAGAATGAAATCAATGTAAATGTCGAAGGATAAACAGAAACTGAAGATTTTCAAAAAGGAAGTCTGACTCATTTCATATGCACATAAAAACTGTGCAGTATAAACTGGATTTATAATTCGCAATTATTTATCATAAACATTTTGGTAAAATATGGGCAGTACTTTATTATTGCCCACTTGTTTCCTTTGAAGATCAACTTTTTCCCTACGATTTCTGCAATCTTTTGATATATGTGAAGCACTGTGTGTGGCTATTAGGGAATTGTTTCCCATAGCGTTAAACTTTGGATAAATTATGAAAACATATGAAAGCTTTTTAATTCCTATTCAGAATATTCTAAAACCTGACGTGTTAGAGCGTTCTTATAGGTATTTTTCTATGATTTTGAAAATATTCCTCTGGCATTGTAGATTTCTGCTTTATACTTCTAGAGGTGCTTTGGAGGGAATTTACTATTTAGATTTAAAATACTAAACACATTCACAAACTGAGAATACATAGAGGTTATTTAATGGGAGGTGTTTGATACAGGGTATACTGAGGGAAATACAATATATCTACCCGAGGGGCCGTAGGGACAGAGGGTTGATATATTGTATTTACCGAGGGATATACCCTGTATCAAAAATCGAGCATTAAATAACTGATTTATTCTATACTTATTAGATTATGAGGAACAATAGCCAAATCCCCTAGCTCAGTATCTAATCCCTGAATTTGTGACATCATAAGTCTGATGAGCTGATGATATATATCACCCGCTCACTTGACATATCAATTATATTAACGCATGTTATTTACCTAGAACATTACTAAGTATGGAATAAAAGGAAATATATCACATTTACAATAGACACACAGTAAACAATGTCACATACACAGGGACATACAGTAAACGATGTCACATACACAGAGACATACAGTAAACAATGTCATATACACAGAGACATACAGTAAACAATGTCACATACACAGAGACATACAGTAACCAATGTCACATACACAGAGACATACAGTATACAATTGTTGACCTCTCCAGAGGTCAACCGGCAAAATTGTATACCAAGACTGTAAACCGAGACACTACTGTTGACAGAGACCGAAGGTCTAGGTCAACAGTAGTTTCAAGGTTTACAGTCGAGGTATATGATTTTAACGGTTGACCGAATGGAGAGGTCTACAATTGTTTTGTTAGTCAGAAGAAACTAATAATACACATATAGATGACAATCATCAATCATGGCTTCATTTTACAATCTTTCCTCCGAACCACGCCAGCAATGATTTTTTAAGAAAATCTGAAGACAGTGGTAGCTTAACTCTCTGTTTCCGGCACATCACTGCATACTTACTAGTAAATTAATGTTAATTTTACGTTTCTATTTGTATTTTTGCTATACTTGTCGTCTAGTAAAGTCACAATATCACTTTCATCAACGTTTACAAAATGTCCGTCTACCATGTTTTTTCTGTAGACATTATGACGTCATATTCCCCATAATTCACAAGTGTAGTACAGTAACATACGCGGTCAATAATATGATATCCCATGATGCACAGGTGGGGTACAGGCAAAAATGTTGACCGCTAATTGACCAATCAGATGCGAGTATTTACACTGAGGTACTAACAATAAACAATGTCACATACACAGAGACATACAGTAAACAATGTCACATTTACAATATGCATACAGTAAACAATGCCTTATTTACAATATGCAGACAGTAAACAATGTCACATTTACAATATGCATACATTAAACAATGCCACATTTACAATATGCATACAGTAAACTATGCCACATTTACAATATGCAGACAGTAAACAATGTCACATTTACAATATGCAATCAGTAAACAATGTCACATTTACAATATGCAATCAGTAAACAATGTCACATTTACAATATGCATACAGTAAACAATACCACATTTACAATATGCATACAGTAAACAATTCCACATTTACAATATGCAATCAGTAAACAATGTCACATTTACAATATGCAATCAGTAAACAATGTCACATTTACAATATGCATACAGTAAACAATACCACATTTACAATATGCATACAGTAAACAATGCTACATTTACAATCTGCAGACAGTAAACAATGCCACATTTACAATATGTAATCAGTAAACAATGCCACATTTACAATATGCATACAGTAAACAATGCCACATTTACAATATGCAATCAGTAAACAATGTCACATTTACAATATGCAGACAGTAAACAATGCCATATTTACAACATGCAGACAGTAAACAATGTCACATTTACAATATGCAATCAGTAAACAATGTCACATTTACAATATGCATACAGTAAACAATGCCACATTTACAATATGCAATCAGTAAACAATGTCACATTTACAATATGCAATCAGTAAACAATGTCACATTTACAATATGCAGACAGTAAACAATGTCACATTTACAATATGCATACAGTAAACAATGTCACATTTACAATATGCAGACAGTAAACAATGTCACATTTACAATATGCATACAGTAAACAATGTCACATTTACAATATGCATACAGTAAACAATGCCACATTTACAATATGCAATCAGTAAACAATGTCACATTTACAATATGCAGACAGTAAACAATGTCACATTTACAATATGCAGACAGTAAACAATGTCACATTTACAATATGCATACAGTAAACAATGCCACATTTACAATATGCAATCAGTAAACAATGTCACATTTACAATATGCATACAGTAAACAATGCCATATTTACAACATGCAGACAGTAAATAATGTCACATTTGCAAGAGACATAACTTACCATAAACAAGTTCACATGAACAAGAGAAGATACAGTAAGCAAGATCACATTTAAAAGTGCACATATAGTACTACTGTATATATAGTGCATCATGTCACATTCAACAGCCTCTTCAATAAAACAATCTATTCAAATTTCATTCATTTTGTTTGCTTTTTCTAGGGATCAAGGAAATCTGATGTAACATTTAAAGCTGCTTCTAAACACTCGGAAGATGCTGTATGTTGTCTTGTATATTGTTTTAAGTTCATGCACTTGTTAATTATTGATCATTTGTCAGGGAGTGGTATCGTTTTTAGTAGTTAAGGATCTAACTGTGGTATCTCTCTGTTAATCTGTTAATTATTTTCTTGTTGTATTTCATTTTATTTATTTTTGGGGCTATGGTTTAATTAAGTTGCATTTCACTGATCTTCAATAATCTGCCATAATTTCCTATCTAGATACAGTAACCTGAGTGTGTATATATCTAAACATGAATTCTATAAATGTGAAGTATTTCTATAAGTTACCTTGGATAAGCTCACAATGTTTAAACCATTTAAATACCACTGCCTACAATCTACACTTTCTAGCATTATAATACCATGAGATTAAAAAGCAGAACTTCAGCAGATGAGGAAAATTAAGCCAAAATTTATTGTGCCTGAAAAAATGTTATATCATTGTGTATGCAGGCCCGTAGCCAGGGGGGGCAGTTTTTCATCATTTTGAGCACTTCTCAAATGATTTTAGCCATATTTGGGCCAAAATTGTCAAATGTGAACCCCCCTGGAAATATTTGAAAACTGAACCCCCCCTTGGAAAATCCTGGCTACGGGCCTGGTATGTTTTGCTTTGCACACCATTTTGTGTGATGTTCTGTCTTTCTTTGTCATAGTACATTATATTGTATATTATAAGATATTCTTGATTTGTTATGTACAGTAAAACACTAAAACCTGTCTACTCTGAATGCCACTGAAACTTGCCAAAAGCGTTTTGTGTCCAAAAAGTGTTCACATTGAGAGGTATACAGGATTAACTGTACACTCCTAATAGATTTCTTGCATATTATTTCTAATTTTTAAGTCATTTTGTTTTACTTTTATGATGTACTTTTTGCACCACAACTCTTTTTTATGTTTTCTACTTATCTTTAAACCAAACCAATCAGGATTCAAGATCAAAAGGCACATAATGAGTTATCCTGTACCATGATTTAATTATTATATATGGAGCATTGTTCAACCTATCAGACATCTACAGGCAGTAGCTTTAGCTAGCCATTAAGTCTCATTGGTGAACGACACTTTTAATAAGTAGACTATATAAGTTAGTGGTGTCAATTAACTGCTTGAGCATTAACCGAACCGGGGGTTTTTACCGGTTAAAGTCGGTTAACCGGCGGGAAATTTGAACTGATAATTTCAAATGGAATCTTCATCTTCGATCTTGAAAGTTGAAAAAAATTGGAAAAAAGATATATCGGCGTTTATTTTTTACGTTCGTCAAGCTTTACGCTATTCTATGTAAGTAAGCGCGGGAAAGCAATGTGGCAGGGATTAAAGTTGCTGATTGGATGTTTGTAAGGAATTATCGGACCTATCACATGTATGAGTAGCTCACATGAAACTGACGCTTGAAAAACAAACAAAAAATGCAAAGTAAGCGCGGGAAAGCAATGTGGCAGGGATTAAAGTTGCTGATTGGATGTTTGTAAGGAGTTATTGGACTTATGACATGTATGAGTAGCTTACGTGAAACTGACACCATAAAACCAAACGGATTAGCATGCAAAATAAGCGCGGGAAATAACAGAATTATACACGGTCAACTAACCGCCCATAAAAACTCAGACCGGTCAAGGCATTATCGGCGGTTAACCGGTTAACCGGTTAATACTTGACACCTCTAATATAAGTATATGTTGTTGAAACATATTCTCTGCCTAAACAGTTATTTGTGTACTATATGTGCATACTGAATTCCGTTTATGTAAAAAGCATGTAAGTTTCATGTTTTATTGTATAACTTCAGTTACATGAGTTATCTATTTTTAAATCATACAAATTGTTCATGTATGTCATTTTAAATATTGAAATTCTGTATATTTCTCTGCATTTTAGTTTCCATATTTACTTTTATTATATTTCTTCCAAAATCGTTCACGCTTTAAAATAAATTTTGTGCTTAGAAATGACATGCGAAGAGGAAGATTTAGGATAACACTGTTGCTTGAATTTGTAGGCTGAGATTGAGCACTATGAACCTCCTACTCCAGTACAGTCAGACACAGTGGTCAATATGGGCAGCAATGATGCTAACGAAGATGAATATAATTACGATGATGACTTTGAGGTGTGTTTTTTTATATCATATATAATATTATCGTGGCAAATATAGCTGAATTCATTTTGATATCTTGCTTTATGTACACTCTTTGTCCAAATCCAAGTTCATGTCAAAAGAAACTAAACGTTTTAACCTGTTGAATGAATTGTACTTGTAATAGGGTATGAAACAAGATGTTTATGTCTATTTTTGAATTGCAAAATAAATCTGATTCTTTTATTGCAGGATTATGAGGATGATTTTGAGGATGATGATGATAATGAACAAAAGGTAATGAAGACATCTAAAACTATATATGATATAATTCAGAGAGAAAATATTTGATCCTGCATAGAATACCTACATAGTGTTCATGTGTGAATTTAATGCCTCAGTTCGTTACATTTCCTCTATGACAACTGTATGGCAACTGCAGTTCCCCCAAATTGAGAAATACCTATGAATGCCCTACAGTGACCATGTGTCATCATTTCCAAGACTGTATTGACCAAAAAAAATCAAAACATATGCCATATGGCTGCTGTAATATATGTGAAAGTATTTGACCAAAATTTGACTGCGTCTATCGAATTGCTAATGGCGATTGAAATATTAGATCATAACGTTGCCATAACAAATATAACTGAGGCATAAAACAAAATGCAAATATCCAGATTTTTCAGCTTCTATTCAGGACTGGGTTGTCTTTGCTATTTCAAAAACATGCATTCATTTTGTATGTAAATCTGTATTTATTGTATATCTAACCATCTTAGGGGATCTTGCATGTATATGTACCATTGCATATTTATGTGGAATCAAGCTCCTTGGCTGTATTGGTTATACTTGCTTTTTAATCTCTTGTGAATTTTGCTAGTCTGCTAGAGGAAACAAGAAAAAGGTTTGGTCACTGCTTTGTTCAAAATCACTCATTATTTTTTTCATAATTTCAGTTCAGAAAGAATTGTGCTGTTCTGTATTTTGGACATAGCCATAAAATGTTAATCTTGTAGAAATATTTGATAGAAGTTTAATATTTCATGGACAAATAAATTCATTTCTGTGTGGCATTTTAAAAATTTGTGTAGTGTAGTTTGCTTGCAAGTACATGTAGCAAATAATATCTATTACTAGTATAATAATATACTATACTTCATAAAGTATATGAAGGATTTTACCTTTTTTTCAAGACAAGTGTTTAACACACATTATAGAATTCTATTTTTCAACTGTGCAGAAGTATAGTTTTTGAAAAGATGTAGAGCATTAGAGATGTAGAGAATTAGACTTCTTCAGAATTTTCACAGAAGCATTCGGATTATCTCTTGATTTATCGAAAATTGAAGCATGATAATAGTGTCCTCAAAATCAAAATGCACAATTCACAATCAATTCATTTAATTTAAGAGTTCTTTTTAAAATACATTATTTTCACCGCTACCAGAAGTATCCAATCAGATTACATCAATAATAACTTTTGCAGAATACTATGTAGAATTTACATTTCCTTCACAGAATAGTGTAGATCTTTTATGCATAATTTACATTTGTTACATGCAGAAATCTAGAATGTGTGGTCTATACATGTACATATATAGCTTGTATTGCAAATCTACAGGTTGAAGCAGAAAATGTGCTTTATTTTACTTGAATCTTCTGCTTGTCAGTTGCATCTTTATATTATTAGGGTAGTGGTGTGACTTTGTCTCGGAGCTCAGAAACTAAATCCCCAGGCTACTATAAGTCATTTGGATGGGATGCGAGCGCAGCTGTAATTATAAATTAGATGCTTTTATCTGTTTATGTCAAGTGTTTATATGTTTCTTGCGTTCTTAATCACTTTGCATTTATTAACCTAAACACCACATTTTTGTGTAATTACCTATGTCTACCTTGTTAATCCTTACTAATGATTATATTTCCTCACTAACTAACCAGAGATGTAATGCAAACAATGCTTTAATTAGACATCTTCTTAGTGGACACCTTCTACTGATATTATTAACATTTCTTCATATGGAGTTTCACCTGTAGAATGTTTTTTTGCTCACCATGTAGTATATTCTACTGATAAAAAATCACCATGCCAGCATAGTCTCACTTGCTTTTACTTAAGAGAAATTATAACTTGATACTTTATCTATATTTATGTGTAGAAACTAAAGAACTGTGGTTCTAAACATTATCATGAAAACCAATAACAACAAACATGTATGTGCGGGCGTAGCCTCACCCAACATTTTTCAGAAAAAAAAATTTCAGATTTTTTTACAACTAAAACGGAAGAAATTAAATCCAGATAAAGTTAATAACCTCATTCAGTCCAAATTTGCCTCACCTACTAATTTTTGCCTCGTCAAATTTTAGATCCTGCTTATGCCCCTAAAATTCACCTTCTTTGAACATTATGTGCATTTTAACTTTACTATATTTATCTGTATCTTCTAGTGTTGCGATTAATAGATACATCGCGATATACATCACCAAGAGTGATTCTGGCGATTCTGAATAGGAAATTTTCAGTTTGAGTCCAATGATATTCAGTAAATACCTGGCTGATCTTCATATTACATAATGAACTAGATTCAAAAAATGATAAATAAGTTGTTAGGAAGTATATTCATTTTCTTGTAGGAGATGTAATTATTTCATTTTTATTACTTTTAGTCAAATTCAGAGATGGACGAGATCATGAAAGCCATGAATGAAGAAAATGACAGATTGATGTCAGAATCTCGGAAAAGTAACTGGTCTGATTCAGTAAGTTCACTTTTGCATATAATTCCCAGTTTTGTGCCAAACAACAAGTATAGGATATATTCTGGTGAAATAATGTAAAAATATAACAGTTTTGCACCTCATTTTCAAAATACTGGTAAGTGAAAAGATAAAAAAATAAAATTAATTGGTGAATATTTTCCATATTTTCATTTTCCAGACTGATGTTTCTGATGAACGAAAAATCTCAAGACCTACAACGGGTCACAGTCGGACATTTATCAACTTTGTTTCTGCCAAGCAGAGACAAATTAGCCAAAAAGTAGCAAATAAAACCAAAAAGCGGAGCGAGGAATTAAGTGCCATGATTGATCTAGATGTAGCTGGTTTTGAGATGTTTGATATGCCCCCTGTAAAGGAATATGAGCTTTACATGAGAAGTTTTGGCAGGTCTAATACCACACAGGTGAGTGGGATATTAGTTTCATTTAACTGATTAAGGTAGGACAATCAGATTAGTAATCTTGAACCCACTTTCATAAGCATACAGAGTTAAAAATTCACAAAAACAACGTTTTAATAATGGATTTCATAATGTCATTATTAGTGAACATTAGACTTATGATATCAATCGTAAATTTTAATAGTAGGTCTGTTAATTCACCCCAAGTAACATCTAGGCTAACATTCTGTTGTCATACATAAATACATGGAAAATATGTCCCCTTATAGCTCAGTGGAGACGATAACCCCATTTAACGTGTAACACGGAGATTGCCATTTTTCACGTCAATTGACGTAAATCACGCCAATAAGCATAATGTCCATTGTAATTCATAATTTGAAACACCAGGTTGATTAGAAGACCCAGTGTTTAATATATATACAATCTAAGTAATATTTATTTTATAGTACGTATACTTTGGTAAACATTAATGATATATTAAATCCCAGGGAAGAATTTCATTCCAAAATTGTGGAGAAAATGCCGTTCAATCTTGTGAATTTTCTGTAAATGTTACGAACCAATGAAGTCACCACCGAACTTGCATTCTTGGAAAGTCTAAATCGATCGATGGAACGCTTTTCATTGCATTTTCTTCAAGTATTTTATCTAATCTAGCACTTGTATGTAGGAATTTGCGATCCTATGTGGGAATTTTGCGCTAGAACTAATCAAAGTTACCTCTCACGAATCCCAGAAAAACGCCATATTGGAATTACTAACACTCATTCAATTGTCTAGATATCGTCTTTTCGACAGGTTATACGACGAAATTGGTACTGACCCAATAGTTTTTTAATCTCTGAACACAACGTGAGCCCCAATTCCGAGAAAAGACCGCTGGAAATCACTAAAATGGGGTCTACTTTCCCTCTTCGTTTTGACCGGAAGTGTTTTCCTGACCGCAGCGTGTTGTTGATTTTTTCGTTTTTTTCCTGACTTGATTTAGTTTTTAAACCTTCTTTACAATGATCTAATGATTACCTTAAATGAATTATAAACAATTTAAATTCATATCCTCATTAAATCAGAATTTATTCGTTTTCTTCACGTCATTTGTTTACTTCCGGTTTGCTGTTGAATAAATATTTCTTGTAAACATTGACGTAAGCACATCATAATAGTTGTTAGTTCAAAACGCAACCCGGAAAATAGCAAATGTTTATAATTTTAACTATTACATACGATGCAGATCATGATTTTCCCACTAGTTTCCCAGTTTATTACTCCCTGTTGCAGGGCTGTCAACTTGGGACCACCAAAAATTTCCAATGAACATGCGTGACACATACGGGATTCGCGTGACAAATCCGAACAAATTGCGTTCGGTTTTTCCCGGCGTTCGTATTTTTACCGTATCGTCAACATATTTCGAACAAATTTCTACAGAAATATTTTTGCTTGACAATTACCAGGTAAAATGCGTATTTTGCGTGACATTTTCTGTCACGCAAAAAAAACTGGCGTGACTTCAAATTCTTCAGCAAATGCGTGACAAATACGCAAATTGCGGGACAGTTGACAGGCCTGCGTGTTGTCCTGCCGATAATATGTGAAACTTTTACAAGATAATAGTTTGCACGTCAATTGTCGTGCAAAATATTGCACGTCACTTGACGGACATGACGGCAATTGCCGTTATTATCTATTGACATGCGCACTTATGCTTCATAATTTCACGTCAATTGTCGTGCAACATGGCGATTGCCGTACTTCACGTTAAATGGGGTTATCGTCTCCACTGTAGCTAGATTGTCTCGGTCCATTCGGTATATGTTTTGTTGAGAATAGTATTTGAGGCAGAATCTGAACAGTTAATAATTTACAGAATATTAAAAGCTAAAATCACTTAATTGCTTTTGTTTACATTATTTAGCAACTTGAAACACTTAACTATCTCCATATTTCAAAGACCACCGTCTTTTAATCAGTCAAAGTTCACTTGATTTTGATGATTTATTATGTACTTGGTAAGGTTTGAAAAAGCTAGTCAGGCTATCAACTGAACTTTAATGTCTCTTTTGAAGAATCTTCTTCTCTATATACTGGCAGAAGCACTGCTTGCCATGAATGACAGGGTGCCTGTTTGTGATTGCATTCTCAAGCTGGTTATTAATAAGATCATTCATATACCCATGAAGGTGGACTTGTGTCGTGTCTAAACATTCTTCATTCAAATATGCAAGCAGTGGTTCATCTTGATGCTTTTTACCATAGAGTTTAGCATTTATACTTAACACTATCATTTTGAGGACATTCTTGTTTGTTGCCAATAAGTTTCCCCTTTGTGTAATCCTTTGTTGCCAATGTTCAAGGCAGGGCTTTAGATCATACTTCATGATGTTAAGTACTATTGAGTCCACTGTAAAGTTTATGTTTAAAAGTACTTTATGCTTGTGTCCCAGTGATATTGAGTGCTTTGACAACATCCTGCAACAAATACGTTGATGGTACATGTAGGCCTTATATAGGTAACCAAGAAACATGAGCATAAATAATAGTGCATTTGAATAGAATCCTAGAATAATCAATATGAACACTAGAATGGTAGCTAACATCGTATTGAGTTTGCCATAGTATTGCTGAATATTGTCCATGATTTCACGAAGTGTATCCCCTGACATTTCTATTTTCCTTTGTTCAAGACCTTCTTTGAGTTCATCTTCACGTTGAAACTGAATTGCATCCCACCTCCTATGGATAATTCCTTTCAAACTGTATGTTATCCCCATATTATATTTGCCATGAATAGAAAAGTGAGAACCATTTATCGCAACTGCTTCACGTAAATATCCTGACAAATCATCTGGGTTCTGTTTCAGTGATTGCCATATCTTCTTAACAAGCTCCTCATCGTTCATGTGTACCGCATCCAAATATGACATGTAATTTATAGACACTGGTATTTCACAGTTCTCCAATTTGACAGGCACCATATTCGCAAGACCTCTAATTCTTAGATCATGAGCTTTACTCAGTTCTGTGTTACACCAACAACTCTCCAGGAAAGCAGGTGTGATTAGAAGCACTGTCTTCATACTTTTTAAAATGCATCGGTCTATTTCATTTATATTGTCACACCCAGGCATAAAGTCCCTCTGACCGTAAGCGCATTTAATGTTGTATGGAGATTTCTCCAGCTTCTTCACAATATTTTTCATTCTTTCTCCATCTGAAGTAGCATATCCAAAGAATAGGTGATATTCCTTTGTTTCTGGAAGTTCAATTTCAGCCATTTGTTCGTTGAGGTCTTACAAATGTTTACAATGTTGGTATCTGATATAGTGCAGTAGAATACTAAGAAGTATATAATCAGTGATAAATAATAGTGTTGTTCAAAATACTTATAAGGAAGATGTTAATATTTAACTTTAAGAAAAAGCGTTTTGTTAACAAGTTAAATGCAGCCAGTACCGGGTTTATTTTCACCTCTGTTTGCGCAGATTTTACTTCCGGTTCGAGTAGAGCTAGCTCCAAAGAAAGTCAGTTTCGCATTTTTAGATTGTCCCATAGTTCTGCTTCAAATGCTTTCGAAATATATAAAGAGAGCAATGTATAATTAATAAAAGGATTTTTGTTTCTTCCTAAGGTCATAGTTGATGATCTTATAGCTAGAATTGTGCAAAAACTTCTCTAAATATAGCCGGTGGTTTTCATACAAGCACAGCTAAGACTGTTGTTAACTAACTCGCTATAGCTAATTTTGTTCACAGTCAGCATCATCTATCTATATTATATAAGTCTTAGAACTAATTTTGGCTACTCACTAATATAGAACACAGGCACTGTCATGGTATTCTCATATATCATGGACTACTCTCTCTAGTGAATATCTGTATCAAGTGAACACCTGTGACTAGTGAACACCAATTCTTAGTACATTATCAACTTATTGCAGTGCAGCAAAACCTGTATCTAGTGAACTCTTTTCTCTTATGAACACCTGTGTCTCAAGAACACCTTTTTCTAGTAAACACCAATACTCAGCACATAATCCACTGACTGCAGTGCAGTAAAACCTGTATCTAATGAGCTTCTTTTTATTAATGTAAACACCAGTGTCTAGTGAACACGCGAGTTTGGTGAACATTAATTCTTAGCACATAATCCACTGACTGCAGTGCAATAAAACCTGTATCTAGTGAGCACCTTTCTAATGTGAACACCTGTGTCTAGTGAATACCTTTGTCTAGTGAACACCTATGTCTGGTGAACACCAATATTTTTATTTCTGTCTGTAGATGAAATTACTTTTGAACAGGGGGGGGTCAGGATCCCTATTTTTCTAAAGGGGGCTTGAATACACAAAAAGCCAATAAATGGCCAAAAAGCATAATTTTTCATTTACTACAAAAATATATGTCTAACAAAAATAATGAGAAAATTAAAAAGGATAAATTAATGATTTTGAAGATTCCAGCATGGGGGGTTTCCGATAATCCCCACCCAGCTACGCATCTGTGATGTTTTCTATACTACTTTTCTTTATTATTTATCATGTCACCACCCAATAAGTGACATATCTTGATCACCACAGATTTGAAATGGCGTTTCCATCTGCCTGTTGGTCTGACCAGGTTTTGGTATAATTCAGTTACCATGGCAACGGTACTCACATCTTTGAAAAATGGTACATGGTAACAAAAAATAGGAAAAGAAAAGACTTATTGTTAACTTTGATATTGTGAAACAAATTATATTTATAAAAATAATGTCTACATGGGAGGATTTTCATATTAATTAGGGTAGCAGATTATGTTACTTAAGAAATATAGACCAAATAGCAGGGTTTCTAGTTTCGAATAACACCCCGCTGGTCTCGGTATTTATATAATATTTAGCCAAAATACTTGAGATAGAAACATCACTTGGAAGAAAATTCAAATCTCACTCAGTTTATTTTGTGTTTGCAGGCTTACATCCAGACAGGGGATGATGATGTTGATCGTGAGATTCAAACAGAGGAGATTGACACCAGAGACAAGTGGAGTCAACATCCTGGGGAGGGAACAAAATCTTCTGGGGGTATGTTGAATAAAATGTCAATTTATGTGTGGATCTAGATAAATATATTATTTTCATTAAAAATTAAGATATTGGAATCATATTTTGACTTTTTCATACTACATGTTACAAGTGTGGTTATGATGTATCTTTTCATGGGTTATTATGCCACCATCACTTGTGGTAACATATTCTTATTAGGGCTCCCACGGTTTCATAATTCCTCGGTTCGGTTCACGTTTTTTATGTCCTCGGTTCGGTTTCGGTTCGGTTTCAGTTCGGTTTTCGGTTCTTATCGCACTTTAATGTAAAAAATCAAATAACTCAAACTGACCGTTTTTTCACACGTACCTTTCTCATATACCATAACAATTTTGCAAAGCCGGCATATCGTTCTTTCCGGGAGAGGAACACCATCTCGTTGGAAATCCAAAATAAACCCCAACAGTGGGCCTTGTACGACTTTGGAGCGTTTAGAATGCCGAAATCTTCACCTCTCGTTTCGAGATTCATCTTCCTCTACTTTAGCGAACGGCACTTTTTACTGAATTAACGAACCGTTAAAAAACCGAACATTGGTGTTTTCGAACCGAACGTACCGACCGAGGCCCAAGAACCGCGGAGCACCGCAGTTTTGGTGCACCGTTAGACCCTTAATTCTTATGGTCTCCAACTTTTATGTAGATTCTAGCAGTTGCCATTTGGTGTCTGTAACAAATGGCAGGTAGTGGCATTTTGCATGTTAATGCCCTGTCGTTACTTGTCATGCTTATTACTCATCATTAGAATAATTCTCATATTCTGATGTAATCAAATACATGTATGAACAAAGTATTCAAATTTGATGGGTAACTTAAACATGTATTATTGAAAGTGTATTGTCTTTCTTGTAGGGGCAGAAGGGGAAGTGGGAGCAGATAATGAGGAAGAGAAAGAAAAACCAGTAGATGTTCAGAGTCTTGGTAAATTCCTGGCTAAAGCAGGTCAGGTAAGGTCAACAGTCTTTTGAGTAATATGTGGAAGTCATCAAATCTTTATTTGTCTGATTGTCTTTCCAATCAAATTGTAAATGAGTGGATTAGTTTTAGCATATATTCTTGAGAAATGTAAGTTAATGAAAAACCAGAATGAAATCCTGTGCTAAGGGCTGGTGTGAAAAAGTCCATCCCAGTCCGGTACCCTAGTGGGGATTGAACCCATAGCCTTTCGTTTTTCCGTTGAGTTCTCTACCACCGAGCTAAACAGCGTAGCCATGCAACTGTTGATTGGCTAAATGTTATTCATAGATTCCATTCCCAAGAGAATATTTGTAGATCAAAATGTCCTTAAAAATATTTAAGCATTTTCCTCAATGTTTTTTGAATTCTTAGGCGATAAGTGTGCTATTGGAGGAGCAATCTGCATTGGACCATCAACTCCAGGCATCAGAAAGTAGATCCAACATTCCATTTAGTGACAGCTACACCATACTTGGCAATACTCCATTTTTACAAGGTAATGTATAACTATATGAAATGGCACACACATACTGTAGATAATGATTTATTTACTTTCAATCATAAATCCACTAATTTGGTGAATTTTCATATATTATGTGTTGATGTTGATTGTCCCTGGAGGTTATTTTTCAAAGGATTCCTGGGGATCATCTATCAAACAAAAGTACACTTTTTGTATGTGTTTGATAGTTTCATCTCGTTTTGATATGATTTGTATACATTGTATTGTCAAGTCTTGTTTTATTAATTTTTAGGTAGACAAGTAATACATAGTCAATTTGCAACTATGCAGAGCAATCTATTCCTTGCTGTATATAGTCGACCAAAACAGGCAAGTACTACACATCTAGCATTGGCATACTTTATCATTTTAGATCCTATCTATGTTTTAATGAGAGGCATGACATTTAAACCTGTCAGGAGAGATTCAACAGAAATATTGTCTGATTTTGAACAATGTGATATTTTTCTCTTGCTCCATGAAAATGATTTTGATATAATCCTTTGATATAAGATATTGAGAATTTGGTTGAAATACGTTGATAGATATTGTTTGATCATGTGTCTGCATTATTTCATACTTTCAGGTTTCCCCTGGAGATATTTTATCAAACAAAGGCCTGGTGTGTTTGTGGAATATACATGAACCATCAGCACCTCAAAAGTAAGTATTTTACCCTCTAGGCTATCATTTAAGATTCTGTAATTATGAATTGATAAGATGCTGCATATGTATCTGCTGTCCAGGAATATGAGACGAAATTTTTAAAATGTCACCTAGCAGTACCTAGGGGGATTAAAGGGTTTGACCTCCCCCCTCATAATTGTCAAATGTAAACCCCCTAGGATTTTCGAACCAGTGAAGATTGTCTAATGATAACTTAATACAATGACCCAAACTGACTAAATCTGAAAGATACATACATATATTATAAGAACTAGCATTAAGATTGTATAGTGGCATAATATCAGGTTAGACCTTTGTCAAAAGCTGTATTTTCAATAAATATTGTTTCCTTTGCGTTTCAGAATTCTGGCCTGTGAGTCACAACCAACCTGCTGCTGTTTTAGTCCCAACAAAGCCCATCTGGCTTTTGCTGGAATGGTAAGTTTGACACGACTAAAGTTCTTGTAATTTCATATGTCCTAACAGTATGTAATATATTGCTCTTCAATTCAATCTATTTGAATTGAATATTACTTGGTGTTATTTTTAGCTCATTTGACTACTGACAAATAAATGCAGTTTGCATGCAAAATACTGATTTCAACATTATGTGGTGGAGTATTACACCTCTACCTCTAATGCACTTTTAGAGTGATGGTTCTCTTGTTGTGTGGGACCTGAGGGAGAACCCATCCCTACATAAGCACATCACACTGGCAGACAAAGAGTGGCTTGTTAGATATCCAACATATAGTACAGGTATACATATATACAAATATATATGTACAAACTAATCTCAATAAATTTTTCAAATATTGATTCTCTCTGTGATAACTGATAACTTCTCGTTCAGAATAAAGGATATTTTTGTTAAGGTTTTGGGGATTAAAGAATAGTGAAAAATGTGAGTTGATATTTAGATAATTTGACACTGGTGACATTTTGCATGTTTATTCCTTGTATTAATTTTTAAATAATTGTTTTACAGCTGGAATATTGCAGTATGATAACCACAACAGTGCAGTGACATCTATATTGCCTGTGATCTCACCACAGGACAAGGTGTAAGTACATTTAGAGTTTGAATTCTTCTGCAAATTCAACTGAGTAAAATATGCCACATGGCACAGTGCTGTCATTGAGGTATTTTTTTAAAATTAAAATCAATGTAACATATTTACAGGTTGTAGTGGCTATGACTCCTAAGAGGGAGTATTAGGTGCCACATAATGGTATTTACAATGATTTGTGAAATATTATAAGAAGTGTACATGTAATTGTGTATGGTATGATATTGTACATACCTGTACTTGAGAAAATAAACTGATTAATTAATTCTCATTTGAAAATGAATCACAGTTCCAAAAGTGATCATTGTTGTAAATCAGTTCTTACCTTCATTGAATGGATTTACCACTGATCACATAGCTCTTTTGTAAGCACAGTAACTGAAAATTCCTGTATTATATTTTTACCCATTAATTCACGTACAATCTGAATATGGAAGAAACTAAAAGGAGTGGGTGTTGTGGATGAGCGTGGATTTGATTTACCTCTGTCAATGGATCCTATATACTTCCAACTTAGTTCATGCATCACTTGGTAGGCTATAATTAGAAGTACTTATATGATTGCTATTCCAGCTCAAAAGGCAGTCATGCAAGTGACAGTGATGGACTGGGGTCAGGTCTTTCCTTTCAACTAGCCAGTATGGAGGAGCAGGCGGTCCTGAATCTATGGGTGAGTTGACGTAGTCTCTAAACTCAGGGGCTAAATATACAATAATTGCCTCACCATAGAGTCTTATGTCATTACATGGTCAAGGTGGCTATTGGCACATTAAAACTGATCCTTTACTTAGTTATTTTACCTTTGGTGCAGTTATCTTGATCCAAACGTATGTATCACCATTATCAATTTAATACTTACAATTGCATCCCTGCTTAATACTTCTTGTTAAAATAAGACCTTTGAGACCATAGATATTATAAAATTACAACTTACCTGATGGAAGCATTCTGGTCAATCTAGTATGTAAAACTATCATTCGAATTCTTCTTTCAGTATTTAAGTTGTCAATCATTGTACAGTAAATCATGGCGAATCTGAGAGCTATTAGAGACTAGCTTAAAGTGTTAGGATTGGAGGGTGTTCCCATTTTAACGTTTTATCAACAAGAAAGACTCTGGCCAATTAGAAAAAAGAAAAATATTCACATTGAGCTGTTATTGTTGAAAACATGTGAGCATGTAATTTGCATCGCGGAGCTTTTTGTTCTTTTTCGTGATGCCTGCTGACAAGGCTCATTAAGTGCTGTGTGGGTGGATTGTGTCCGCTGGCATACGAAAATGCACCCTGAGTGTTCAGATTAGATCTTCAGATATTACTGAACTTTCATTAATGCTTGCTTGTATATTTCAGGTTGTTGCTGAGATTGTAACTGCTGATGAGGCAGGGTCTGAGTCTGACCTGGGGCTGGCACCTGGAGGAAGAATCAAACTGCTCAAGAGCTCAGCTGTACATTTAGAAAACCCTGTAAAGTAAGTGGCTGAAACATACAAAAAACTTCACACATTTTGACAAGTAAGTGGCTGAAACATACAAAAAACTTCACACTTTTTGACACGTATCTTCTCAGCAATAACTGACTCAAATTATCTCTCATACTTGTACAATTTTTTCATTGGTTATGTATTTATGAGTAATGAATGCTGAATGATTTTGCAGGACATTTAAAGCATCACTGAGGGCATATGAAATGCAACTCTTGCCCTCTGATCCAAGTCACTTCTATGTTGGCACAGATTCTGTAAGTACTGTATATACAATACATATACAAAGTAAAGCTTTATAAAAATATTTAATTCTTTATGAAACATATTACAATAAATTATACAATAATTCATATCAAAGGATATGATGTTATCCGGGTCATGAAAGAAAAATATACACAAACATTGAAAAGTATCCTTTAATGTTTTCATTACTTTAAATTCACGTGTACGTGTGATAAGAATTAGGAAGGGGTTTGATGTATAATGAGACTTGTTGTAAGACATAACCCATTCCTTCATTTATGATTCATATTTGCTCTTGTTTGTCATATACAGAGTGACCCGAAATGATTGCAGCCTTCTTTTTGGGTCACCCTGTACATATTGTTCTATTGTAGGGCTATGTGGTGCATGGAGTGAGATATGGAGGCAAGGCACCCCCTAAAGGTTATAAACCAGAAATAGAAGCTCCTGTTGAAGTGTTCTGTCTGGACTTCAATCCATTCTCCTTCCCAATCTTTCTGGTAAGTCATACTTTGCTGTTTGTCAAACAAAATATACATACCCAAATGAAGTTTGAACTGTACAGACTGGTTGATACAAAAAATGTCCCATACATTTTAACCTGAGTTAGTTGAGAAAGAGTATTGGATAGGTGAATCAATTTCTAAATAAATGCACTCCTACTTATTATTGCTTATAAATTACAGATTCTGCGAAGAACTGATTTTGGAAATGAAAATTGAAGTATTTTATGAACAACTTTTATTGACACTCATGTACAGATCACGAACTCAAGAATGGTGAAAGAGATACAGTGACTAATGATCCCCTTAAAGGAGTTTAAAGTTTCAGTGACCTATAATTGTTTTGTTATTCCATCAATGTTATTTTTACAGGCTGGCTGTGCAGATGGTAGTATACGCCTACACAACATACATTCAGGTATGCAGCATTATTATACAGATTCTGTTAAATGGCTACCTGAGATTAGCTAAAGATTTTGAAAGAATCTCCTCCTTAGATTTTCTAAGCCTTTTTGTTATCAATTTTCAATTGGCTAATACTAAACTCTTATTTCATAGTCAATCATATTGCAGCTCTTTCACTCATTTATTTACTGTATTACAATCGTTGGATTGTATTTCATGATTTAGCTAGATACAACGTCAAATATAGTAACAATTGAATTCAAGATCAATGTTACTTGTGAGAGACTGCTCCATAAACATTCATGTGTTAAAATGAAACATGTGTATGTTGAAATCCTTTGATACAGTCAAAAAGTTTCACTTGGTTAGTGTTCATTCTACTTCACTGTACTTTATGGAAGGAGTGAGTTGTGATAAACTTGTAGTGAAATAAACTTTGTCTTGTGTTTAGAAAATGCTGCAATATGCTGGGCAGACTCAACAGAGGGGAGGTCTATTGTGTCTGTCCACTGGTCACGGAGCAGGCCTTCTATGTTCTATGCAGTTGATACTGACTCTATGATTTATGCCTGGGACCTCCTAATGGACGATGCCTGTCCTATACAAGTACATGAGATATCTGATGGGTGAGTGTCCGGAGCAGAGTTAAAGGGTAGATCTGCTATGCAAATACATCGATGCATTGCATAAAGAAACATTGCATATTGCACATTGCATAAAGAAAGATTGAAACAAATGTACATACATCTCTGTGTTTACTCCTATGATAAATACTAAAATAAAAACATTAAATGATGAGAGGATCTTTACAATGTCAGTCAAATAGGCACATTATGTTTTAGTACGTACAGCATACTTCAAGAATTTTGGATCTGGTCATACAGACCAGTTGTCATGTTGTTATTTTCCTGCTGAAAAAATGAAAATATTAGCTGACCTGAAGATCATAATTAAAGGGCCCTTATCTCTGTATAATATTATATACCTTTATTCCTTTTTTCAGATTAACATCAGTGTGTCTCTGCAATGATCATAAAGCAACCAATAAAGTGAGTCCAGGCCAAAAGCCTCAAATGGTGAGTGGTGTATACAGTCATGTAGTTATTCATTAGATGTTGTCAGTTTGTGAGAAACTAAACTTTATATATTAACCACTGGATTAAACCTTGCTTGATCAAATCTGTCTATGAAAATCAACTGTAGCAGCATTTACTCAGATCCAAAATATTAATTTTCTTCAAAATATATGATTTTTTGAAATGAGGCTTTAGCTCTACTGCAGTAGTTTGGAGTTACTCCATTTACATCATAAGAATTTTGAACCTGCTAGTCAAAATTGAATGGCGGAACAGTTTGAATGAGCTGGCTCAAATAAAAAATAATTGACCCCAAGGTTTTTTACTTGTTATTTTTTACTTGTTACTTGGTGAAATGCTGACGTCTCACTCAGAAAATCTACAGAACAATGTCTTCTCTTATTTACACTATGCTATCCCAGTTAACTTATTTATCCAAAATAATATGTGTGTATATTTATGACATTATGTTGTAAATATCCACTTGTTTTGTGTGTATGTTTCACTACAGCTCCTTTAGTTTGATTGATATAGTCTGAGCTATCAGACAAAATTGGAGACAGCTTGTAATATTAAGATAAACAGCTCAATTATATAACAAAAGTAATTTTTTATATATTATTTTTTATTTTGCAGGCTTTATGCAGATCTGAGGGTAACGTTGAGATACACAGCTTTAAGCAGGAATTCTCAGCTCAGGGGACTGATGAATTGACCACGTTCCAAAACTACTTAGACAGGATTATATGACTTTGAGTTTAGATATATGAGGTTGGGCTCGATTACATGAGATTTATTGGAATAATTTGAACTTCATGTATCAATCAAGGTGTAGTTCGCTGTCGCAGTAGTTACCAGATGAATTGTGGCCTACAGATGACCTTAATACTCAAACCACATGCAGGGTGACTTGCCCCTAATCCAAGTCATAAATTCTTGCATTTACTGTGCCAAGTGGTTCTTGGTCTCAAGCCGAAATAGTCATTGCATTTGATATTGTGACATTTTAAGGATGGCACAATAACAACTTTACATTGTATTCCATCCAGGCATGATTTACTCTGCACATCCGTCCAAACATTCTTTGACTGACCATTAGGCCTATATGTCACTGCCCCCAGGATTCCGTGTTTGCAGAGCGCGGACGGAATTTGCCTCTGCCCGCGGAATTGCAGAATCAACTATTTTGGTCAATTTCCGCGGAATTTTCCGCAGAATCCATATATTTTCCAAAAGTTTAAAAAGTCAGTCTTACCTGTAACAATTTGACACGTTTTCAGTCAAATCCCTTGCAGAAATAACCCAAATTATGCGAAGTGAAAATTCTAAACGCCATCGTTTGATTTCTGCCGTTAGATGGCAGCATGTATGTAGTGACTGACTACCTGACTATCACGATATTTTCCCGTTTACTGGTTCGAAAACCATTAGTTTTTCTTTCGGTTCTCGTCAGAAAGTTAAACAAAGACATAAATTAATAACAGTTATTTATATTATATAAAAAAATGCCGCGAATATCCGCGGAATTTCTGCAGAATTAGCCCTTCTTGCAGAATTCACTAATTTCACTTGCAGAATTGAGCATTTTAACTTGCAGAAAACTGGGGGGAGTGATATGTATATGTTAGGAGTATTACTTTATGATTTTTGTTTCAAAAATTGAATGATGAATCACTATTGGGTCTACATGTAAAAATCTTGATATAATTTTCACAAACTTTGTATTATATACTTTACAAGCAGAATGAACACCTTGTTTCTAACTAAAAACATATGTGTAAACTGTGATATCTAATTGCATGAACGGGCTGACTCGATACTTTGTCATAATAAAGTCATCTTTCACTCATTTATGTAAAAACTATTTACAGATTTACATTGATCTACGTACATGTATTTTTAATTCGATGGTTGTTTCAACCTAAAAACAAATGTGAGCAAAATTAGGGATGTACGCCATCTTAATAATTATTCAACAGGCTACAAAAGATCTCATTCTTTACAAAATAAAAGATATATTTATATTGAGGAACAATCATACAGGGTGTCCAAAAAACAGGACTGTAAGAAAGTTGAATAACTCGGTCAATTTTGCATATTTTGCCTTGAAATTTCAGAATTATTTAATTCATTCAATGTGAATTTTGTTGTGAATGTTTGATTATAATCTGCCAATTTTATCAAAAACTACAGTTCTTAAATCCTGGTTTTTGGACACCCTGTATATCTACAACTACAAGCAGCAGTAATATTATAAAATTTAATTTTCTTGTATTTATGTATTACCTTTGAGTTGAAGGAAGCCTATTTAGCCTTGTATACATAACTGTAAAAATTGTATATATATACAAATTGTACATAAACTAAAAAGAGATAACTTATCAAAATTGTAAATAAAAAAAGATATTGTAAGACTTTCAATGATAGAACATCTGAATGCCCCTTTAAATTGGATTTCTTTTTTATATTTGATGATAATATTAGAGGTATATTTTTGTGCGCTGAAAGAGCCAAAACTATACTGCACATTGTTGTGATGTCTTCTAGGAACAGCATGTGAAAAATATAAAATCATGAACTGATTAAGACTCTTTTTTGTTGTTTACTTTATAAGGCATAAAGTACTCCTGTTTATTAACTTTGGGATAGATTCTAAGCTTGTTATATATTTTTTGCCAGATAATTTTTAAAATTGAAGCATTATCCTGAAATGAAGTTGGAACATTTCGTACTTTTAGAAATTGGCATATCATTAACAAGCAATTAACATGCAAAATGTCACCACCATTTGTTACAGACAATGAACATCTACCGCCAAACACTGTCCACAAAAATGTAGAGACTATGATGATAATTTACTCTCAACTGGTCTCAAGTCACTATAATTTAGTGGAAATGTCATTCATTAGCCTAATTTGTAAAAGTATTCTTTGTAGGTTCAATTACAGGATGAGCAAAAAGATAAAATTATAGAGTTATCGTCATTTTTTAATGCACATAAAGTATTCTGATGGATGCGACAAAAGTTGGTCACAACCATGTCAGCATCAATCATAATATTTGTTGAAATCATTTCATAATTGGGCCAAACGAGTTCATTGTACTCTTTTTGTAATGTGAGTAAAACATGTTCCCCCACCACCCATTAATATGTGGACACAACTCAGGGGTTCTTTTAATTTTTTTTTATTTATTTCTAGCATACATAATATGTACACACAGCACAAATCTGGAATAAAAACAACAAAAAATTAGATTAAAATTAGATTAGGTTCAATTGTGAAAAATGACAGTATCTGGTCAATTTTACAGACAAGAATGATCATTCAATCATTTGACAGTATTCAATGTGCAAGATGATGGACCAGAAAACTTACAAAATAATTCATTTTTTCACTAAATAATGTATTAGGCCTGTTAGTTATCTAGTGAATGGTACAGTAACGCCAAACCTACAAATTACCAATCTTGGTTTACAGAGATAGCAGGATTTGCTGAATTTCATCTATTCAATAAATAGTAATCCATTATCAAAGGATTGTCAGTTTCCTTCATCAATGCCACGGACGTTTTTTACAAAGAGTGCACAGTGGCTGCCCCTTTCTAGTCCCTCACAATATTCTGAGTGATTTACATGCAAGTGTTGTGGAGTCTCACAGGACTGACCAGGTATGACATGTCACAATGTATCCTTTTGAACTGGCATGTTGGTACACCATTGGATGTGTCAAATAATCACACTTCATTCAGCAATATCGGAACAATGTACTCTTGCCAGATCTAGCCTATATATCAGACACTGGATGCTCATATGTCAAGTCCAGCTTGTTGAGAAAATGTTATGCACTCATGTGTGGCTGTACTTCTGTAGTGAAGTCCATGGATCCAATATATAATGTGTTCTGCCTCTTACTTAGTCCAACTAACTTTAGGAATGTCATAATGTTCACTTAGATTGCCCAATTTTTCATTGAATTCCTGAAAAGGATAAATAATACATTCTTATTGATTGATTTTACTTGCTGAAGAATACATATCTCAGCATTCAAATATTTCGTTTATTGAGAAAAGTGAAAATGTTTATAACACGTTGAATTCTTAAATGGAAAGAAACCTTAGATTGCCAGATGGGAGCTGGATGGGAGATTTAACAAACTGGCACAAAAAGTGTGTTCAGAAAACACATGTTCAGATTAGAGAAGTGAATGTTATATACAGGTACATGTATTATAATTCAAAATCATCAATTAAACATACATGTAATGTGTAAAAATAGAGTGAGCTAGGCAGGTATAAATTCATCTATACAAAAATAATTTCAAAACATTCAAATGGAAATGGAAAAAAGTTTTACTTTAGAATAGTCAGAAACTTACCATGATTCTTTCTTTGTGAGTTTTGGACGCCATCTTTAATAACTCTTGCTGTTTCTGAAAAACAAATCATTTTATTCTATGAATGGCAAAGTGAAACAATTGGTTGAATCAACAATGACAAAATGCACCACTTCAACAATCTTTCGCAACACTGAACCCTTCATCATATATTTTTAAGTGTTATGTCCTTTATCTGTTTCATGTTGAATCCAACTCAACTATTCTGAAAGATCTGAAAGTGAGGCAAGTACAATAAAAGAACTATTCCAAATTGATCTACACGTACATACCAATGCTTTTTTTCTTTCAATATAAGCCTCTTCAGCTTTAGTTCTGTATTCTTTTTGGGATGAAGATGCACCATCATCAGAATTGGCTTGTTGCTGCTGAGCTTGCTCAAGCATCAGCCTTTCTCTCTCTTTTTCCTTGGACTTCTTCTTTTTCTTCCTAAAACACATAATCATACAATTACAAATGTACACCAAAAGAGTACTAGAGATTTAGCTTTGATTATACATGTACAATTGTATCGGGTCTCTTCTTTCAGGACGTGGGGCTGTTCAAAGAGACCGGGTGGTTCTTGGATACTTTTTTCTGAATCATTCTTGAGAGCCTGTCTGAATCTCTTTTTCGTGTATACTTTTCTCAGCATCATTTTGCCCTATTCTTCAATTTCTTCCTTGTATATAGTAAAAGATCCGTAGGGAGACGAGGTAGGTTTGACATTTTTGGCCCCTTTCTTTGAAAATGCTGTGAAAAGTAAAGCCTAAGCTTACTTCCGGGTTTTGTTTAAAATCAAAATGAAAATTATAAAATTACGGTCCCAATTTCTTCACAACTAAAATGAGCTACGGTATGAAATTATGTTACGGGTTAACTGAAACACATAAATTGACAGTCGGCATGTATTGAAAGTCTTACTTTTTCATTCCAGAGTCAGAAACACCTTTTAATTTCAGAGCTCCCCGAGATACGTTTTCGTAAGCAGACATTTTTATTTTCCTCTCGCGAGATCTCGAACAAAGTCTCTTCTTCCTTTCAGCCATATTGCTTTCAAAGTGTAGTGTTCTTCTTGAAGCTAAGGCCAAAATCGGCGACATACACTAAGATAGTAATCCATCCACAGTAAAACTATAAAGAAAAAGAAAGAATGGCATCCAACGACGAACTTGCTTGCATTTACAGTGCTCTCATCCTTGCTGATGATGATGTACAGATCACCGTAAGAAATTTCGAAAATATTTCACATTTTTTTAAAAATAATTTTTTAATTATTTAATTTCAGTAGACTCTTGAAGTAAGAGTGATGTTTTACACATGAAGTTTATGAATTGATCCTTCCTCCAACATATACAAAATGTCCACAGCTAACTTTCCATTTGGACAGATTTTGTTTGTAAGCTGAAAAATGTGAATGTAGCCTACAGTGATTTTTTTATTTATTCTGGGAATCAGTTCATATGGTTAGAATAAGGAAAGAATGTGATGTAACCACGTGTCTACTTACCGGCTTGATCTATGTCATCCATCAGACTAGGCTACATCTTATCTCGTTCCAAGACTATCTCTACGTTCTAGTCTTGCGAACGTCTTATTCTTTTGTCTGTACGATTACAACATGGGAGAATTTTCTACGCTACTTACACTTAAGGTCATGGTGCATGATGGGAAATTCTCTGCATTCCTCAATTGAGTCACATGTTATTTTTCAAACAAGAATCCCTCCTTCCCCACATTGTCTATATCTTCCAGTTTTGCACAAAGAGTGCACTTATGTGCCTAGAAAAGACTTGTGAGAAGAATGTTTTGATAAAGTGTATAAAAAACAAGAAAATTCAGTGAAAAAATTCAAAAAAATTTCAGAATTTTTTTTCACTGAATTTTCTCATTTCAACTACAGTAAAACCTGTCCGATGGAATACCTCTCTGTAGGGAAAACCTATGAACAAGGAATGCTTTTCAAAAGAACCAAATATTTTTCCATTGACTTACATGTTAACAGACCCTCTCTGTAGGGAAAACCTGTGAACAGGGAACAAGGAACACTATTTTGGTGCAAATTATGAAAATTCACCTGTGAACAAGGAATATGGAATATTGGTGACACTGTATATTCCATTATTTTTCAGAGATGTGAAAGTCTTAAGCCAATATCTGATTCTAAAAAGCTTGGATTAATATGATTGAGATTAAGATAAGCCAATTATTTACACGATGAAGCATCCCACCCACTGTTAATTACCCTGATATATTTTAAAACTAATACTAATCTGTTTGTTACTAATTATCATGACACTAATTCTTCCTTTCAACAAACATAATTACATCAAATCAGTTGTGATAATCTAGGGATTGACACAATTGTTTTATGGAGATAACAGATACATGTAAGTACATGTGTCATGTTGAGCCAAATCTATCAATAATTACAACAACTAGACATCATCATACGCCAGCAGCAGCGGCTTAAATCAACATCGGGAGAATGCTCCTTACCCTCAGCTAAAGGAGGGAGGTGGGAGACCTTCATACATCTTCCAAGATGTCACAACAAGGTATAGCAACCAAGTATGGAGTCGGCATTGGTAAAATCAATTAATGCCCAAATATATACAAAAAATGCGTATTCGGCAATTGTGAGTTTGCTGAAAGTGCGGCCCCTCTCTATAGGGAAAACCTCTGAACAAGGAAACTTTCCTCCAGTCCGAAGAGCATTCCCTGTTCGCAGGTTTTACTGTACACAAAAAGAATGCTAAAATACCAAGGAATCTATTGAAATAGGTATCTTAAGGACAGGGTGCATGTTGGAAAATTTTCTGCATTCCTCAATTGAGTCACATGTTATTTTTCAAACAAGAATAACTCCTTCCCAACATTGTCTACATCTTCCAAGTTTGCACAAAGAGTGCACTTATGTGCCTAGAAAAGCCTTGTGAGAAGGTTTGTTTTGTAAAATGTATAAAAAATGAGAAAATTCAGTGAAAAAAATTTCTGAAAATTTTCTGATTTTTTTCACTGAATTTTCTTGTTTTTTATACACTTTATCAAAACGTTCTTCTCACAAGTCTTTTCTAGGCACATAAGTGTACTCTTTGTGCAAAACTGGAAGATATAGACAATGTGGGGAAGGAGTGATTCTTGTTAGAAAAATAACATGTGACTCAATTGAGGAATGCAGAAAATTTCCTATCATGCACCCTGACCTTAAGATACCTATTTCAATAGATTCCTTGGTATTTTAGCATTCTTTTTGTGTAGTTGAATCCACAATTGTGTGGGTTTATCGGCAGAACGAAGAGGTTTTCGTTTTTGATAGCAATATTTGCGTGTAATATTTAACTTATTTCAACCGTCCAATTCCTCCATTCAGTTCCCGGCATGCACCAGTCTAAGGGAAATCCCTGGGGAATTCCCCTTCCGACATTTTGAAAATTGCTGATATATTTCCGATGTAAAAACTAAAATCTCTTCGTTCTGCCGATAAACCCATACAATTGGCGATCTAACAACATAAAAAGAATTCTAAAATACTCTGGAATGTATCGAGGTAGGTCATTTAATATTGCAATGCGTAGTTCATTCTCCGACATTGTAGAAAGACAGGCTTACCAATGATACCGGCGTACGACCACAATCTAAAGGGGTCGTAGGATGCGATAAGGCTACATCGTGGAACGCAGCCAAACACAACAATGAAGCAACTATTCTGAGGTTATAAAATCTAAATAATTTCCCATTTGCAGCCCCTTGGAGATTTCCGGAATTGATCAAAGTAGCGAACGTTGCGATCTTTCAACTTTAGTTCGTTCTTTTTCACCACCTTAGGTGTAGAATTTTCATTTAGGAGGCGGTCTTATTTGAATGCATCATTTCAGGTCTTTATGAATCAATAGATCAATAAGCAGACTAAAAATACAATTTAGCAGTTTCATTGCGTACTGCGCCTGTTAGGCACGAAATACAATTTAGCAGTTTCGTTCGTTATTGGGACTTCTATAATCAGTAGCAAATGCTCGGAAAATATTTTCCAAAATATTTACTTCCGTTTTCCTTGAAGACATGGTTGGGTGACACGTCATTGACACGTGATTAAGTCACATGATCGATACAGTAACTAGTCACGTGATCAGACACGTGTCACGTGTCAGTCACGTGAGCTTGCAAAATGGACGATCTAAATTTCCAAAAATTCAGCTAAGATCAAGATAGATATGCTGTTGCCTTCAGTGTCGTGTTTGGCTGCGTCTCACGATGTAAACTAGTCCGATGGATGACATACAACAAGCCGGTAAGTAGACACGTGGTTACATCACATTCTTTCCTTATTTCAACCATATGAACTGATTCCCAGAATAAAAAAATGACTGTAGATCTATTTATTGGTTACAATGAAAATGTGCGCCAATTTTGAATGTGCTGGCTGGTGGCGCACTAACTTGCTGTTCAGAATGATCGATCCCGAGTCCATTGACATCTTATGGGAAGCTGCAATTACTTCACTGACTATTATTAGGGATAATTCTGGGGTTTTATCTAGTCTATTTCCAATAGACCGAGTATCCTGAGAATTCGGTCTATTGATCTTCATTTGGCTCGTATGGGAAATTCCATGAAATTTCGTGCACATTAATTTCTCTTTCATTACAAGTTCTCTCAAGATGAAATTTGGTACATGTATTACTGATGCCTTTATCTTAAACATTTCCTTAAATTATTAGCAATAGACGGCTACAGTTTGCTATAAAATAATAAATTGTTTCAACTCACCTGTTTTCATTAGGTTGGTTTCAAAATGGCAATTCAACTAATGTCAAGGACGTTTGAGTTCACGAGATATAAACGAGATTTCCAAATTTTTGAACTCTGACGTTTAACCTCAAACATGTGACAAACTCTGAAACTCCACCTCCTCATTATCATTCCGCCCCATTCACCAGATATGACGTAATCCAGAAACACGTTCGAATAGTGATATGCACAGAAATTTGCATAAATGCATTTCCGGAACTATGCTCTGCCCATCCACGTGTGATTTGTTTACAAACATAATGACGTCACTAGTGAAATCTCGTATCGTGTTGCATACTGGGAATTGAGAATGACAAACATGGCGGTTATATTGATATCAACTAAAATCGTCTTGAAAGTTTTATGAATATCTTCAGTTATAAGACAAAACAAGTAAAAATAAGAATGTAAGTGCTTTATTCAGTATTCATATTATCATTATATACGATCTTTTATCAAAATTCATGAAACACCACATCTGGCAATATGTCGTCTCTAGTCTGAATATTTTCAACCAAATTTCAAAAAATATCAGACTAGAGGATATAGTCTAGGGTTTTATCACATCATTTTCTTTTCCATTTTTTTTTACTTTTCATAACTGTGTCTGGTTGTTTGTTCCTTCTTTAGCTTTCATTTTATGCGCTATGCAGCACTAGAGCTGGATGTCATTACTAGTGTCGTAGCGATTAATCGATGCATCGCGATATACATCGCCAAAGCTGATTCTGGCGATGCATCGATGTCTGAAACAAAACATCGATGTTTTAAAAAAATTTGATTTGCTAAAAATCACCCTTTCTTATCTTATTTTGGCGCAAATCGCTTACCTTTCTCATGTCTTATTTCATTTTCCAATGTTTTCTGATATTCTTTCGCTTTAAAACTGTTTTAGCTAGTCGAAATGAACCATTAATCTAAAAAAAATTACTTTACTTTCATTTCATCGTTACTAGAAGTTCCCGGATGTACCAGCGTACTCTTATTAATTTGTTCTGTTCGGTATTTTAGTGCATTAGCGTTCGGTATTTCAGTGCACTTTTCTCGGACTTTTTCTCGATGTACATCGCGATGTGCATCGATGTTTACTACTGAAAATTGCCGATGCATCGATGTACGATTATGGCACAATGCGACAACACTAGTCATTACGGGGATTCCCTTTCTAAACCTTACCAGCATATAATGAAGAGATATCAATGAAAAAATGAAAACTTCCTTGCTGTGTCGCTAAAACCCTTGTTTGAAGATTTGACTATATAAATGAATCCCAAATATTCAGGAATTTATCTAGGTATGTTTTACTCACTTCGAGAGCCATGTTAGATTTTGAAACTTATGGTTCTCAAACGGGGAAGTGAACAGCTGATTAATAGTGACCTTTGAAATCGAATTAAGTCGATCCACGGCTTACTTTTGGTCTCTAACTGTGTCTTACATCGGTATCATCAATCCGTGTAAGTATTGGAGCGCTGAAGTACTTCCTTTTCGATCAAGACTTGTAATTGTTAGTCGAGTGAATGTTTTTACTGCCAAATTCCAATATGACATTTTCTGCTGGGACATTTTCGTAAATCTCCGGAGGTTGTCCGAACCTAACTGATTCTCAAAATTCATTTCGTTCATTGCGTATCTTGCTCCTAGCAAACCGCCATATTGGAAATAGGTCTAAAAAACATTCACTCGATGAACAATTTACAAGTCTTGATCGAAAAAGAAGTATTTCAGCGCTCTAGAGTCCATTTCACTGCTTCATTTCGTCAGTAGAACGGCAAAAATAAGAAATTGGGAGACCATTGTGCAATAATATATGGAAAAGTATATTCATAATGTACATGAATGACATTTGTATATCTTGGATTGCTTCTAGTTTGGCTTATAAAGTGTGTGGCCTCTTATATTTGGATGTTTCTCTGCCATGTTATTTTAATAAGATTAACATGGCTGAAATTCTTCAAATTACAAGACAGCACAGGCTTATTGCACAAAAAACTAAAAAACTGAAATATACAAATGTCATTCATGTACATTATGAATATACTTTTCCATATATTATTGCACAATGGTCTCCCTATTTCTTATTTTTGCCGTTCTACTGACGAAATGAGGTAATGAAATGGACTGTAATACTCACACGGATTGATGATACTGATGTAAGACACAGTTAGAGACCAAAAGTAAGCCGCGGATCGACTTAATTCGATTTCAAAGGTCACAATCATTCAGCTGTCCAAATGCTCCGTGGGAAAGTTATTATATCAAAATCCAAATAGCTTTCGCAGGAAGTAAGGTATGTTATAGTCATATAAATCCGACCGTTGTATGCTGTTCTTCGATTTTTCTTGTTCTTATTTGGATATTTATTTTTTATCATTTTCTTAGCATATACGGTTGTAGATATAATTGCTAACAAATTGCGGTAAATGCTTTTCTGTCCTGTCTTGGTAACCATAGTTACCATACTAACCAAAGTCACACAAATTATCGAGTAATTATTTCGCTCCAACATCAAAGTGTTAAATCTTACCTTAGACATGTAAAATGCTTGATAATTGACGAAATATAATCAATTGAATTATATTTTCATTATTGCCCGCCATGTTGCTGAATGTTGTTTCCGGTAGTCTAAATGTAAAACATGTATCGAAACGGAATCATAATTATTTATTACACAGAGATCGATTCCAAAGCCGTTCTCTCATACTTATTACTTTTCTCATTTTGAAACAATAAATTTTCCAAATAACTTCCCTTCTTAACGACACTGCTTCCCTTTCAACTGAATCTTCGTGTAACAAATACTTATGATTTCGTTTGATATAGTTTTACATCTAGACTCGGATTAACCCGGAAGTGACCTTGGTATGGCAAAATGAAAAAATTTTAAAATTCAAGTGGCATGCTTATATTTCTTCAATTACCAAGTGTTTTACGTGCCTAAGGTAAGATTAAATACTTTATAGTTGAAGCAAAGAAATTTATTTATCATTTGTGTGAATTTGGTTGGGTAGACAGGCCAGGAAAGCATTTCCCGCAATATTGATGCGCGGAGTGTGTATGACCCTCGTATGCAAGACAATAAGAAAAAATAAATATCCAAAATCAGAAAAATAACAACAAATAACATAATACGAGGGTCAGATTTATATGACTAGGTATGTTATTGCTGTAAAGCTCGTACCACAAATTGTCATGTTTTGAAAATAATAAAGGTCTTCAATAAGAGGATCGATCGTTTCCTGTTGGTGCATAGTGCATATTTTCATTGTAACTATATTTCTCGGTATTATACTCTAATAATGTTACTCTGATGTTCGTTTCTTGGTCTGGATCTTGGTCTGGAGATGAACGCTTAGAAATATTATTGCCAGATTGGTTCATGCATACCTCATTTGAAAATGAAAAGTGAAAATTGTCCTCTATTTGCATAAGTCTAAGCTGTCTCTGAATTGATCAAGAATTCTCTTTATTTGTTGAGTAGATATTTTGTACCAAGATACCAAAGTGTTGGTTTTGATATAGTAAAATTTCAGAAGTAGCCTATTGTTTAAAATCTCTAAAGATTTCCAAATGAGAGCTTACACACACTCTGAAGATCATTCATAAATCTCTGGAGAGTTGTGCGTCACTTCATGAATTTGGGTAATATCTGCCATTTTTGATTCTTGGTGAAAATTTCCACTCGATTGATGAAAAGAAGTCCTGATCGGCACAGAGGCAGCTGATAACTTCAATAGCTTAACCAGTCGTTAACGCCAGTTAGGGAAGATTGCTAAAGAATGATGCAGCCTAAATCCTCCTTAGAGTAAACTTGACTGTTTCAGAATCTTAGAATTTTTTAACAAAATCTGTATTCCTAACCTACATGTATATCTGATTTGAATGTATTGAACGATTATGAGGAATTTGAAATGATTGAATGGTTTCCCTTTGGAAAATACTGTGTTGTGTTGATCTATAATCTTAATTAAGTTTCATTGATTTTTCCAGGATGACAAAATCAACACCATCCTGAATGCTGCCGGTGTATCAGTAGAACCCTTCTGGCCAAGTAAGTAAAGAGCAATTACATGCTGTCCTGTTAAAAATCTAGTTTGCATTTAATTGAAATACTTTATCAGAACAGCTAGAAAACCTGATTAGGTCAACGATACACATCATTTTTTGTTGATTTCTTAGGTCATGTCTAACTTAAAAAATACTCTAGTGATACAGTGGGATGAGCACATTTTAAAACAGCTTTATCCAAAATATCCCTTTCATACAATAGATAAATTAAGTTCATGTGTGTGAGACTGGACTCATTTTCAAGTTAATGATCCACTAATTCACAATGATTTCCAATTTCAGCTCTGTTTGCCAAGGCTGTCCAAGGCATGAACATTAGGGACTTGGTGTCCAATGTAGGAAGCGGTGGTGGTGGTGCTGCAGCCCCAGCTGCTGCTGATGCAGGTGGTGCCCCTGCTGCAGGTAAACACTAGTTCTTGTTCTCATACACTGCTTCCCATGTAATATTCAATAAGTATGGTTCTCTTGTAACAGTATCACAGGCTGGTATCGAAATATTTGTCCGCTGTGACGGAGCATGCTATTTTTCATAAAAACACTTAGAATACTTCACGATTTATTTTTTAACTCATATGTTTCGTTATACCATACAAAATTACTTACTCCATGCAATGGATATATCATTTGCGAGTAACTTTCACTTCTGTTTGAAGTCCAATTACGCTGGGAAGAAAAGCTATTGAAAATGGCGCCGGAGTATCATACTTTAAAATGTACCATTTCTTGTTTAACTTTCTAATGGCACGATATAGTGACACGATAATATTTACACATGGTTTCAGCATAACTATGAAGGTATAAATGAGATGTTGATGTATTTGGTCTTTTTAATTCTTTTATAAAAAAATAATGTTTAATTTTTTTGTCCGCTGTGACGGAGCAGTTGCAAATGTGAACTGTGAAAATGCTCCGTCACAGCGGACAAAAAATATTAATATTATTTTTTATAAAAAAATTTAAAAGACCCAATGCATTAATATCTCATTAATACATTCAGAGTTATGCTGAAAACATATGTTAATATTATCGTGTCACTATATCATGCCATTAAAAAGTTAAAAAAGAAATGGTACATTTTAGAGTTTGATACTCTGGCGCCGTTTTCAATAGCTTTTACTCCTAGCGTTAATGGACTTCAAACAGAAGTGAAGGTTACACGCAAATGATATATCCATTGCATGGAGTAAGTAATTATCTTTGATATAGCGAAACATATGAGTTAAAAAATAAATCGTGAAGCATTCTTAGTGTTTTTATGAAAAATAGCATGCTCCGTCACAGCGGACAAATCTTTCGATATCAGCCTGTGAGTATGTCTAATTGGTGAACTGTGTTATAAGATTTGTCCCTCAAGTAGTGACATATGTTATGGTTTCCAATTCTTTTATGAACAGTGTTTGCCGGATGGTTTTCAGCAGTCAGACAGATGGTGATATTTTGCATGTTAATGCCTTGTATTTGAACTTGAGTTGTATTCTTATATTTCAACATGTACATCTAATCTGCATTAGATGGATAGTGATATCCAGAAATTGGCAGTTGTACTCAAAAATTCAAAATTACAATTCAAAACCAAGATGTTCAATAATATATTTTATTTTGCAGAGGAGAAGAAGGAAGAAAAGAAGGAGGAATCATCAGAGGAAGAAGATGATGACATGGGATTCGGTAAGTAGCAAATTTTTCCATCATGGTTAAGTTTCTAGAACTATCCTTGCATGGATATCATTACAATTTCTCACAAACCTAAATAGATGAAAACAACAGGCTAAATTATTTGAAATTATAAGTTGAACATGGAAACAGTAAACAATCCAATGGTGAAGCTTGTTAAAGACAAGCAGAGAAAATCGCCATTTAGTGTATCTTTTGAAACCCCTACCTAAGACGTCTTACCCTTTCCGCTCATCCAATACAGAGTTGTACAAACATTTCATGGTATTTAAGAGTTCTGAATTGTAGTGATTACCTTTAAATTTGATTTGTTCCCATTTCCAGGTCTCTTCGACTAAGTTCCTGCAACTTTCCATACAAGGAGTCATCAAGCAAGATGCCACAATCATACTGAGTATGGACATTCAGATTTCCTGTAACATCTTGGGATGAAAAAAAATGGAAAAAATAAAAAGGCTCCTAGCACAAATAAATTAATTAATTTTTTTTTTAATTATGTCAATCAGCTTTAACTGAGAGTGATCTGCTAATTTCTCATAGGAAGTTAAATGTATGGGAAGCTAGCATGGACACCTGTTAACTCAAAATGTGCAACAATGTAGTAGATGAACTTAAAATTGGATTGTGAAACTCTCCTTCATTTAGTTTTTAGGCCTGATAATTCTGTGTCGCAAAAATTTATCAAATCCAAAATTGCCACCATTTTTAGCTTGAGGCATTTATTCATGGTACCATTTTAATTATATGCTTTGAATTGATACTCATGAAGTGTTCATCACCAATTTTTGGCTTGCTAGACGTTAGTAATACAAGATGTCAGTTGTCTATGATTATCGGACAAACTGACAAATGGGAAGGGCAGTTTGTCTCATCCAATTATATCCATTTTAGCGGGCACATGCTAGTAATTCACAAATATTTATTGAGTTCTGGTGAAATTGTTTCAATTAAAAATGCCTGCCTTAGTAACTTTTTGCCATTTCTTAAAAATTATGTTTTTATGACCCCACCAAAAAGTGACCTTAAATGACATTCTCAAGGTCAAAAAGGTATTTTTCATCTTGCCTAGATAATTGACCAATTTTTTTCAAAATCATCTTCAATCTGACTTTAGATTTGAGGTTCTACCTTCAATGACCTTCTCAGGGCAAAAATAAAAGGTATTTTTCAACTTGCTTCAAATCGACCAATTCATTTTTTTAAATCGTCTACAAATTCTCAGAAATTCCAATCTGACTTATAATTGAACTTATAATATTGTGAGCAACTAGGTGGTGACATTTTGTCAAGTTAATGCCTTGTTATTAAGTGTGCATTCATGGCTCTTTTCCAACGTTTATCATATTTAAAATAATGATGCCACAGTTCAACAACTCTTGAGGGATTTGGAAAATGGTCCAAATTCAAAATAGTCACCATGTATTGTCAAAGTTCTTCATGTTTGAACCAATGCGTCCTGTTTATTCCATTCCTACCCCCTCCCAAAAAAAATTAAATTAAAGGATAACAATTAAGATTTAGATGAAGAAATGTATAATACTGAAATGAATGATCTTGATAAGGAAGACCATTGTATTTTTCTAGATACAAGGAATATATTCTGGCACATATATTTGCACAGGGGTTGAATAATTCAAAACTCGCTAAAATCACCGATAATTAACAAGATAATTTAATTCATGTCCAAGATGTAGCAAAAACTACCGAGGAAAGCTGTTCCATAGACATACAGACTAAAGATACTTGTACATCGTAAGAGAACAACACTGTCCTGGATATGGCTACTATATATTTTAATTTTGTTCAATAACATGACATGATACAGTAATTATATTTTGATATACAGATATTTATTTTGATAAAAACGTGATTATAAATAATTCCAATTTTATAAAAAAGATATTATATTAATACATTCATTCTAAGACTGCTATAAATAAATATATTATTTCATATTTAGACTATATCGTTTCTGTTATAGTTAAAAAGAGGTGGTCCAAGTTTCAACGCACAGAAATTCTGTATAGTATCCCACTGTCATGGAGCTGAAACCTTACTGTTCATAGTATAAAAGCCATTGCATTATGTTTACAAGACGTTTATTCTCAATTAAAGTTTGTTTGATGATGAATTATACACTACAGCTCCAATAATTTCATCAACCTTAAAATTCAGGTACATTACTAAAATAAACTGATTTTATACAGGTATAAACTCTACTAAAATAAAAAAATATCATAAAAATCGGCAAAATTTCCTGAATATAAAGTTATAAACTACAGACGCGTTCGCGGTCTGTAACAAATGGCAGGTGGTGTCATTTTGCATCTGAATGCCTCGTCTTTAATTAGACTTGCGTAGCAAGTTAGCCCATCGAGTAAAATGGTATCAAATTCTTAGTTGAATTTGGAGAAGATATTACTCTAAAATGAATGCTATAGCATATATGAGAAACGGGGAGAGGATATATTCGATATCTTCCGTCAAAGCAAATGAGGTAGCAGATATGATATGGAATCAATACTCGTATTTTAATTTACGTGGGTCATCTCCAGACAAAAATTGAAATGATTGATGCACATACATGGATTATATTAAAACAGCTAAATCATTTCTTCCAGAGTTTTGGCTGAATAGATGCAATACAGATTTGATGTCTAACTAGATAAAATAACATGTAGTCCTCTAAATACGAAATGGTCTGATATTCAGGGGGTAGAAACGCGTCCAGTATTTTCGTCTGGAACAAACTGGGATACTGGACGCAGACCTCCATTTTTGATCCAGAGAGGTAGGTGTGATTTTACTCGGTAGCCTGTGATCGTTTTACTCACTGTGTTTCCTTATCTAGAAACAGGCTCATCAGATTCCCAGTACATTGAGGAACACACAATTCTTGAAATAAGGAAAAAAGAAAAATCGTACCTTCAAAATGGAAATGGTAAATAAGAAGAAATAAAACTCGATTCGTGTATTTCCTGAAGAAAATCAACACACTGTAAAACGATCACAGGCTATCGAGTAAAATTACACCTACCTCTCTCTGGATCAAAAATGAAGGTCTGCGTCCAGTATTTCCAGACGAAAATACTGAACGCGTTTCTATCCCCTGATAATGGCTGATATTGAGCTTATCTCAAAATTAAAATCGAATTTGTAGTTGATTCAGCAGAATAAATTATCTGACTACTTTTCAAAAATATTTTGGCGCGAAATTTGTAAATATGTAATATGCAATGTTAATGCAGCTAATGAACGGTTGATAAAAACATGTACACGCATTTGCGTATATATGTATTTATGTACATAATTATGCATTTATGTACAAAATTATGCATTTATGTACATAATTATGCATTTATGTTTATAATAATTCATTTTAGGAAAATATCACACTGAAATTGTATTACTAACACAATAACCATGAGATATACGCCAAATACGTTATGTACAATACATTTATTCTTAATTAAATTTCACTGTTCCATATTGGATAACGCCAAAATTAATCCAGGTACAGTAAAACCTGTGTATATTGAACATTATTTTTGCCGAGAGAAAACGTTCAGTGTTGGTAAATGTTCACTGTGAGGGTAATGTATACAGAAGTCAGTACAGTATGCGCGGGGGAGGGGTGTTCACAAGAGGGAGCTGTTCACTAAGACAGGTTTTACTGTATACAGACATATTACTATAATAAACGTATGTGATAAAAATCTTTATAAATAAAATATCATATTGAATATAATGCACAAACTATTGAGTGATGCCACGCATGTGTGTATTTGTACATTGATACAAGTTGTATCATCAAGTTGTGAGCGACTCGAGGCTATATTTTCGTATTTATTCATTCATTTTCATAGATACGCGAAAATATATTTTATCTGTAGTATTGTGTATTGTTTTAAGCTCTTGCTTAATATTTAAAGCGTTTTATTGTTTAGAGCAATGTCACGGTTGGCATGTGTTATTCTCTAATCAGCAGCAATAATCACATCAAATTGTGTGTCTATAGTATCTCAATCACCACTTGCTTGTCCTCCGACCCCACAAGAGGCACTTCAAGCGATAGCTGTGTCAGTTGTTGATTTTAAGTGTTCCCATATTGAGTGTTTCATAACTCATACAAGTGATGTTTCTTTTATTCCTTAGATCTGTGGTTCCACCAAAGTTCCATGTCCGCGATACGTCACTCCATCTGTCGCAGTTGTTCATGGACGCCCATCATCCGGTTGATGGTGATACGCTACCAATCAACGACAGCTCTACATCATTGTGCACATCTTTGATTTACGTGACCTAAAATTACATTTATAATGATTCACATTATTTTTAATGAAAAAATATTTTAGTCATTTTTGTAAGTGAATTAGACCAAGTAGTAATTTAGGATGAACTAAAACGTTGTCTTCACAGACAACCAATCTCAAATACAACTATCGAGGAATGTCATTTTAGGTCATTTCCAGACACTCGTCACATTCACGTCATATTTTTTCAATATAAGATTAAATTGGAACGAGAACTTTTTCACTTGAATTGAGATTTTGTTAACCATCACGCGCTGAATACTAGTAGTCTTTACAAATCAAACCCATTGGATTACCCGGTTGTTCCCAAGAGGATGAAATAGCTAGTTTTTGCTCTTAGTATTTGCAATCCAGTTTGAAATGATATATATTGAAATGCCCAAGAAAAAATGGTTGTTCAAAATGTTTTGCCCAAAAGGACACATTCATAACAGATCAACTGAAGTAACTTCTGAAGATGGCACGTTTTAAGAGTTATAAATATCACTTCCAAGGGTAGACAGGAAAAACCTAGGCGAGATAATATAGGCTATAAATAGAGGAGGTACAGGATGAGCCAAAAAAGGTAACCCAAACAAATCTTAATACACCCAGTCATCCAGTATTAGTTTTAAGTTTTATTCGGCACAGTTGAAGCTTGTCCAATGTTCTTTCACTCTATTATTGGTCTTTTCCAAAAAGTCAAAATTTTATGGTCATTTTACATTTTTTGGCTCACCCTGTAGACTCACTATATTTATTTTCACAGAATTTAGTGAAAAAAACGTCTGAAGATAAACAATTCTGTGTAATTTATGGTGAGGCACTTGCCTCTACTTGCCTCGCCTACCTTATGCCTATCTACGTCCATTAGATCGAAACCAGCTGTCGTGACTGTGACGTTACTTTCTGGTAATGTTTCTACCAACGCTACTCGGTTACACGATCGTTTTATTTATGTGTATATGTAGCATTTTGTACATTTTCCATTTTTAACCGTAGTTACGTAAGTAAGTTGACTTTTTATCATAGAAATAGTATTTTTCTCAAATGTGCAAGGCTAAATTCAGTTTTTTCCTTCCTAAAACTAATAATCCAATATACGCCAAACTTCGTTGAATTCCACAAACTTCACAAATTCAAAAATGTTGCCTTTATCCAGAGATGAAGAACTTTTAGAAAATCTTGTAAACGGAATCTAAGCGAATAGAAGGTCGGTTCCAATGTCAAATACTACATCGAAATTGCACGAAAAATCGTGTAACCGAGATGATACGCAATGAAGTTGATATGATGGATTTCTAAAATGAGCAACCCTCGATAAGGAATCATGTTTTTTTATTAACAAATGACTTTTTCATTCATTCAAATAAAATAATTAATCTATAACTAAAAACATTACACAAATTAGTAATAACAGGACAAATGTTAAAGTTAGTAAAACAATGGTTCGTTGCTCTAAAATATCATAGGTAACGATTCCCGAATTATAGTTGCCATTCAATATCAAGATTTTTCTGTTATAGAATTATACTTTTTTCAGGAATCCCAATCTATGCTATTTTAGAGAATCTTCACCCAAGTTGTGCAAAAACTCAAAAATTACAACAAATTCTAGTGAATATCATAAAAATGATAAAATCGAACAGCCAGGCTTTATTCAATCTTTCAATGGCTCCTGAATTTGTGGATTATTCAGAGTCATTAAAGAATTAATGATGAAATATGATAGATTTATATACATTTTAAACCATGATCTACAAAATATGTGCTTATGAAGGTTTATGCATATGGAACAAACGGGATTTATCCAGCATATACATAGTATATTTAACTTTTCACATTTCAGGTGGATAAACGTGGAACTTAGACCCTGGTTTAAAAATATATTATGTCTTGTATGCATGCTAATACAAAATAAAGTAAAGAAACAATAGTAGTTTTTTAAAATGTAACAATACAAGGGTAAGGAAGTAACTGACTTTTTATCATCATAAATAATTTGCATGCATCTATCCAAGTAAAATAATTATATTGTATTATATGGGGGAGGGGTCATTATAGTATTGCTCATAAAATAAATTAACCTCTGAATTGTCAGATACTCCAAGGGCATAGTAGAAACCTTTGATGCTTTTTTGATCTGAAAATGAAAACTAAACATATATGGTGTGTATGAGTATTGAGAAACAAGCTCAAGTCCAACTCTAAGACCGTCTCTAAGATCGTCTCTAAGACGACATGGTGTAGACGGTTCAATGCTAAGTTAAAAACGTATCTAAATATGATTTGATATCTAGTATCTATAGAATACGTGAAACCAAACATCTACACTGCATTGGTACGTAGTTTAATATTAACAAATATAACTATATTTGTCTATTCTCAAGCATTTGGAATATATCCTAAAGCCAACTCATGGAACCTAGTAGCGAATAAACACGTGGTCCACAATGGGCCTAATAGGCTAAATCATTTGTGCTAAAATACCAGTTTCTCCAATGAAATACGGGGCATCTTTTTTGGAATGTGAAATATATCTCTGAAATAGAGAGATGCTACATGTATCCAACATTTCAAAATATAAATTGGCAAATAAAACTGTATTTACATTAATCTTTTCCATGAACGTGTTACTACCAACTGTAAAAGACTGCTTCACTGTTATTTAGTTTTGAATTAAAATTTAGAAGAAATGAAAATATTCAATTGCATTCCTTTAAGTATAATTGTGTCATAATTGGTCATGGACTGATTAATGCATACTGTATATGATGGGGAAAGTGCAGTTAACCAGCATATAGCAAACTGTTTCTACATAAATAACACTTACCATATATTGTCAAACATGTTTGTGAAGTGAACACATTTAACATAAACATGAACAATCAGAAACAAAATAAAATTTGTGGTGCATATGATACATATGAGAATGAGGCAAACTATCCGTAATGAGTTAATTACCCGGGGTTAATTACAACATCAATCGTTAAATAACAACATAAATGTCCAAATAATATAACAATGTTATTGATAACTAAATTTGGGTATGAGTCTGATAATCGGTTACAATTTGAATTGTTTGGTGAATGAGTACAACATGCAAGTAACAGTAACAATTCAAACGAGTACAACTTCATCCGGCATGTTTCCCAACAAGGCCAACTCACTTGTCCAGTGATTTCGAAGACACGGTCTTCTTGAGCCCATTCATTCCATTTTGTTTGGAGATATGTCCGTTAGAAAGGCCATTCATTCTCTGGGCTGAGTTCACTCGGCTAGATGGTGAACTTTTCCACGCAGATATACCGAAAAGGTCCTCATGATACCGATCGGACTTCTGGAATAAAATGGTATTTTCATTTGTGTTTCTGGCCCGGGGTTTCTGAGAGTAATAATATTATTGATTCATTGTAAAGACTATAAGAATGTAACACATTATATCACAAAGTTATTTCTATTTCATAGATTTCTATGTCGTATTACATTGGTCTACCAAGTGTTAAATCTGCGGTCTCCTACCTTCATCTTGGACGTATGCTCTGCCGCCTCAGCAATTGACATACCACCTGCTTCCGACAAAGCACCAATAATAGTTTCCTTTACCGAGAGGGCCATTTGTATATTCCCACATACAAATACGTGGCCGTTCTGCTTTATCAGTTTTTGGAAGAACAGTTTGGCGTTTTTCTTTATCAAATCTTGCACATGGTTCTGCAAATCATTTCATCGAAGAATAATATAATCAGAGACATATACTCCTTTACCTGAAGAGTTTCACAGTGGATCGGCCAACTGGTAATACCTATTATACAATATTCATAATATTCATTTCTGGTTTAGAATTATTTGAAATTGAATTTTGTAATCTTCATTCAACACTGATCTCACCTTGGGCTTGCTATGGTCTCTAGAGTATGCAATGAGTGGAGGAACCATCGCACCATGTTCTACAGCTTTGTTGATTTCGTTCATATATAGCATGTCGTCTGCTTCAGTCCTACATCCATAAAACAGAGTCATATCCGACGTGAATGCAGTCCGGTCAATACCTGTCAATTTAAAATACATTGTTTATCAGAAAATGCATAGTCTGATTCTATGACAGAAAATGTAATATTCCGAAATCTTAAACAAACGTCATATCTGATCTATATAGATCTTTCTGGGTACCAGATATTGCACGCTTGTCTTGGGCTTCTACCCTCATTTAAAGTCTCCATACAAGACACACGTGGTTTTAATCATAATACAATTTTTGAGTCTTAAATCCTGAAAACAATACAACTCTGAATTTGTTTGATCGTGATTCCAAAAGTCTCACCTTTCATCATTGCCACCCTCTTTTGCCAGAAGCTTCTGAACGGTGCAATGCCAGAGCCAGTTGCAATCAACACAACGGGAATTCTAGGGTTATTGGGAAGATTGAAATGCAATGCTTTCTTTATATACATTGGTGCCAGTGATCCCAATGGGGCATTCTCAAACCATGATGTGCACACCCCATTGTGAATAACTCCATCTGGAATAAATCAGAAACTTAAGTTTGTGATGTCATATTTAATAATTCATTCGTGAAATATAGTCTAACCCAGGCCTAGGCATTTTGGCACATGTCAGTTTTCAAATATATTGGATGCATCATACGCATCCGTACCTCACTCCCCCGTATTCCCCATTCCCCAGGTATTAAATGAACCATGGACTTACCTTGTGACCTGTATTCTACGATCGTAGCCGTGACGTGGATCTCGTTCGGGTGTTGCTCCTGTACGTTACTAATGGAGTACACACGTGGCTGAAGACGTGGCAGCGACGTCATTAGAAACGTGGCGTCCAGTCGCATAGATGGGCACATCACAGTTAAATCTCCCAGTGTATGAGTACACGGAGTTGAGTTATCCTAAAATTACATCCAAATGTTTTAAAGAAAATGCAAAATTAGTAAATAAGTTCAGAATTAAATGGTCATTTTCTGTTGCTGAATCAACTCAACTTCTTTTAAATGTACAATAATCACGGTGTTATAGCATGACGCTTACGACAAGGCGATTTGCAAAATTTTGCGGTAACGATAACAAAAAATGGCGGATGGGAAAGACACCATGTCCTCTTTCTCGCCTGTAGGCAAGATTCACAGATAAGATTTCCTTTTTAACTAGTTCCATTTGGTGACGTATATATAGATGGTTATAAAGACTGGGTCAAATCTGCCAGGTGGTTTACTAGAAGAGGAATATAAGGTGTAAACTTACCGACTGAGATGTCCAAGCCTCGGAGCCACTCAAACTATTAACAGTAAGTAAACTGTGTATAAACAAGCCATAAAATGACAAATCCAGAACAGCAACGTGGTCATATTGTAAATAATAAGGTTTCAAACGCAATGTCGTTAGACGACTACGTATGAATTCTATGGACGGTAACGCATTGTATTAGATGTACATTAAAACTCAACAGTTTTTCGCTTATTTCATGTTATCCCCGGGCATCAATTTGCAAAGAATACGTTCAAAATATACTTTACTAAATTTAAATGCATCACCAAATGCGATGTCTACAAAAATCGTTCATCCTTTCATTGATACACAGTAGAAGAAAATACTGCACCAACCTTAGTTTTCTGTTCCATCGCGGCCATTTTATTGGATAAATCAGTGATCGTAGTCGTCTAACCTCGTTTTCAAAGGTGTCGTAACCGTCATGCTATAACACCGTGATAATGATGTAACTTACAACAATGATAGACTTTGGTATTTTTCTGTAATTATACAGGTGAAATTGAATTTGGATCTTGACATACTGCCAAAAAGGTAACCAATCTTTTTTCAAGGTTTGATGTTTATTGATGGTGTAAGTTTCAGATCATTATGAAATAGAAACGCAGGGTAATTTGGATTTCCAAATTAGATATACACTACTGGTATTCCTTCAAGGTATTTTGTCTCTTTGCATCCCTACCTCAATTAGGTTTGCTATCTTCTGCCTGTCTTTGTCTGACATCTCCATTTTCACTAGACGTTTGAGGTTTTCTCTTGACATAGCAGTAGCAATATCAAGATAGCTCTGCAATGCTTCCTTTATGGTACATACTGGCATGACCTCTACAATATAGAATAAAACCAAAAATGATGTAAAATATATATACATTCCCTGTCCTTCCTAGTGACTACCCGCGGGGGTATTGAAGTCTCTTTATCACTTTTGACTAGTATCCCATACTTGTTTAACAGTTTGACCTTCAATAAAATCAACCATTTTATACCTTGTCAATCAAAAAATCAAATCTGATACGGTAGTATCCTAGCAACAGAGACCTCTGTGTTTTGAAGTACACCAATATGTACATACCTTCTCCATCTCCAGTGATCACCTGTAGAGGCATCGTAGTCTCTGCATCGACCTTGGCTAGTATCCTGGCAATGGAACCCCTTGTGTTCTGTGGAAATACAGCCACGTGATCACCCGGTGAGTATGATAAATCTGAATTGTTATTGTCCCCTTCTACAGAAAACACTACTTGGATAACTCTGGTCCTGTAAAACAAAGAGTGGAAAAGATGCTAGATTATATCATTCATGTTATTCAATTAACGATATATGTGAATGCTCTACAAGATAAAAGAGGACCTTATAACGAGACCCGTGGGACACAACACTTAACTTTATATGTTTTACCTCTGTGTCAAGAAGACCAACAAGTGCCATAAACATTGTTCAAATCAAGGAATAAATACTCAATATTAATAGATTAATGTATGTTGAGATTCCATCCATTTTAAGTCAGTGAGAAATGAAAAAGAACTTACAGAGCTCCTTTTCCACTTAGAAAACGACGACTAGATATTTTGGTAGACACAACATTTTTCTTGCTGAGTAGACTTAATCCTTCAACGAGCCCAACAGACTTTGTCTTCGTCAAGAGCTTGTAGTTCTGTGTCAATATCGGCACATCCTCAAGACTTTCCAGCACAGGACGTTGCACATTGAATATATCACATGCTTTCTGCAACACATATCATGATGTTAATGAAAACACAGAATGAAATTCTGCACTAAGGGCTCTTAAGTATAAATCTAGTCAATTGATTTGGTTGGAGGTTAGTTCATAATAAATAGATATAAAGAGGGTGTGACATCATTGAATTGGGGAATTATAGACAAATATGGAGCACGTTATATATGGTTTGCCTTGGCTTTCGTTGGACTTGTGACTTTGTCTTCGCTTACTTTGAAGAGAGGTTTGAGCCATGACCAGAAAGAATCTTCTTCGTTGTAGAGTTCGTCCCCCTCTCCTCTAGGATGAACTCTTGAGGCACCTAGTTTTGAAAGCATATTGTCAAATTCCCTACCGCACTTGCAGTACTGTATATGGGCTGTACTCCCGAGAGCAAACACACTGTACTTAACACCATCCAAAAGTTTTCCACTGTTGGCCTCGGACAGCATTTTCATCTCATCAAACATTTGCTGAAGTAAAGTGAATTTTGAAAACAATATATCATGATACTGTTGGTTTATCTACTCTAGGTCTACTAAAATATAGTTGCAAAGATAAATATATATAATTGAAACTTTAAAAAATAGCTTTAAAACAAGATCCTGGACCCCTCCCCATCCCCCTTATCTACTTCACCAGTGTTATGTCCTACCTTGCCATTTTGTGGAGGGTCGCCATCACCTGCAGTACTTGAGACTAGAATAACCATCTTTTCTCCTGCCAGTTCCTCAACTGACTTCTGGTTCATACACGTCACCTGGAGAAAAAAACAGTAAAACTACCAGAGCAACAATTGGGTATAATGTTAATTACCGTAAGTACATAATGTTGCTCTTTAAATCTTAATTTTACATTTGCAAATATATGGTTTTTTATTGCCATCAACAATTTCACCATTACATAGCAACGATGTGGTAAGTTTGAATATATCTATATTCTTCTGGTAAATGTGAAATAAAATTCTCTCAGGGTCTGGCAAATATACAGTGTGTCAACTAAGTCCCGCCCCCTGCTACAGCGGGTCTTATTTGACACCCTGTATATAGGCAATTAACTGTATCCAATATGCTTCAGGCTGTTTTTATGGAATAGAATTATTGTATTGATGCCTTTAATGTATTCTAGATACACCCTCTCCATAAGTTATGGTACTCTTTGATTGCCAAACATAAAAAAGTTCTGATACATGATTCAAAAGGGCATCCAGTTCTCAAACTTATGAAGCTGGAGGGGAGTGTACCATTCGTTGTGCTTAAGATACTAATATGGACTCACGCTTGTATTGAACCTATTGGCAAACACCTTCCCGACAATCTTTGCATATCGTTCAGATTTTCCAGAATCAGTGGCATATATGATCGAGATGTTTTCTCTCTTCTTAAGTATCTTTCGAAGAAGACTGGTGCAGAATAGGGCAAGACTGAAATACAATGATGATTAACATGAATTACATCATCTCTAGATATCATTTGTTGAGATTTGTTGAGATTTTGTTTCCTGCCCTTTGGGTGGAAGTGTAGTTTCGACCTCTTTCATTGTTTGTTGTCTGTTACTGATTTTAGGTAACTTCAGTACATGTCATGTATGGAGTGGACTATTGACATTTCTAAAATGTTTTTTGTTTTTATTTTCGAATAAATCGTTGAATTTTCGAAGATACTATAGGAACAAATGATCCCAACATAACAATCAATGATGACAGCACCAACGGTATCAATTCAACAAAGGAAATTGATACATGAACATACCCATTGGGGATTTATGTTTACCGTAGGGATCTGTACAATAACTGTTACGTTCGAAAATAACAGAAAGTAAAAACAGCAATTAAAATATGATAACAATATATTTATATTTTGAAAACTAAATAATATAGCAATGATATAAAGGAGGTTTAATACTTAAGTGATGTCCAATCAATGATACGGCTATTTCTTGATGTCGATAAATATCCTTGACGATCCTTGAGAATGTTCCAGATCACGAAAGTTTCAATAATCGTTAATAGTTCTCCAATGTTTGTAATAATCCAATAATGTTCGTTGTAATCCTATAATGTTCGTATACAATAATGTTTGATGATAATCCACAAATGTTTATGATAATCCACGAATGTATATGATAATCCGTATATAGTGTGTGTTGTAATATATGTCCATATAAAGTCCTCAGGTTGTATGTTTATAGTGTTATAAATGTTCCCACAGTAATTATCTGCTAAGAAGATGTCCTTTTGATAAACTTTGAAATTCTGCTTTATTTAGTTCCTTTGAGATGTCCAGTTATGATTTCTTAATTATCTGCTATTGAGTCCACTTTGCAGTTTTATTTATAGTGTGAAAGAATCATCTAGAAAGAATCTTCTGGAACTGAGACTACTTGTTGAGTTTTGATTGGACATCTCCAGTCACATGATTAAATCTTAATGAATGATTATATTTTCTAGAACTCTCTGGATGGTCAAGGGTTAATGAGTCATTCAGTTCAGTTTTGTTTACAAGATATAATGTCATTGTGACCTTGACCTAAGATCTTTAATGAAGATCAGTTACAGTATATGCATATTGATAAACTAAACTTAATGTGAATATAATAGAATATAATACTGTAACACCTCCCTCCTTAAAAGAAAAGTTTTGAATACAATGAAAAACTTTTACAAAAATATCTGGTGTAGCGAGGGTTACAATTTTTTAAAGATGAGGTTGAGACTTACATAACATTTGTTTACAATATTCAAATACAATAAAAAACATATTACAATAATATTATCAAATCACACTCTAAGTACAATCCTTTTATTATACCAACACAAAGCCTTAGGCAAATGCAGTATAAGTCAAATAGCCTCTTAAAAATAGAGACATTACACTCTTGAAAGAGTGTCAGCAATTAAATTATCCTTGCCTTTGATGTGTCTTATGTCAAGATTGTACTCTGACAATAACAGACTCCACCTCAACAATCTACGATTCTTGTTCTTCATTCTATGAAGGAATGTCAGCGGATTATGGTCAGTAAATACAGTAACTGCATGAACTGGTGAACTAACATATACTTCAAAATGCTGTAATGACAGAAGTAATGCTAGACATTCCTTTTCTATGGTGGAGTAGTTTTTCTGATGTTTATCAAATTTCTTTGAAAAGTAACAGACTGGATGATCAATACCATCCTTTTCTTGTAATAGGACAGCTCCCATTCCTACATCAGAAGCATCTACTTGAATCTTGAATGGCTTGCTAAAATCAGGTGCAACAAGCACTGGTTGTTCACTTAGTATGGCCTTGATTTTATCAAAGGCTGTATGACATTGCTCAGACCATACATATTTGATGTTTTTTCCAAGTAAATCGGTCAATGGAAGAGCAATTGAAGAGAAATTTGGACAAAACTTCCTATAAAAGCCAGCCATTCCAAGACTTCTCATTAATTCTTTCTTGTTAGTAGGAGCTGGGAGTTGTGTAATTGATTCCACTTTGGCACTCACTGGTTTGACCTGTCCTTGACCTACCACATGGCCCAGATATTCAACTGTGGCTTTACAAAATTCACTCTTAGCCAAATTGATGGTTAAATTGGCCAGAGAGATTCTTTCAAACAACTTACGCAGCAAACACATGTGTTCATGAAAAGTGTCAGAATAGACAATTACATCATCGATGTAAACACCAGTGTTTTTGAGATCTGCTAATAAGCCATTCATCATTCTTTGAAATGTGGCAGGTGCATTTTTCATACCAAATGGCATAACTTTAAATTGGTACAAACCATCAGGAGTAACAAAGGCAGATACCTGTTTTGCTCTTTCAGTTAATGGAACCCCTAGGAATCCTTTGAGGAGATCAAATTTACTGACATATTTGGCAGTTCCAATTTTGTCAATACAGTCGTCAATTCGTGGTATGGGATAAGAATCGGTCTTTGTTACTCGATTCACCTTGATATAATTAACTACTAGCCTACGTCCACCATTTGATTTTGGAACAATGAAAGCAGGTGAACTCCAAGGGCTATTGCTCTTTTCAATTATGTCATTTTCTAACATATAATTGACCTCAGCTCTCAAATCTTCAGATTTTGATGGATTTACTCTATAGGCATGTTGCTTAATAGGGGTTACATCTTGGACTTCAACATCATGATAAGCTATAGATGTCTTAGTCGGTACATCAGAGAAGATATCAGTGAACTCATGAATTAATTTTGTGACTTGCTGTTTTTGATCATTTGTCACATGATGCAATTTATGATCTAGATTTGATAATACTTCAGAGTTCTTTAACCTAGACAAACCTTTGATATCTTCATAGTCTAAATCAGTACAATTGGTATCATCTGAATCGTGTAGATCAGTTTCTTTTACAAGGGCAGGTGCCAAAGTGACTACAGGTTTAATTGAGTCATGCTCTTTGTCTGGCTCAAAGTACCTTTTCATCATATTGATGTGACATAATTGTGTTTCTTTGCGCCTATCTGGAGTTTTGACAATATAATTGAGGTCATTGACCTTGGAATCCACTACATAAGGACCATAGAATTTTGCTTGTAATGGATTTGTCTGAAGTGGCAACAATATAAGAACTTTGTCACCTGGCTGGAAAGATCTTTCTTTGACTTTTCTGTCATACCAAGTTTTCATTTTATCTTGGCTATTTAGCAAATTCTCTTTGGCTATTTCACAAGCCTTTGATAGGCGCTCTTTAAACCCAGTGACATAGTTCAACAAATTAAACTTTTCAGTTTCCGAAAGCCACTTTTCTTTGAGCAATTTAAGTGGACCACGCACAGAATGACCAAATACCAGCTCAAATGGACTGAACCCTAAAGATTCTTGCTTAGCCTCTCTGGTAGCAAACAGAAGCAATGGTATGCCCTCATCCCAGTCTTTCTCATATTCAAAACAGAAAGCTCTAATCATGGTCTTAAGCGTCTGATGGTAACGCTCAAGAGCTCCTTGAGACTCTGGGTGATAGGCACTTGACTTACACTGTTTGATACCCAAGGTATCCATGACTTGTTGGAATAAGCCTGACATAAAATTTGAGCCCTGATCAGACTGAAGATCTTTTGGTAGTCCAACTAAGGTGAAAAATTTGATGAGTGATTTCACTATGTTTTTGGCTTTGATATTTCTAAGTGGAATCGCTTCTGGAAACCGTGTGGCCATACAAAGAATAGTGAGTAAATATTGATTACCAGATTTTGTTTTTGGTAATGGACCAACACAGTCAATAAGAACCTTACTAAATGGTTCATCGAATGCAGGTATAGGGTGTAAAGGAGCAGTTGGAATTTTCTGGTTAGGTTTCCCTACCATTTGACATGTATGACAAGACCTACAATACTCTTGGACATCTTGTTTTAATTTGGGCCAATAGAAATGATTGAGTATTTTATGGTATGTTTTAGTTACTCCTAAATGACCTGCCATGGGAGAATCATGAGCTAGACTCAAGATTTCCTTATGATATGATTTTGGGACAACAATTTGATGTACAATTGCCCAATCGTCTTCAGGGGAAGCTTCAGGAGGTCTCCACTTTCGCATTAATATGCCATCCTTTTTGTAGAAACAAACAGGGACCTTGTCAGCTTCATCAATAGTAAGACATCTTTTATGAAGATCAATGAGTGATGGATCATGCTCTTGTTCATAAATTAACATGTGTTTAGAATGAGGATCATTTTTCAAAGAATCACTATCAGAAATAGAGGATGAAACCTCAGAACTAGAAGAGGATGAAACCTCAGAACAAGGAGGGGATGAAACCTCATGAACACTAGCAGAAGAAGATGAAACTTCATCAGTACTAGCAAGAGCGGGCGAAACCGCATTAAAATAGTGATCCTGCTCAGAAGGTGAATCACCTCTGGCAATAGGCTTTTTCAATGAAGAATTTGCCTTAATAGATGACTGCTTGACTTGAACAGAAGGCTGTTTCAATGAAGAATTTGCCTTTAAAATAGGATAAGGATCATCTTTAACAAGTGGTGAGTGACATTCATCATCAAACAAGGAGCTTAAAAACCCACTATCAAAGTCATCTCCCACAGACGAATCCCCGCTATTAGCTAACTTTTTAGCCATAGCCCTAGTAACAGCACAAGCAGGATATATATCAGAGTCCTCTTGGACAGAATCCTCAGTAGAACAAGGCTGATCCGAAACAATGGGGTCTAATGATACCTTACCCCCAGCTAAATCATTGCCTAATAGCAATGCGACTCCTTCAACAGGAAGTTGTGGCCTAACACCAACAATAACTGGCCCTTTGACTAACTCTGATGTGATATGAATACGATGGAGGGGAACTTTAGTAAATCCTAATTCAATGCCTTGCATCAAAATATGGGTTCCTGTGAATGACTCCTCAGATAAAGGAAGGACACCTTCTAACAACAAAGTCTGAGATGCACCCGTGTCTCTAAGAATCTTAATTGGCTTTGAATTGGTACCATCACTTGACAGTGACACAGATCCTTCCGACATGAAAGGCTTATAATCCTCCATAATATCACTATGAGTTGATTTCTCAGTATGAGTATATGAATCCCAAACAATGGGCTTTCTTGAAATGGGAACTGTAGCACAACCATTTGAATGAGCAGAACCAGACATCTCTCTTCTATTCTTAATCCTATAGCATTCAGAAATAAGATGACCAGGCTTTTTACAATAGTTACAGGTGACATTTGATTTTGGACCTGAAGAATTTGATTGATCTGATTTTGAGCTAGAACTCTGTGATGAATTAGACTGGTCTTTTGCTTTGTTTGATGTATTTGATGGTGAGGACTGATTTGATTTAGAGTCATATGAAGGTTTGTTACCATGATAACCTCTAAAGTTAGAGTTAGGATTACCTTTGATAAAACTACCCTTATGAGTAAGAGCATAATCATCAGACAGGGTGGCAGCTTGACTTAAAGTTTCTACCTTGTGTTCATCTAAGTAAGTTCTAATGTGATACTGAACACAGTTTTTAAATTGTTCTATTAGCATAAGCTCTCTGAGCTTTTTAAACTCTTCAGATACATCTTTAGAGACAAGCCACCTGTCAAAAAGCTGCTCTTGCTCTCTAGCAAACTCAACATGGGTTTGGTCACTCTGTTTGTGGGCATTTCTAAATTTTTGTCTGTAAGCTTCTGGCACTAGTTCATAAGCTTTAAGAATTGCATTTTTTATTAGGTCATAATCAGAGCATGCTTCTGCTGAGAGAGAGGCAAATATTTCACTCGCTTTACCAATGAATACACTCTGAAGCATAACTGGCCATGCTGATTTAGGCCAGTCTAGGCTCTGAGCGACTTTTTCAAAATGTGTAAAGTATTTATCAACATTTTTCTCTTGAAATTTAGGTACAAATTTGAGAAATTTTGAAGCGTCAAACCTATTTTCAAAATGTTGATGCATAGTAGCATGTTCATCAGTTTTTGATTGAGCTTCAAATTCAAGACGTTTTAATTCAACTTCTTTTTGAATTTCTTGTTCTCTCAATCTTATTTCTTTTTCATTTTGCATTTCTTGTTCTCTTAATCTTATTTCTTTTTCATTTTGCAATTCTTTCTCTCTCAATTCTCTAATTTCTCTTTCTTTTTGAATTTCTAACTCTTTTTCTCTCAATTCTCTTTCATTTTGCAACTCTTTTTCTCTCAATTCAAGTTCTTTAAGCCTAATAGGATCAGTATGCTCGACATGCTGGGCTGGCTCCTCAGGCAGAAGTGATTCTGCGACCAAATATTGAAGTACAAAGTTTTTAATTGTACCTTTATTGTATGAGCTTTTGACTGACAGGCCAACATGTTTTGCAATTGCCAGAAGTTCAGTTTTCTTTAAATCGTCAAATTCCTCCAAAGAGGGCGCTTCTAAAAATGTCTCAACCTCAAAACTCATTTTCAATTAATTGCTGTCTTCACAATTTAAATGTACAAGTTTTGGATTTCTAATTTTGTAATATTTGAATTTTAGCTTGTTGTAGTTGTATCCCGGACGAGCCCCCAATTTCTGTTACGTTCGAAAATAACAGAAAGTAAAAACAGCAATTAAAATATGATAACAATATATTTATATTTTGAAAACTAAATAATATAGCAATGATATAAAGGAGGTTTAATACTTAAGTGATGTCCAATCAATGATACGGCTATTTCTTGATGTCGATAAATATCCTTGACGATCCTTGAGAATGTTCCAGATCACGAAAGTTTCAATAATCGTTAATAGTTCTCCAATGTTTGTAATAATCCAATAATGTTCGTTGTAATCCTATAATGTTCGTATACAATAATGTTTGATGATAATCCACAAATGTTTATGATAATCCACGAATGTATATGATAATCCGTATATAGTGTGTGTTGTAATATATGTCCATATAAAGTCCTCAGGTTGTATGTTTATAGTGTTATAAATGTTCCCACAGTAATTATCTGCTAAGAAGATGTCCTTTTGATAAACTTTGAAATTCTGCTTTATTTAGTTCCTTTGAGATGTCCAGTTATGATTTCTTAATTATCTGCTATTGAGTCCACTTTGCAGTTTTATTTATAGTGTGAAAGAATCATCTAGAAAGAATCTTCTGGAACTGAGACTACTTGTTGAGTTTTGATTGGACATCTCCAGTCACATGATTAAATCTTAATGAATGATTATATTTTCTAGAACTCTCTGGATGGTCAAGGGTTAATGAGTCATTCAGTTCAGTTTTGTTTACAAGATATAATGTCATTGTGACCTTGACCTAAGATCTTTAATGAAGATCAGTTACAGTATATGCATATTGATAAACTAAACTTAATGTGAATATAATAGAATATAATACTGTAACATAACCAATAGCTCAAGTAAGGTTGACACAACATATTGATGTCACAAATCATTGTATTTTGGTCAATCTTTTATAGACAATAAGATATGTTTTCTAAACTAATTACTACCTGGCAACATGTTTGACGGTGTATCTCCGAGTTTGAATATAGTCCCTAAATTTGTATCTTAACTCAGGGGATTTCCATTTATGGACGTACCAAGGTTCAACCTAGAATATAATAAAACGTGGACAATGATTATTCTAATGAAACTTTAATATAAATTATTTTATAAAACTTTAAAAGCTAGACTATATAACTATTGTTGTCGAACTCGGACCCAGGATAACTCAAACTATATGAGTAGTTTTGCTTTAGTTAGTACTGTTCATATTATTCTAATATTTTTTAAGATTATCGTTGAATCAATAAAGATATAAATTATTTAATCTTTTTGATATATTATCAAAATGATAAATCGCAATCCTATAATAAGTCAGAAACCTAAGAGCCCAACAATGACAGACTTATGTGTCATCCAATAAAACGTTCGATAGGAAAAGTTATAGGGGGCGTACAATTCCAACTGGGGTTCGGGTTTTCCTGAGCTGAGTTGACTTCGGGTTTTATATGAACATGTATCTTACATAAGTTTATTTCAATTAAGTATAACTTGATTTTTAATCATCATTCATAAACATATTTGTGACTGTTAGGGATTTTGTGAACTTTAATATAAGTTGAAACTGTCTACCTGGTATTCTATTGACGGTGTTAGGTGGTAGTTAAGCATTTCTTGATGAAAGGCGGGAGAGAGTGAACCAGATATAGGTGGCACTATCCACACCCAGTCTGCCGGGCAGCCACCACGCAGTCTCTGCTCATTTTTAAGGTGGCGTATAAACCCCTCTGTGCAAGTATGGTGATCGACGATTTTGGTTTTGGCTTCCTAAAATGAGAAAAATGCAATGGCTACAATACGGACTCGGTTCAGAAAGTGCCAATGTTCTGTAGAATATGCTGATTTCCAGTCGTCTCTGGTTTTATAAGTATACTTTTGGCCTTGGTATTTACACCAGGAATGCAAGACATTCCAATCCTTTCGGATCAAATGAACAATATCTATGCAAATATTGGCCATGTGGAAGTCAATCGGGATCATTCACTTCAACACAATAGCGCAAGTTTGGTTGTTGGCCTTAGTGAAAGGATTATGCTTAATGCATATTAAAATGTCCAAGTGGATCAAGATTTTAACATGTTGAACAATGAGGGAGAATAATTCAACCAAAGTGCGTCATTTAGATTATTGGTGTGATGAACACAATACTTTTAACTTTACCCACCCAGGAGAACTTAATAAATACGTATGATACATTAATACATATCTGAGCAAATTTACTAAGGGTTATACGATGGGAAGGTTTTAGAAACAGGGATACCTGATCGTATAAAACAGACGTAGATCCAATTGGGATTCATCAAAGCCCCTATTCATCTCTTGAGGGGCATTTCAAGGGAAAGCGATATAATTGTAAATATTTTTCAAAAATTTGCACCTCATTTCTATTATCTACAGGGTGTCCCGAAAGTATGGGGTCCCCCCTAGGCAGACATATACCAGTGTCGTTATAGTATGTGTCATATATCATTTTAAAGCTTATCCAAATTTACATTGATTACTATCATGGTTCAACTCTCAAATGTGAAAAAATTACAGGCATTTAAAAATTTAGTGTTTGGTCAAAATTAAGTTCAATTTTACACCAAATCACTAGTCAATGTGTCCTCCCGGGCCATCTTAACAGCAGCAATTCTTTTCGGATTGGATGGATATTGAGTTGGAAAAAGAGAACGGTAAGGGTAGACACTCTAAGGAAGCTCTTCTAAAGTCCCTTAACAGGTTTTAAGAGGGTTATAAAGTTCCACACTCCTATTTGAAGGACTTTTAAGGTCATATCTGAAAATAATTGCCGCTGTTAACATGGTCAAGGGGGGACACATTGACTAGTAATGTGGTGTAAAATTGAACTTTATTTTGACAAAACACTAACTTTTAAAATGACTGTAACTTTTTCCCATTTGGGAGTTAAACCATGATACTTGGCAAATCAATGTAACTTTGGACAAGCTTTAAAATAATATATGACACATACTATGAGGACACTGGAATATGTCTGCCTAGGGGGGGGGGTATACTTTCGGGACACCCTGTATTTGTCAATTCATATTCAAATCCTGGTTAAATTGGCATAATTATGAACTGTTCTACGACCAATGTAACCCGCCGAGTTCATAAAAATTTCATCATCTAAACATATAAAAACAAATTGATTTACATTTCACGAATGTACCATAGCAGAACAAAATATTATATGTGTTCCATATGATGGCACATTTGGCTACATTTTTCAATAGCTAGAAATATAGCTGAAACACCTCGTTTGAATTGTATTTCGTTGAGAAGTTCGATGAACTCGATCGATCAATTGTAGTTATTGGAAGCATAACAAGGCCTATTAGAATCTAATGTTTGTACTTAATACAATAAATCTTTTAAAACCGTGTGACTGCTCTGAAAGGTTTCATAGGTTCACTTAACCCTACTATCACACCAAACTAGTTCTCACTACGTTCTCGAAAACGGGCTTCAACTGTGTACGAACGGACTGGACCTACTAAGAACTATTTGGGATCTATTTACAAACGTCATCGAACGTACTCAAACGGGTAGGTCCTCTAGAACTTAGACAATGCTCAAAATGTTCTCGTGGTCGTCACGTTCTACAATAAGAACGAGTGACAACGTACTAACGACGAGTTGGACGTACTACGAACGGAACCGTCGTACTTCAATCCTACTAGGGACGTTCTAACAACGAGTTGAATTGTCTGAGGACGTGTTGAGAACGAGGTAGAACTAATTGCAAACGGGTTTAAACTGATTAAGAACGTATTTAACACTGCTTATGAACGAACATTTATTTCATTTCTTTATTGTCTCATATTATTGTATTTGTATATTGTATTCATATTATATTATATTATTGTATAGACCTATGTACCACTTTAAATGTTCACAGTTTATCATGTTTATTGTAAATTTAATTATGGGCAGTTATACACCCCCTGGGGTGTCATAGCCTGTATAATGTTGTAATTTTTGTAATGAAAACTGAAATAAATTATTTTGAAATTGAATTGAATTGAATTGAGTTAGCAAAAATATAGCTATCATACCAAAAAAGTTGCCACTGCGTTCTTCAAAACTGGTTTTAAACTGTGTGCGAACGGAATGAACGTAGCTGCAACTTTCTTAGGTCTATTTACGAACTTTATGAACGTTCTCAGACGGGAATGTGATTTTGGAATTTTGAATCGATTCAAAAGTCGATGGCGACCATACCGTTCTGTAATCAGGTCATGTTGACCTTCTAGACTAAGGGACGCGTTCTACGACGTTGCACACCGACGTGGTGCGACCTGAACGAACTGCGAACGAGATGGACGTATTGAAGACTGTTTAAGAACGAAGAAGCTAATTATTTCAGACATATTTCCCGACCACAGCCAGATTGAGCCCGTTTTACGACGTTTTCATAGGACTGGCAAGAACGGGTAAGAACTAGTTGGTGTGATAGGGGGGGGGGTAAATAATTAAAAACGAGTTAAGATCTCCTACCTGAAAAGAGTAAAGAATGGCTCTGTTCACCTCTATTACCGCTTTGTCTTTCCAAAGTGATGTCACTGACTTAGTGTCCAGTCCCATTTTTACTGCAACGGACTTAAATAATATGCAATGCATTCATTAAATTTTTGTAATCAAACAAAAGTTGCATGCACGTTTTAACACAGGTGTAAAAGGGGTAGGGGGTCCTATCAAATTATGGTTTTACTTTCCATTGATTTATATGGTGACCTAAATACAACCCTTTCACTTATTAACGTATTCACAATCAGTTCCAGTAAGGGCCTTTAAGAAAGGGGACCATAATCCGCAGGGGGCATAATTTCTTTTACACCGGGTCGCAACACTGGGGAAAACACGAGTACTGTATCTCAGTTTAAATACAGGTTTATAATGGGGATAAAGACTTGATGCAAGACAAATAATACATACAGACTACTAGAATGTCATTTTTGACAATATTTTTTAATATTTTCTTTACCTCGGACATATTGTATCGTGCTGCATCCACCAAATCTCGCCCCACCTCAGCAGACATGTACCAGCCATTGAATGGTGCCGCACCGTATTGTAAACCCCCTATATCAAACATCATGTTAGAAACTGCAGGCACTGCGTACCATTTTAAGCCAAGCTCAGCAAACCATGTAAATCTGGAAAAGCAATATATTGATGAAAATATGTATCCATAAGGGGCCTAAGAATGCCGATTTTGTCAAAACCTTGCATTTTATCAACTCGCTTCGGTCAATTTATTGTGGTGCCGTGGACTCGTGGACTCGTGGACTCTGGGCATCTTGAGAAAATTATGAGGAAAGCAACGGATCGGAACGAGGATTGGTAATGAGGAAAATGATCACACTGGGAATAGCATTTATATGTAGTAATTTGGCATTTCAGTGAAAAATGAAAGTCATACCATGATCTAGTTAGTTATATTATGTGAGCTTTAACATACACAGGTATGGGTACCAACCCGGGGTTATCAATGGTGTTTTCAAAACATTTATTTGATTCTCTGCGACGTTTTTGACGAACTAGAAAAAAGAATATATAGAAAAAAGTGAAAGTATTTGAGGTTGGATCATAGAAGACATTTTAATGTACAGGGTGGTCCAAACCGACAACGTTCTTTCACAAACAAACTCTGCGGTCTTAAAGAAAGAATGCTTTTTGTATCATTGACAAATACAAATGCAAATTAGAAATCGATAAATATGTCAAGCCGATTGGCAAATCACTATGTCACCAACCCTAAAAATTCGTTCAAGTTCTTATGACCATGACCTTTATACAATTCAGTCAATGGCAAAAACGCATTATGTTTTTGTTATCTTTTCTTTTTTCACACAATAACATGAATTTGTCCTTTGAGTAAAATTTGTTGATCCATTCAATTTAAGAATACAAGATCTAGACTGTTTAAATGAGAATAAGAATATAAGATGGAGAATGTACCACCAGAAATGGATCGAGGCCAATGATTTGTCGACATGTAGCTGAATTCCTCTTCGTTTTATAAAACTATTTTGCCATATGTGGAAATTGTACGTTAGCCTTAAACCTCGACCTTCAGTTTTAGGTGTAAAGCAACTTGATTAACTTAAGATTCACAAACATTGGATCAAAAACATAAAAGAATCATTTGAAACGCAAATACTCGAAATTGAAAGTATTTCTAATAGATAAAAGAAACTAAATAAATAAAAGAACCATTTGTAGATATTAAAGAATAGTTATCGAAGTGTTTTCTTTACCCATTCCAATCTCACGCATTGAACCGGTCAGTTGAATCAAACTTGTTTATTGAATTCAAATAATTATTTCACAGCAAATAATGTTATTTCTTGTGAAATACCAGTGTTGTAATAATGAAATGGAATCGGAATCAAAGGAATGATTCCAAAGATTCTGCCGACTTTTAAACAATCAAAACTATTTGAATGAGACTGATGTAAGTACGGAGTGTCCCAAAACATTGTACCAAAATAAAACAAGATTAACTCGTTTTCCTTTATCGAAAACAGCTGGAATTTTCACATGATAAAGAAAATTCATGTTGCAATTCACTTGTAAAAATTCATTGTAAAAATATATTCTGAGAAATCCGACATTTTAGATGACATGCTCTCAAAGGTCTTCATTACGATTGGCGTAGAACTGAATGCAATTCCAAGTATGGAACAATTATTGATGATAGTGCTTAAACAACCCTTTCTCAAAAATCTTAGCTATACGATTAAAACATTGTGGCGAAAGAACCAATGGTAACTTTGGAATTGCTCTTCACTGTATTGGTTGTTCGGTATTGTTTTTCGATTGTTGACGGTCTATTAACAATAACTTAAACCCATCTCCGCGATCATACAGATTATAAACTTCGGACACAAAAGAACATGAATTTTAATACTTTGGGCAAGCACTATATAATAAGACGTCCTCTCAACCAGTTCAACACAGTCACGTTTCCTACCCTTACAAGCACTTGGCCAGCCTACTTTAGGTAGGTTACATAAAATGTACACATTATTCAATTACACTTAAGATCCAGAGTTCATGAGATACATCCGTTGAAATTCATTTGTTTCCATGAAGGATCACAATGGACTCACTGATATCATTTAATATGATTAGATAAGTGTTTTTCATTTTCAGTGATGTTTGCAACATTGTCTTTAACGTTTAACTGAGTGAAACTGAAACATATTCACATGTATAAATAGACACAAGGCAAGACTTTTACTGGCAAATGGATGGTGTATACGAGACAAAATGGATTCCTTTCAAAAGTAATCAAGTTATACATACTGAATACAAACCCCCAGTATCCCAAACTATGATATAACACACGAAATAGCAATGTTTAGAACATCCCCTACCAACCATTCAACATTCTGATACTCATAGCATCTTTCTGTTTCACCTGAAACCATCTCAGGGCTGAGATCGAAGAATTGAGATGTCATGGTTTATCATGATGACCATTCAATATCAATATCACATTGTCAATATCACAGCACAAAACCACGCACAAGATCATGGGACATACCATTTAAAGTCATTAAAACACACGTAGAAGAATAATCTAAATTGTAAAAAGTGCCCAAATACCAATAAATGGAAAACATTAATTGTACTGAACTTGAACAATGTCGGAAATTCAGTCTCAAATGATGCGGGGAAGATGAAATCTAAGCCTAAAATGCTGTTAAGGGTGCTGGTCAACACCAAACAAACACAATAATTTAACAATAATTTCAACAGTCGTCACGAGGAACCTTTGACTGATTTTGATCCGGGGATTTTGATATCCTTTTACAAAAATAAGATAAATTAAAACAGAGAGCCATTTACCAGGAAAATATCAATGGTTCTGTACTTACTCTGGGTGCTTAATGTGCACCTCATGGATAAATTGTTTTGGAATGTCGAACAACTCTGGATCTTCACCGTTAGCCTCAAGAATTAGAGGCAAAACATCAAACATGCCTCCACTGCCAACCCAACCCATACGCTGACATATCTGAAAAATAACCATAGTCGTATAACTAGTGTAACTAATGTATTAGGAATATCGGTCATGCCCACATGCCTCGAGCCACATCCAGTCCCCATTGGTAATTTAGTGCTCGGCTCAATGAAATAATGAGTTTTATATAATTGAGCCTAGACAACAGGAGCAATCTGGCATAGGTTCGTGGTTGTGCCCAGGGCAACTGATGGGAGATTGGTTGACATTTTTCGATTCCAGAACATAACTCTCATTTAGATGTATGATCTACTAAAAGGAAAAAACTCGATGGTGGTTCATCTATATACAATCTAGTTCTACCAAGTTTAATGTTATGACTCCAGACTCCAGAGGGTCATTTGCAAAATGTATTGATCGCCACTTAAGTTATCGGCTCCTAGATGAGGTCAAAGGTCAACTAGTTTAGCAAAGGTTGTGTACCTCTGTGAACTCCACATTTAGTGGGTCTCCAATGACAGATCCATCGGGTTGTCTGTAGCCAGCATATCTGATGAGTTGGCTGTTCCACACCCGATATTCCCCATTATGCCTGGCTGGGAACATTGTTACAACTGACCTAGAAACATTGGTGATATATTAAGTTGAAAGGACCAGGTATGGTATGGCAATTTATTTAAGACAATTATATCTTTGATTATGGCTATATAATTAAACATTTATCATAAAAATTGATATGTTTTCTTTGAAGTTATCATTTATTATTGTTATTAATATTTATTTCTGCAAATGGTTAATATTGTACATCTACAATCGCCAATATCATTACGGGAGAATACAGATTCTTTTGCAGAATTTGGAAGGGGGTCGAGGCCAAAATGTGGTAAATAATCAGTTTTGGAAGGGGGCTACGTTGAAACGGAATCAAGTTGAAAACAGTAGATACCATTCTATTTTCTCATATGGAAAACGAATGCTCCTCATTGTTTTCTGCCGGTTTTCTGCATTATTTGGACACTACCATTTCCAAATTAGACGTTTAACGGCATTCTACCTTTGAAGAAGTAATAGGTATCTTGTTGTATTATCTATTTATGCAATAAAAATGAAAAACACGATCTCCTTGCTTAGAACATGATCTCAATTTACAGAAACTACATTTGTTTGACATTTTAGTATGTCATATAAATTAGAAATCGAAACAGGTCGTTACACAAAACCAATTACCCCTATTGAAGAAAGAAAATGTTTAATGTGTAACAAGAAAACCGGTTCAGAATGTCATTACCTATTAGAATGCAATAAGTTAAAAGATGTTCGGTCAAGTTACATGGATAAAATAAAAAAACACTGTCAAAATTTAGAAAACATGAATAACGTGTAACATAAATTAATGTTTCTATTTAATTCAGAGGGAATAATATTAATTATTATTTCCATGCCGTGATACTCGTTCTCTCATTGGTCAATTAGATACCATGTGACTAAAAATATATAGAGGTATTCCTTGTCTCCTTGCTTAGAAAACGTGTGAAGAGTGTATTCACTAAGAATGACGTCATTTTAATTGAATAAATAGTGGTATTCACTAAAAATGACGTCACATCACTGAATTCCCGGGAATTTAGTAAAACGTATTTTCATCCGATATGACAGGCGGTGAAGTTGTATCACGAAGTCCTTCCAAGAAAAGGTTCAATACTGTATAACAAACGCGGGATAAAGATTTTACAAATGTATTCAAAATGTCAACTAATGAAAGCACGAAGACTATGGACTTTAACATGGAAGATCCGAATCTAATTTTTACTATATTATGGTGTGACAGAGATCGTGATTTATAACAGAATATTGGCAAACGTTTGGAAATACGTTGAAACTAATGAGGAAATAATAAAACAAATATTGAATTCTGTGATCGTTTAATATCTGTATATATTTCTTAGGGATGTATTCACCTCGCCCTTCGGGCTGCGGTGAATACACCTTTAGAAATATATACAGATATTCAACTCCACAGAATTCAATATTTGTATAATATACTAGCAAAATATATATCTAATATTTTTATCGAGAGAGAAAAAAACACGAAATGCATCCAATAAAATCTTGCAATGATCAAGCACCCTTTGATTAGTTAATATACTATATAGATAATTAGTTAAGCTTTTTCATTTTTTTTCTGGTTAAGCTGTACACTTTGCCCAAATGTGGGATACAAGTATAATAAAGCTCATAATAATAATAATAATATCTGCACTTGATCAACTAGTATGACATGGTGAAACCCGGGACACGGTGAACATTGCCGTAAAACTAGCCTTGTCATTTAAAATTGATCTAATTTGCACATGGCACGGAGTCGTGCATCACACTCCCAAGGTGTGAGGTGTGAATGGCGATGAGGTTACCTTGATCGAGAATGACTTCATTCTTAAAATGATAACCTAAGTTCATGATAATAACATTTTGTTATAATGTCTTTATAACAAAATGGATGAACTTACGTTGGGGAAATTTTTAACTTTTTAACTTTTTAATTTCATCATTTTCACCAAAAAAGAATCCAAATATTTTACCCGTATGTTATGCCTGAGTCACATGTGCTCCGATTCATCGGACGGCGGTCGATTGAGTATTTTGTTCAAAATTGTATTCAGTTTTGACAGTTTTGAGCAAAATACTTAATCCGATGAATCTGAGCTGGCTTCAGCAACCAGGACGTTAACCTTAACAAAAGATGATATGACTTCAGTGAACAAAAATGAAGGCGAACATATGCATAAACAAGGATACCATATTACATTGTACATCAATGAGATTTTCTTAGAAATGACTCATGATTATTTGGCACGAGAACAATGTTTAACCAAGCGATGATTTTCTAGAATACAGACGAGGTACTGATGAGGAAACCGCTAGCTGATAAAACATAATTAATATATGTTAGGATTATTTCCAGTGTCCTCATTGGATAATAACTGAGGGTGTTGTATCGAATGTTTTTATGTCTCATTCAAAACAAGGAAATAGGAAAACAATTACATTTAAATTTGGCAAAATCATTAGACAACAAAATAACAAGGTTAATATCGGAGACCTCTCGAGAGATCACAGCCTTGAGAAATCGATGGTTTCAAACATTTTTGTTTTTATGGAATTCAAGTTAATTCTTATCTGCCATTTGTTTGTATACACTAATGGCACCATGTAATGGATGTTAAGCGATATTACATTGATTAACGTTAACGTTAATGTTATTACTTATCATAAAAAGAGTAATGTCAACATTATTAGTGTTATATTTGACCAGAACTATATGTATTAACAATGGGATAGGAGCATCATAAAACACAAATCAATTGATATTTTAGATGAAATAAGTATACGTGTTGCTGTGCTTGAAAATAGGCGAATGGCGTAAATTAGCCCTATTTTAATGAATTTTGAAAACCTTTCGTCCTCCACTTTTCCACATACAACAGAAAACACATACTTTTGTGAACAAAATCAACTATTTATTAATAAACTAGAGTTTAAGAGCAAAATAATCATGTATGATTTATTAAAAATTGATCTCGTATTTTTTGTTTAATGTCTACTTGAAAAGTTGAAGGTAACAAAATGAGCAAAAAAAGGTCGCTGTCAACAGATTCTATTTTTCAAACTCTATGACGTCACAATATGGGACGCTTACTAAAATTCATCCTTTGAAATAAAACTTTCATCTTCCTTTATCAAGATGAAAAATAAGTATAATAGTCATATATTGTTTGAGTTATGAGCGTTTACAGACGAAAAATAATTCAAAATGTAACGTGTCAACAGGGGATATTTGCCAGATGTTTTGGTAAAAACTCTTTTTTTTAAAAAGAACGCGCAAGAATCGTGAACGGAGTGTAGTTGATCTAAAAACTTCATCGAAACAGCTTTAAAATGATATATAACTTTAATTAGAATATTATCTTATAATCCGGGGAATCAAAGTTACATTCACGCGATACCCTTAAAAAAAATGCGCCACCTTTTTGCGACACGTCAGGTAATTTAAAGGGGCAACAAGGACTGGAGAGAGAAATTCGATTTTTTAAAAAATTTTCTGAGCTATCAGGTCAGTATTTGGCTTAACATTTTCTTTGATATACCTATTTTCTTAAAATGTATGGATAAACTCTCAATTTCAGCATTAAGAAGTGTAAATTCAGTTCAAAGCTTCTGTAAAGGGAGTCCCTCTTATAGATATTTAAGATTCACCACGTGAGTCAATGTCTGGTTTTCTGACTGAGTATTAGTCAATGCAAATTATGTTGTAAAAAACAATTTTGTTCAACTTGTCAGAAACAGAAAGCTGGACACTCAACAAATCATGATCAGTTTTCAATTCATGAATTTCTTAAATGTGATAGGTTGTCACATGATAAATTCGGCCTGAAATTAATTGTTGAATCGCAAGACCTAATTATTACCTTATTTTTCCACCATTGCCGCCATATACAAGATGTTCACATGCGGCTTTGTACATATCTTTGGCAGACCTACACTTTCGTCCATCCAGTAACTGAAAAATATCAATAAGTGCTTTTACCATTGAGTGTTTTGAAAATCTATCAATCAATCAGAAAATAAGTAAATCATTCACCGATTGATTCACTTTTAGAAACATTTATTTAAAAGAATTCATAAAATGATAACAAGCAAGTAAAAAGTCAAACGGCCATATAATACCTGAAGCTCATTCCAAAAAATCCTATTGACGCATCTCGGTGCATTTCTCCATGCAGTTCTGGCACCAAATTGTAACTCATCGAAGGTGTGCTCATAATAACCAGTTTTCTCTATGTTGGTCGTCACTGAATTTAGTCTGGCAAGATGTTCTTCACTATTCAACCTTATTGAAAGTAGATGGATAACAATTTAAAATGCCTTCTCATTTTTGAGTAAAATGAGCTAGCTCTATTCGATTTTAAAGTAATGGAGTGGAGAAAATGAATAATTTCTTCAGAATATGATAACACTTTGATATATATGATCACGTGACGACTTGTACAGTTTAAACAATCTAATTTATTTTAAAAAGTATGTAACAACAAATCAACATGGAGCTATTATTTTACGTGATACAGTAACATTTTCAGGTAGGACTGAATTGGAATTAAATGTTCATATTTACTTATTTAGATGCGCATAATATTGTTTGAGAAAGTCTTCAGCCAATTCCTTTACTTTGTGTTTTGGATGCATCTGTGATGGTTTCCTCATATCTGCGGTGTGAAACATTTTTGAGCCGACGCATCTTTGGCCTTTACAATGGGTGCTCTGCAATAAAAAACAGGTTTCCCCAAAATGATTTTTAACCCAGTGATACAAATATACATACAAGTGTAAAACACTAAGACATTTGGTCAATTTGATGCACGTTGAAAAATACCTTATTGACCTATTTTGACCTTCAATATGTTGCCAACACCGTTTGTGATTTTAGTTTGACATACAATTTACTTTGACATTGAAAACGTTTTGGCCTTTCGGAGGTTTTAATGAAGGTCAACCAAAGGTCAAATCTCAAATCTAAAGTCAGAGTTGAACTACTGAGATCATGTAGATGATTTGAAAAAAATTGAAGTGAGTTGAAAAAGACATTTATTGACCTTCAACGTCCACTTCTTTGTCGTCATGGTAACAGATATTGGCAGAAATGTGTTGGAGCTCATAACATTTGAAGTCAATCTGAACAGTTATTGGAAGTTGTAAACATTTGTTACAGACGCCGTAAGAATTTGTTACAGCTAGGCGCCGACCGCCGAACACCAAAATGCCGAACACTAACCGCCGTCCACAAAAAAGTCGGACACCATAACAATATGTCACTACTTCTGGTGGTGACATAAAAATGGCATTTTCAGATGGAAATGGTAATCGATGAATCGTTTGTCAGTCATTCACGTCAACCAATGTCTCCAGAAGAACAATGTTCAAACGTCATGGAATAATGAGTTACATTCTTGAAAATGTTCGCACTATAGTGTAAAGCACAGTATACACCATTGACCAATGGGGCAAAATCCCAAGAAGTCCCACGAGGTCCCACGCAATGTTAAGTCTATGGAGGCCCCAACTTGTCCCATTGGTGAATACTAAATGGGTCTGTTTTCACACAAGCCATACCATGTGCGGTCATTGTACTTGTATATGTGCAGTATACTAGTACCTGCGTTTGGTAAAATGTGACACGAAACATAGACGTTTGACATATTAGTCCATGGTATGAAATTCTTAGGACGCCTAATTACACGCCTAACCATCGACAAGTAACAGTGACATAATATACCGTAGTACACTTTAGATGTACGATGTCACTACTTAACCAATTTGAAGCAAAAACAACGTATTTTTCATAACACTAACAGACAGTGGGGTCAGATGCATTTAAAATTGACACAGAACAATTACAGAATTACATCAATTTGATTGAACTATTGAAACTTTCCAGATATCATAAACTGGGTTTTAAAAAGTCATATTCAATAACCTAGTATAGATCAGTAGATATATCTATCAATGTAACTAACAAACGTAAGGTACAGACGCCAAATAATCAAACAGACTGGAAGCAGACTCCGTGGCAGTGCTAGTCTTCAACATATTTTATTCCGAGAGACTGGATGGGGGTTTGGGCTGGAAGCTAACACCAAATGGGCACAAATTAACCACCGCCACAACAATACTTTCATAAAATGAAAAAGCAAAAAGGATACTTGAACATGTTCGTTAAAGATCACTTGTTACTTTTAAAAACCTTAATGAATTTTGAAATGAAATCATTACAGTATTACCATTGTTTAATATTACCTATATCTCATGAATTTCCGATAAATTTTCGTGGGTAGATTGATTACGAAAAAAATCGAGCACTGTTCGAAAATCTTTTAACATTATTAGAAAGTTTAATGTCTTTCTAAACGAATACACACGAAATTAAACATGAAATCTTTCAAGTATTCCCAAGATAATTTTTTTAAATCGACATCACACCTGCATCATTGTCTTTGCTTCAAATCGGTTAAATAGTGACATCGTACATCTAAAGTGTACTACGGTATATTTTGTCACTGTACCTTGTCGATGGTTAGGCGTGACATGTCCAGTATTGTTTTAACTATAACCATTCAATATTCTTCGGGCGTTTGAGCTGAATTATGCGTGTCATTAGCAGGGGTAAAAATATTAGTAAAAAAGAAATCCCTTTTTACAATTTGGCGTACATACTGCAACAGAAAAATCTATATTTTGAGTGCATGTTTTAGGGTTCTCACTATAAATTTGATGTTATTTTTCTCATAAATACAAAAAATTATGTAATCAGCACATCAACATTTTGAAGTATCTCTTCAATATTGGTGATGTAAATGTTATCAATGAATCGTTTTTATGTAAGAATAAAAAATGCTAAAATTATTGTAGTTTTTCGAAAAATGGGTCTTAATACGTTTTGAGATATGGACTGTCACCGTCAGGGGTCAACTATCAATAAAGTCGGTCGGGCGTATTGCTCTTCATTGACTTAATGTGGCTTCGGCTAAAATTATTTTGCCCCTAGTTAGATATTACTCAGTTGTTTATAAAACAACCACCAAGACCTGGTCGAATTCATGAAGCTTTGAGAAAAAATGGTTTAGATTTTCACCAAAAATCTGATGATAACCAGCAGTTATGTCTAAGAATGTATTACCATCAGAAAATGTGATGATATGCAGCAATAACGTCACAAGAGAAATGTAAGGCGTTTGATTGCATATGCACTGGTGATCCACTCGATTACGCTGGTTACCGAAACGGTTCGTTTTGGTAACAAAATGTTGGAACGTCGAAGGTACGATTTTTCTCTTTTCCTTATTTCACACGTTGTAGGCAGAATTCCCACGACATTTTTAACACAAACGTGTATCGGCATCATGTACATATAACAAATACATTTTATTGTTCATCACGACTAAACATAACAATACATTAAAATAACATCCATTACGAAATTAAATCATCTCATTACAAAGGTATATGCGAACAAATAGTTCAGAAGACAACAGAATCGTCGATTTAATTCTTCACTTAAGTTACATAAACGGTTTTTCGAAAAACAGTTAAGATCTGCACTTTTAACCAAAACCGTTTATGTAACTTAAGTGAGGAATTAAATCGACGATTCTGTTGTCTTCTGAGCTATTTTTTCGCAAACATGAACTTTTTCTAAAACATGTGATACTGATATACGTTTGTGAGAAAAAACGTCGTGGGGATTCTGCCTACAACGCGTGAAATAAGGAAAAAAGAAAAATCGTACCTTCGACGTTCCGACATTTTGTTACCAAAACGAACCGTTTTGGTAACCAGCGTTTAATCGAGTGGATCACCAGTGTATGTCTCTTATAGATTATTAGACATGCCCTCTGGATATATAAACGTTAGCTAATACCTCTGTAACATTCAAATAGATATATATTTTACATAGTTGTCATTGTTTTATGTTTTATAAAACATTATTATTTCTTGTTTGACTCCTGGCGATGAAATGTATAAATTCTTTAATTTAAATAAAAGTTTGAAATAGTAAAAACCTTAAATTCGAAATTATGAATTTTTGGGATAATTCCCACAATTTTGTCGAATCTGCTTGACCAATATTTGAAAAGATAAACAAAATATAATAAGCACATTTATGTAATTACACTAATTAACCAAATTACATTGAAATTAGAATTAATTTTGACATAGTGATAATCCAATTTATTGTAAATATGCTTACATTAACGACCCAAAAGCCCTACGTTTTTTCAGCAAACGGCATTTAAAAAGAATTACGACATATGGACCTCCTTAAATATTGGTTCAAATGTTGCTGCACTATATTGACTAAGAAACTGAGAAACATACATCACATATCGAATTTTTCAAAACAGAAAAAAACATAGCCTGCAGGTCCGATTCCCCCTGGTAGGATTATCATTGGTCTCGTGTATGTCATACAATTGATATTTGAAACAAAACTATTATTCGAACTTATGATCGGACATAAGTATGATGTGTACTTCACGGTAATAAAGTAGTACTAGATAGTTTTTCGAAGAAATCTACAAATATTTCGTTGTGGTTTTATCTTTACATCGTAATTTCAATCACCGCATCATACGAATGTAATTTCAGGCGATCTGTCTGCATAGGGTATATATTTACAACACGTATTGATACAAATCCACTTTTGAGCAATACGATATTCATGAACAACAATAGAGTATGCAAAATACGGCGGGCAATGCACTTTCAAACCCTATTCATAATATTCGATCCTATTTTTCTATATTTTGGTTATAGTCATGACTTACTGAAATCATACATGAATAACATGCACAATTCATATCTTATGAGGCTATTTGAGTCCGTGACGATGGCGTTGTCAAAAAAGATCAAATGAGCAAGGATGATTAATTGTATATGAGTCAATGTATTGTTTCAACTCAGTTTTGTTACCGTTATGCTAGAGTTTGTAGGTGTGATCCTAGCTGTAATTCAACACAAAGCCACAAAACTTCTTGACATGTTCGTTTACTCTGTGAGGTAAACATCATGGTCATTCAAGAGAAGGGTATACACCCGGGGGTATACAACACATATTTCATACATAAGCATTCAGCATTGCCCTGGGTTTTCAAAATTGGAGAAAATAATCTTCCTGTACCGTTTCCAAGAAAAATTATATTTTGTACTTTTCATGTATGATTAAAAGAAATAAATCAAAAATGGAAACATGATTATCTGCATACATGTTGAGAGTATAATACAAAATGGAAATCATAATAATTAAGGCAATAATGAAAGTGAAGATGCTCTCACAAATTATATTTTTATTGGAATGTGTTCTTGACTATTAGCCACAATGCAACACGCGAGGAGAAGTAAATGTATACATTTATCTAGTCTTTTTTGATTATCATCAAAAAGGAAGTATGGCACTGTTCAGTTCAGACCTCCCCCTATATATTTCACCGACACGACACATCAATTGTTGGGAGGTAACTAGACGGCGAGGGGCTTGTAGCTAGATTTTTGTAATTTTTTAGATGTAAGTAATTCAAAACCGTATAAAACCATGGGTAAGTGCAGTGGGACAAATTGAAAGACATTCGTAAAAGTATTAGTTATACATTCCCCTTCCTAGAGCATATTTTATTTCGTATTTAGTGAATGGGTTTTACAAACGCAAACATCTAATTTCCATTTCAGGTCGTACTTGGGCATTCTGTCCTTGTACTCCAATATTTACTTTTTGCGTGTTATCTTTGCTTAAGTATTACTTCCTTCATGCATGTATATTTGCACTTATTCCAACTTGTAAAAATATTCCGACCATTTGCCCCTAAAGTAACAAAGACTTTAAATAGTTTCCTGAAGAAATACGTACGTATGTGTCATTCAGGTTCAAAATAAACTTAAATTGAGAACTTTAAAATGTTCGATTGGGATTAGAATTTAATTGATAAATCAAATAATGTATGTGTAGGACCGAATTGTTTGCAAATGATGCGCATTTACAGTTTTTATGCGCATCGTTGCGCATAACCTCTTTCGTAAAATCATTTATTTAAATGCGGATACAAAAATGATGATACAAGAATATCATCAGAAATCACTGAAATCACAGAAATACACAGACGTGCAAAACGTTGTGAAAGAAAAGATAACTCTTATCCTAATCTTAAGGCAATTGTCCAGGTGCAAGTGGGTAGATATGGATACCAGTTTCACCAATGGAGGGCTTATTCGGGTCAGATAACATTACATGCACAATAACAGACATAGAAAACGTTCCCATAAACTTGAATAATACACAGATTTATTGGATCTATATTCACCTAGAACCTTATGAGCTTTATAATTCAACTAAACAAAATAGAAAGAAACGATGTTTCAAAATATATCTCTTCCCGATCTAGAAATTACATTTTCAAAGAAAATGAAGATTTCAAAGCTGAACAACAATCTTTATAACTTCATTTCCAGATGCAATCACTTTGTATAGATAGGTTTTGAGTATTTAATGATGAAAATCAATGCTATTTCTAGTCGCTTGCATCTAGTCGATGAAAATTAATAGTGTGACATATTTGATACATATTTAATACAATTTCTTCGCACGTGTAGACTCACGATCTTAGGATTTAAGCCCTGGACTTAGTGCATTGTGAACTGATCACTACCTCCAAGGTGTTGTGCAGAATCGATTGCTAAGTTTAGGAGACAACGCCTGAGTGGAATGAAGTCTTTTCACACTCACCTGCGGAATATGGCATATTCTGCAGGTGAGTATGGCTTATTCCGCAGTGAAATGATTTCAGTGAATACCCGACTTGCGGAATATGTCATATTCTCCTCCTGAATATGGCATATTCACCTGCGGAATATGCCATATACCGCAGGTGAAAACGCGATACAGAAAACCTCGATTTGATTGGTCAAAACAATCGATTCTAAATGTAAAACTACGCTGGCTTACCAATATTGTTAGCGCTTCGAGTACTAATATATGAATCCTGGATTGATTAAGTAGGTTTATTACGTGTAATAGCTAAATGATTCTGTAAATCGTGATTGCCAATTCAACAATACATAAATACTCATGATTTTTGTAGATTCGTTTATTTATGCGTAATAATGTTTCCCATGAAGTGTGTATTTTCTTGTAACACATACATAAAACAAGATCAAACAATACAGGCACCACCGGTGTATGTTATTCCATTGTATTAGTTGATAAATTCAAGGCATAGACCTGTTGATTGAGTAATCATTATAATAGTTTATAAACCTTTGCCCGTTCGTGAAATCGATGTAAGGAAAATGCCATATTCGTCGCGGAATATGACAAATATTTGTATCGTATAATTGGATTTAGCTATATTTGAAATAATTTGAAATAAAATAACATGAACAACTGAATATTTAGTTCTGGATCAAAACCTCTCATCAGATTGGTAAAACTTAGATTGAGTTGAAACTTGCATCATTGTCACGAGACTTTCCTAACTGGATATTACATTTTGTTTTCATTCAGTTTTTGTATGCTTAAAATACATGTAAATGCTTGGAAACAAATGCATTTCTTCTTCAGTATGTCAAAATGTGGCTCATACATGTAGGCCCGCCTTCTGATTCGATTCTTAGCTTAAGACGCCGAAGCTTTTGGTTGATGGCACGATTGATTGATTGTTGATGGATGTCTGCGGAAGTACCATCCAACTCTTAATTATTCTTTCTTTCAGTTCGTCTACATCCCGGATGGGCTAGGGATCTTCATAGATAAACTGTTCTAGATGTCTCCAAGTATGGTAATAAACAGGATAGACGCTTTGTATCCGTAAGCAAGAAGAGTGACACTTGCGAAAAAGGCTGCTCAAATCAAGATGACATTTTTCTGAAAATTTGATGGAATGATGTCACTCGGTGTTTCCAAAAAGGAAAGACCGACTCTGTTTTGTTAAACCAGGGGCACAAATATACATATTGTAATATATATGTACTCTGAATATTAGCCCACTGTAATGAGGTGTTAAAAAGGGACCCCTCAAGGATAAAAACGTGAAAAGAAATTCCATTTCCGATAGGATGCAGCATCACACAGGACCAATGCTACCCTGAAGTTTTAGGAGACTCAAAATGTCCCCATCATCCAGCACATCAGGGACGTAGAGGAACTGAAAGAACGAATAACTAGGAGTTGAATGGTACTTCGCAGACATCCATCAATTATGCCATCAAACAATAACGTCCGCGTCTTATTAAGCGAGTAATTGAATCAGAAGGTGGGCCTACAGAGCCATATTTGGACAGACTCGGATTTGTTTCATAAGCATACACATGTACCTTAAGCATGCATGATTCAAAAACTGAATTAAAACAATAAATAACAGTCAATTAGGAAAAACTTGCAACATTGATGCAATTTTTAACTGTACAGTAAAAATCATCTATGAAAATTTAGAAGGTGTTTTCCCCTATGTCACATAATTGGTAATATATCAAGTGATGCTTGTTAAATATTGTTCTATTATATATCATTGTTGATCATTTGTTAAGAATAAATATTTATCAGGAATATTTGCTATGGGGATGGTTTTTTGACCCACCCTGTAGTTCAGTTCAGTTCAGGTTGTCGAGCTCTGTGTATAAATGGGGTAATCCAAATTGACTTTCTTAGCAGACTGTCGATTAATTGATGCAGTAGACATATCGATTACATTAGTTATCCAAGTAATAGCAGAATATCAAGTTTTACGTAAAATATTTCCATGATTTGTAAAAACTTAAACTGAGACTTTCTTCCTATTTATCAAGATTTCATTTTATAAATCTTGTTCAAATATAGTTTTAGGATAAAGCAATGCTGGTACGTTGAAGAGACGTGCTTGCATTGCTTATCGTGTTTAAGATATTTCTATACCATTTGTAAAATGTATTCTTCTTTGAACACTTTTTTGTGCCTCTGATTTATGAATTCATTTTTTATCTTCCAATCGATATTTTCCTTTCTTTCACCTGACAAAATATGAGGGTTGACATTGATGTAAAGTAATGTATATTAATAGATATGCGTGACAACATAAAGTTTTATTTTAAAGAAATTCACAATTTTTCGAACAAAATTAAAAAGACTGATTACAATGCAGAATTCATCCAATTTGCTTGTATCTTATGGCTTTATTTTGTATGTATACAGGATGAGCCAAGGAGGTAATCAAAAGAAATGTTAATAACTCTATCATCCATGGATTTACAGTCATATCTGGCGGTTGGCGATCGGTGGGTTGCGATTGGCGATCGGTGGGTTGCGGTTGGCGAATCGGCGTCTGTAACAAATTTTTACAACTTCCAATAACTACACAAATACTGTTAAGACTGACTTCATTTTTTCAAAGATCATCTTCAAGTTCTCAAAATGTCAAATCTGACTATAGATTTACAATTTGACCTTCAATGACCTTCTAAAGGTCAAGATAGGTTAAAAGTTCAAAAAGGTATTTTCTCAACTTGCTTCAAATTGACCCAATTTTTTACAAATTCATCCACAAGTTCTCAAAAGTTCAAATCTGACTATAGATTTGATATTTGACCTTTAATGACCTTCTTAAAGTAAAAAAGATTCATAATATTGTGAGCAACTAGGCGGTGACATTTTGTCATGTTAATGCCTTGTTTTGGTTGGTATGGGAACACATTGGAATTTGACAGATTGGCATAGGAACATATTGATATCTGAGGGTTCAGACTAGGACCGCGCCGAATTTTGTACACATTGAACCCCATGGAATGAACCCCGAGACGTTAATTTTTGGGACAATTTCAAAGATGATATCTACAATAACAACCCCAGAAGCATTAGAGAGTTAAAACAAGAGATTTGAAGGTATAGATGGGATCAGAATTATTATACGAGGTCATTGCCCTAAACTCTTGCATATTTGATTTTTTAACATTTCTTCCTCATACTTTTTGTTATCCAATAGAATACTTTTTTCAATCCCACTTTATCTCATGTGATAAATAATTACGATTTCTAGAGCAAACGGTGCAGAACTTTTGGATCAACCCCTCGTATTACATAAGATATCTGTGAGCGTGTGGTCAGACCAACTTCACCGATGCATTCAAGTTTGCATCCAATGACAAGACCGGCGTTTTGTTTTTGAGCATGTTTTGTTACATGGCCATACAATTATGACCATTTTTGGCTCACCATAAAGATTTAAAGAAGATAAGATATAGTGCTATTTCAATTAATAATAAAAATAAAAATAAGATACCAAAATACCAGAACTTACCCTTGTCGCACTCCTATAAAGGGTGTCCTCTATCTGTGTCCCATCAGCTACGTTGTTAAGGCGAACAACAGTATTCAAAGGAGCCTTTTCAAATTTACTTCTGTCATTTCGGTTCTCCATTTTAATAATAGTACTTCAGGGTGGTGTTATATCTTATACTACAAATATTTTGAGTCTTTTAAAAGTTGAAACGATCGTATAAAATCAGACCAGTATGGAGTATGGACGTTACACTCCAATCTATTTATACTGAAATTGACGTCCTTACGACATTCTGTTGGACGGAATTTATAATGTCATAGCCTTAAACTCTTGCATATTTGATTTTTTAACATTTCTTCCTCATACTTTTTTTTATCCAATAGAATACTTTTTTCAATCCCACTTTATCTCATGTGATCGCTAATGCGTCTCGACTTATTTCCGGACACCTGATTATGTAGATTGTTCAAATCATTGTTATCGGTTATGGGCTATATAGTAAGTGTATGTGGTATTCGGCTCATGATTCTTGTCACATACCCTTGAACTTGCAAATCTCTATTTGCGCTCTTAAATAGTTAAACTAATATTATAATTATTTCGCTATCGTTTATTATTCCACACATTTTCCATAATGAATTCCATGGAATGCATTTCTACTATAAATATTCTTTTAATTGGGATTACATATTATAAACTACCCATTTTTGGTTTGGCATATCCACGATAGATTTCCTTAAATTAGCATATTGGCAACTTTCATGAACACAATCCAGCTTTTTCATATCTTTTTTCTTACTAAATTCCGAAATGACCTATAAAGGCATCGTGGTTGTTTCACTCCATGTGGTGATAAGTACTAAACATATATTGGTACCTTCCTAACCGTCTATCCATATTGTATCCGAGCGCTAATCCCAACTAGCATTGATCATAAATGATCGATTGCCACAAATCAATCAATCAATCAATCAATCTTGAATTAAACTATCCACGAGATACATTATAATTCCGAACAAAAATGTCCATCGAAAATGCCCATCATCGCACAAGGACTTACACACTTTTCACCATTTATAACATTTGTGTTGTATTTGTTTTATATCAGAGATAAATATTGATACAATTTACACTCTAGTTGACAGAAAATGTTCTTTTAAAGTGAAATCGAAATCGAATCTCCCATGGCAAATAGTAACTCCAAAGGGTTTAATGTAAAGTCACTATTTACACCATTCTAAACAAGCTCTCTCCATTGATCGGTACTGGGGCCAATTCTGGATTCTACCCTATAGATATACATTTACTTATGTATGGTCATAACCTATGCTCAAACTCAATACGTCATAGTGTCGACTTCCTCATAAGTTGTGGCATCCCCCGGGTGGCATCCAAACCCACAGCTCAAAGCGGCGTTAGATAAAGGATTAAAATGTGAGAGAAGTTTCTTTTTAAATTATACACCATCATCTTTTTGTCTGTGTTTAAGAAAAATATCGACCCCATCGACCTGTGGCCGGTTGGTGTTTTCCACAGGTAGCCTCAAAGCAAGGAGGAAAATGTGAAAGAGACCGACTTTATGTACACGTAGCCTTAAATTATTTATAGATTTCGATTTTGAATATGCCAATCATATTAAACGTTTTTTGTTTATGTCCCATTTTGTTCGTAAAAATTGTTAAATAAAAGGCAAGCAAACTAATTTGGTATGACCGTCTCCCCATGTGTACCCAACTTTGAGTGCCATGGGTCGATGGTCGGTTATTCTTGCCATGTCTTTTTTGGAAAGAAGAGGGGAACCCCCTTATAAAGATGAACCTTCACTTATACGGTGAACTCCTTTGGTCCATTGGTCTGTGACTGACACACCCGCTAAATCATCGTCGCTGATTGGACAACTGTCGTTTATCGCTGTGATCTTGAGCTGGCGAGAACAAAATTTGAAAAATCAATACATCAAAATCTTGGTTCTTATTTATAGTTTGCAAAATCCATTCCTGGTATGTAAAGGTCAAAATCAATAATCAAATTGATTTTCCATGGGGCGGGTCATTTAATTTGAGATCAAAATCCCTTTTCATGATTTACTTTCAATGTACATTTTTGTTGACAGTTCTACATTATGCAATGTTCCTTTTAAAAATTTGGTGTAGATATATTTTTGAAATGTTGACTTAACCATGATATATTTAAAATGTATAAATAAAACATGGGGAATGGGGAAAGGTATTTTTCAAATTTATTTTTGGGGTTGTACGTAGCACCTTGGAAAGACGGACACTGACAAGTATTTGAACTGCTACGACGACATCTATAAAACTATAACATAACTTTTGTTATATTTCACCATCTCCTCTTGAATCACCCTGGACGAAGTGATAAGGTCAAAACAAGTGGCTCTGATTTAGGAAAAAACGATCTTCCTAAAAATAAACATGGCAGAGCAGGGGTGATTTATTTCTTTAAATTATACCCTTTCTTGGCCACCTGACATGTTCAAACTCGGTACATTGATCCAAGACATATCCACCTGTCTATATATAATATTGTAACGATTAATACTAAGAAACGAAATGAATACGAATTGAAATAATATATTTTTGTAAATAACCGCAATATTTTTTTTTGATTATTTTCGAAAAAATGGTAGATACTCTGTTTCAAATTGCATTGATATTTGGCGATATGATAGTTTATGAACCAGGGAATGTCATATCACCATTACTTTTCTAATACAAGAAGTAATTTACGTCCCTGAGACGAGATTAGATTTATTTTCTGGAAAAAACGCGGCTCTGATTCCCACAGAATATATGGAAAATACGTGGAATGGATGTCTAATTAATCACTTGTTTACTTTCAGGTGTGTAGGCTTCCAATGCTACAATTGTGACGGGAAAACAAAACAATTTAATGCAATAATACAACACTTGATTTTAAAACATCCTGAAAATGAAATGAAAATCAGAAAAATTATTAATGTGAATGGAACGATTAAATTGATAACAAAAAATTTCTCAGATGTGATTCCCAGTGAGATCGAAGCCAGTGGCAAAAAAATAGTGATTCAGGATCAAGACTCCATGACAATATCAATAGCCCAGTACAATGTACTTGGACAGTGATGTTCCCCATGTATCTAAATGCTCAAAATTAGATATTGACAGTAACAATGAAATGAAATGTCGTACAACAATGGATAATAACATTGAAAAAGAAAATGAAATTGAAAATAAAATTGAAAATGAAACCACCAATGAAATCACCAATGAAATGAATGATATAATACACGGAGTGGCTCCAGGACCGACAAAAGTCGGTACTGGAGACTGTCCAGGGGTATTTGCTAGGGTACCGACAATTGTCGGCACTCTATCGTCACCTAGTAGTGCCAGATAGAGAACCGACAATTGTCGGTACGCAAGTGGCTACTACGTGTTTTTGCTAGAGAGCCGACAATTTCATAGATAAATCGACTACTTTTACTTTTAGAAATAACCTCATCACTGGTAGCCTCGTGGTTAGCGAGCACGACTCGAACACACTCGGATTGAGCCATAATTTATTTCGACAAAAATTGATTCAACTTCCATCAAAATTGTCCTACAAGCTTCAATTAAAAAACATTTTAAAGCTTTTTTCTTGTTCTATCTAATGGGTCGATATATACAGTTAGGGGAGGGGATGCTTTCGCCCCCGTCGCTCTCTACCCTTACTACGCCATGGCACAGGAGAAATATCTCATTTGGAATATATCACTGTTTACTTTGCGTTTGGTAGCTCTCTCATGCGAGATGGAATCGTGGCCATTAACTAAGGGAGCCAAATGCAACTTCCATCAAAAATTGTGCTATAAGGTATGAGTACCGTAATCCAACACCAAATTCGAAAATTCATAACAATACTTTGCACATATGGCGTTCGTGACCAACTATGAAACGCTTACCCCCCCCCCCCATAGTGTTATATATCAAAATGCACCTGTCCATATAGGGGTTCGATTGACCTACATCAAATTATAGGGAGTCAGGTTACTTTTTGAGATATCAGCGTCCGTTTATTGTAACTCGCGTTTGCTACCACTTCCTCAATTCTGATATGACGGGCAAACGCGTAGTAAACATGCTCACGTTCGGAACTATTTTGACCTACATCGCTATTTTCGTAATTCAAATGAAAGTTGAACTCCTCTTTATTTTGATACCAAATAGTGGCATACTAGGTACCCTAGAAGCCAACTATGGGTTATTTAGAACGATACCACTGGTTTTTAAATGGACTATATAGGGGTCATACCTTTTGGCGGATGGATATGGAACCTCATACCATAAGCTTCAAATAAAAAACATTCTAGCTATTTTCTTCTATCTAATGGGTAGCAAACGCCCGTTTCTACGCCTGATCGGCTCAGGAGTAATATCCTGTCTGTATAGAATATGTATAGCCGTTTACTCTGCATTAATAGCTTTCTAACGTCTTACTTGTTCATGTTTTTTATATTGGGTTTTCAACGTTTACTACCATTCCCTGTTCCCGGGCTACCATTTTTTGACTGGGTTTGGTAATGCCCTCCGCGGGTTTTGCACTTGTTCCCAAAATATCCGTATGATATCTGAAATATCCCCCGCGCATTGCGCATGCGCCAGAAAATTCGAAAATCAATATTTGTCGGTCCTCTAGCGTGTAAACACAGCATATCTCCCGTACCGACAATTTATTCGTCGGTCCTCTAGCGTGCCACCACCTCAGAGTCTAGAGTACCGACAATTGTCGGTACTCTTGCCTGAAATCTTGTCACAGCAATGAAGCACACAGTTCCACAGATGGCAATGCAACGATACAGATGCTAGATGAAAATATTGAAGATCTAATAAATGAGTTCACCAGTGTGTTACCTGATGTCATTCAACGACTTGCCGACGATGGATCTATACGCACAATACTTAAACAAAAGATACAGTAAGGCAAATGATTTGTTCTATAGTAAATGTCCAAGACGATTTACTAAAATAGTGGACATAAACATAATTCCCATTCATGTGCAATGGCAGTGTAAATAAAGGGGTTGTTTTGACATCCAGATCTTTGGACTTTGCGTTGACAACGGGCATCGTACGTCTAACAAGCTGCATGTATCTTAGACTCTTATTTCATCCAAAGGCCACTTCCACATGACTTGATGTAATATAAAGAGATTTTCGACGCTTCATAACGGCGATTGTCATAGGACATGACTGGAAAACGTTAAATTAATGAAACTAAATCAGGTATAGAAAGCCGCGTTTTATCACAAATCACCATCGCAAATCAATAACCGCTTATTTTCCTCAAATGTTCGTCGTCGGGAGTAAAACAATGGGCATCACATCAAATTAAAATAACTGTCGATGCTGTAAATGCACATATGAAAAGAAACATACAATCTCGGTGTGCATGCATTCTGATACTCATAGCATCTTTCTGTTTCACCTGAAATCTCAGGGCTGAGAAGAAATGAGATGTCATGGTATATCATGATGGTGTGCATGAACGTTTATATGCATCATTGATCATCAATGAAAGATATTTTGACAATATAAAATCGTAATTTTTAGCGGGAGATATAATTCTCAACTTTAATTTACACTCCAGCCACTAATGCGCGTTCCATTCAATTTAAAACACACGAACTGAGTAGTTTAAGATGTACCACTTGAACATAATACAAAATTGTATATGATTCTCCTCTTTGTCCACAAGAATTTAACCTTACAAAAATTGGGGTACAAAAATTATTAATTTTTAGGAAGATCGTTTTTTCCTAAATCAGAGCCACTTGTTTTGACCTTATCACTTCGTCCAGGGTGTGAATGCACTCTTGGTTTCGTCTGAGCAAACCAGTTATTCGTACCCTTTGAATTCGTTCAACTACGCTTCTTAAAAGAGAGCTTCGTCTTTTCGTCGGTAGTTTATAACTAGACTCTGCGCACAGGGTAAGTTATTCGATGGTCCCATATTCAATGTTTCAATGATGCATGCATATATTTGGGATGTATCATGGGATGTACCAATCAATTATGCAGTCAATCCTTTATTTTTAGTGTTTTGAAATATAACGTTGTCCCCCATTGTCACTGCTCAGTATTAAGCGAAGGTAACGGCCGTAAACTTCGCATCTAATATGGCGGATGGTGTTGATTTCGATATCTATGAATTTGATTTTATTATCAAGTACCAAGTATCATACTTCTCTACCCTAATTTACCTTCTTCTAAGGCCACTGCGAGTAAACCCTAATCACATTGACTTTACGCCAAAAGCGCCATTTATCTGTCGCTAAATAAATGAAGAAAACAAAAAGCTCACGAACGGAAAACATCCATTTAATACGAGGACAGAGCAAAAACTGGTATATGCACAACTAAATAGATCAAAAGTTCCCGATGAAAAAAAAACTTCTAACCATCCAGTATGTTTATCCATTAATTAATATGAATACCGTTCATACTAAGTTTGATCCATTCTGATTCATCAGCGTTCCTCTTCATCTTATACTTGAGAAGTATTATAAGGGATAGTACATGTTGTGGATCCCACAATGGCTTTGATCATTTGATAGCTGTTATTTTATCAATTGCTCCAATCTATTTGATGATCTGTATAGGTGTGCCATTTACATGGGCATGATTTCTCCAATTATTTGAACCATTCCATCATACGCATCAACGCCCTCATCGTCCATATCATCAGAGTCATTCATATCATCACCACTATCAATATCTAATTGCTGTCTCCGTTTATTCTTTCTACCAGCACCCTTTTTACCAATTTTCTTGCCTCTCTGGCATTTTCTACTCCGTCCTTGCATCACTCTTAATTGCATCCTTTCGATCAATGGATCAACGCGTCCATCGGAATCTGAACTGGAGCTGAATGGACACCAGGGCTCTGCCTCTTCTTCTGGTTGCCTGCCGGTAAGCATCAAGCCGTGCCGAGGGCAATAAGCGCAGTCACAAACGTCTGCGTCCGAGTCCATCATTGGTGTATCCACCGGTGACCAACGTGCAACACCACGGTTAATGGTCATCTTACTTTGTGAACCCGATAGGTTTTCTTCTGAGGTCGCTTTGTCCTCAATACGCCTCGTCATTTTCTTACGCACGCGAATAGCACAACACATTATCAACCCTGATACAAGTAGACCACCGCCTATTTGAGCACTGATGATGCCGCCTATTGACAATGCATGTTCCGAGTTAAATCCATAGTGTCTGGACAGAGCAAGTGCTACACCCCCTGGTACACAGAGTAGAGCCCCAAAGAATAGCACAACGCATGCCTTCCGGTATTGTGATTTGTATTTGCGGTCCGTGGCATCATCGTCAGAGTCATCAAATGCATATGTACACACTATAAATGATCCAACCATCATGACAAGGCTTATCGAGATGAGAACGGGACCTAAGGACGTTAGAATATTGTTTGGGTTGTTATTTCGTATCGTGAACAACACCCCGGGCAATCCGAATGCTACTCCTCCACCTGTGAACATCATGAAGCCCGTCATCAACCTCAACGACTCATTCTCCTTCATTATCCCCTCTGTTGCCTTGTGTGGACGGTCCTCTATGTCTATGTTGATGTTCGCAACGACTTCATCACCGGACTTTATTGATTTCTCATTCTCGATTCTCTCCTCATACATAGATTGTTTATATTTCTTAATTTGCATCCCAAATTCATGTATTAATCTTACTTCTAACAAATATATCAGGTCGAATCCTCATTGTAGAGTTTTATGTTCTACTTTTCTGAGTTCACTGTTATTTTATACTCTGAGCAATTTTCTATGGCATCCTGATGGAAAAAGCCATCTGGCAGGTTTACTGAATCAAAATTCCACATGTACATGTGAATACAGGTACACTCCAAGAGTGATTCCCTTGCTTATACATAATTTATTCCTAAATCACATAGTTCGCATGACAAATTCGGATGACTAAAACGTAAAATCAGAAGTATTAAAGAATAAATTCTAAATAACTATAAGTCCGATTGTTCAAAAACAAATATCCCTCACAAAATGAAAGATTAAGGAAATCAAGCATGAAGAATTAAAGAGGAAATCTCAAAAATAAACACATCTACAAATATCTCAACGATTAAATTCCCACCAGCTTCAACTCAATACAAAATATAAATATATGATAAGATCGGAAACAAATGCCACCTTCCATTTATTAATATATTTTCGCATTTTGATTTATCAGAGTTTATCTTTATCTAAAGCTTGTGAGATCCAAGGGATAGTCATACTTGTTTGATTTCATGGAAACGTTCTTTTCTTCATCCTAGGGTTATCGAATAGGAGAGAATATGCATCCTATAATGACATTTTTGAGATTTTAGACAATATTACATATTAAAGGATTCCCTTCCCACATGCACTACTGGCTAAAGCCTAAATGGAGTATCCTTACAAAGGATGGCTAAAGATGAAGAAAACTGTTCTGTACAACAATTATAATAAATGACGATAACGAATACAACTGCTGACGACTGGTTCATACAGATGAATTGACAATAATGGTACCCCGGAAATGGTACATCACTAATCTAGGTACAAAAACGGGCAAATAACGTATGAAATATCCGTCAACGGTTAACGGTTTCATATTCCAGATCACTGCCTCTAGGAATAAGTCTAATTTAGATCTAGTTCAAATATGTGTCCAAACATATATCTATAGAGGTTCCATCTTGGTATTTGTTGGGCTTTAGAGTTCGTCGTGTTTATGACCATGGGCATGGGCTCTGTTGAGGACATCTGCTAGTTCTTGGAGTCGCATGTTGTCCAACTTCTCAACGGCTTCTCTGGTTATGAAACCCTGGTTGTTTGGGTCAAGGCTCTTAAACACTTCCGATGAATCTGGTGCATCTCGTACCTGAAATGAACGCAAGCTTTAAAACATTGGAAGTCGGACGGGGCAAGGAATGATATGTAAAGTTCGCAGTTTAAGATAGATACTTTGATTTTGATTTTCTTAGGTGTTGGTCATTACTGCCTCTTGCAATTTGTTTTCATGCAATACATGTAGACTTGGGTGTCAAAGCTCAATCCTCTTTCCTATTTACGCCATTCATTGAATTAAGAATAACGCTTGTGGTTTAAAAACTAAAAAATATTCTGGTTTTTAAGAGTGTTATACGTACCTCGCTAAGAGATTCGTTGTAGAATAGATGAAAGCGATCATAATACAGTTCGCTATCAGTCCTCATCAAACCAAGAAGATGTTGCCTTGTACTTTCTGGATTTAGTCTAGAGTTGAACAACAACTGCAAAAATAAGATAAGAATGTTTTAAATTTGGACTCGCAATTTGGAACAGCTCTATGGCGCTATATGTAATATAATTCACTATATGTATGCGTATATTATAAGTTATTCAATGATTCGAGTGAAATACAGAAAATATTCTTCCCGAGAAGGTTGTATTTCACGATGCGCTAGCAGAGTGAAATACAGACGTTCAAGGGAAGAATATTTTCTGTATTTCACAAGAAATCATTGAATAACGTTTTTATTCCATGATTACCCATATAAAATTCGCCTAAATCAAGTCCGTTGGCTTGGGGCCGGAGAAACAGATCAACCTTCTCACCTCAGAGGTATTTTACATCGATATTCCTTCAAAATCTTTATGTCCTTGTTGTTTGCTTTTTGTTTGCGTTTTTTCCTCTTAAAATTATTGATTCTGGTGATCACAGTATACGTTTCTGATATTTGAATCAGATATTTATAGCAAAATTCAAAGATAAGCATGCGTTGGTGCAAAGTAATCGCCATTGATTTTTTTCAGTAACAGTCATATCCTGGATGGAAATCTGGGGCGTTGGGATACTGGACCGTATCCCAACGCTGACGTCATTGACACAGGAAAGTGCGTGTAAATACAGAATATATTTAAGTCACGTGGACCAATCAGATTGCAGGGAATTTCACCATCATGGAATAAATAGAGGTTATTCAATGGGAGGGATGGAATATGGATTTTATTCCGAGGGAAAATATGATATTGGCCAAGGAAAATATCATATTGACCGAGGGCGATAGCCCGAGTGTCAATATGATATTTTCTGAGGCCAATATCATATTTTCTCAAGGAATAAATCCATATTCCATCACGACCATCAATAACCTATTTATTTCATAATATTTTTTTTTCAATTTTTCTGATACGGGATCTGATACGGGATTTTTGCTGATACGGGATCCAATACGGGATCTGATACGGGATTTTGGCTGATACGGGATCTGATACGGGATTTTTCAAATAACACTTTTATTCCCTGTTATTTTCCCAGGGAAAACATGTTATTATGGAATAATCTTTGTTACTATGCTGGAGACCCCGGGTGAATATGGATACCAGTTCCATATTCCAGATCAAGTGAATCATACGAGCATCCACAGTTTCCATCATTTTGTGAACGCACATATTTTATTCTACTTCACATAAAGTGCGGTTGTTCGGATAAAATCTGCAAAATATTACAATACCTTGTCACCATCGGCGAAAGTCCACATAAATGAAGCATCGGTAAGCAAAGTGAATTTATTTTCGACTTCTTCGTTACAGTCCTTGATGTCAACCTTGGGTGTGGGGGACCACAGAACTGTATAGGAAATGCTTCGCCCATAAGAGCGTACTTGATGTAGGTAATCTGTAAAAGAGAAATAAAAATATGATGAATTTTCATGGCCTCATTTCATTACAAAAAAACCAGCGTGAAAATTATGATGATGGAGAAAGTTTATTTATACTAAAATAATACATAATACAGCAAGTACTCTTTATTGCTTCTCAGCATATATATGAGATGAAGGAAAAAGGATGGAGAAGATGTTTTCGTAGATTAACCTGCTGGAATGAAGATGCAATCCCCAGCAAGAAGTGTGGTGTAGTGCCATGGAGTCGCAGCAAGTTTTGAGTCTTTGAATGCGTTTACCATATCCACGTCTACCGTTGAGTGACCAGAGCCTGAATGTGGACTCTGCAGTATAAAATAGAGTTAAAACTGATCATAATAATACCTTTATATAGATATACGAATATATATTTGATATACGAACATATATTTGAGACTTCCCCCGGGAGACTACCATTTTCGATTGACTTCGTAAATTACTACTTTCTCCTGGATATCATGGTAGTCTGAAACTGTCGTGAATCCGCAAGTAGTAACAAATCAGAAATTGTAAAAAGCGTGGAACTATTCGTGTTATTGCTAAGTTGTCGTTAGGTAGTTGGTTTATATACGAAGACATACATGTACGTTGCCAAAGTAGGTAGCCACCCCAAGTATGTCCCGTAGTCTTTCGAAGGAGAAGTCTGTGTTTGAAATATGATTACGAATTTGACTATGATTAAACTACAATCACTAATAAGGGAAAAGACGACCAATACCTTCTCAACAAAAGTAATATCAGATTTATATTTTGGATGGATGAGGATGAAATCTTTGCGCCCATCTAATATACAATGAATGTCATGGTCTGCGTGGTAATGAAGCGTAGAACTTGTTCCACCAGAAGACATCCAAACTTCACTCTCAACGAGGTTCTTTCTCATGGTGCTGCATCGCAGGCACTTGGGCAACTAAAGTGAAAGTGGGAGAAAACGTCCAAAATTTTCATTTTGCTACAACTTTTATTATAACTCGTACATTTCAAAAACATTTTCGCAAGAAATGAATAATCTAATATTGTAAAAAAGTCAGGGATATGGGAAAAGTTACCAAAAAGATATACTCCACTCAAGAATGCGAACGTGTTTGTCTCTGATATATATTTACGTCTTTCTTCAAAAAGAATATCTAAAAAGAGTGATATTTGATCAGAAGCTTTAAGGGTTAGGCTGAAAATCTTTAATTTTTCGTATCAAATTATTTATTAGTGACAACGATTACATCGTCAAGACACTATACCAAGTCGTCATAATGACGTCAGCGTAAAATTGTCAAAATTCTTGGAAAAATGTTTATTTTTTGACTGACGTCATTTCGATACCTTAGCAGAGATATTTGTTGAGTGTTTGTTGTATCACAACGCATTGCTATATATTCATCATGTAAAGATCATGTCTATCTCAATTCAGTTAAAGATCTAATAGCAAAGGTTTTGCAAAAATAAATCAATGTAGTATAAAACAAATGTATGTATTATGAAGAAATAAATATATAATGAAAAAAATAGATATGTGTTTGTAATATTGGTATAAACTTAAGATTAAAAAGTGTCACTATCTCTTTCATTTTTCAACAAATATAGGCTCACGTGACATGTGACGCGGGGCAGTCAATTTTGATCTATCGTAGACCATATCAGTATCAAATTACTGATATTTCAACCTCGTCTTGCGAGGCCATTTTGATTTGAAACATCTTGAATTTGGTGTCAAAATGAAGCTGGTCACGCCCACTTTCAGAGTTATCAATGAATCATTTACTACGACTACTATATTCATTTAGGAGGCGTGTAAAGTTAACCAATCAGAAAGACAATTGTTCCATATATGGCAGTTCATTAACATATTCAGTGTTTACTACTGCTTTTCACGTCATGACAACACGAGTAGTAACCAATCAAGATGCCGTATTTTATCACGTGAGTTCAGAGTGACACGCACGCGACATGTTGTCTGGGGTGATCGCGATGTTGAACAATTTCTTCTCGGAATTTGTCCAGAGAAATCAGCGATTCTAAATTAAGGTAGGATCTGCCATTTTTTCCTGTACAAGTTATAACTTATCTCTATCGAATCCTAAAGTTTTGGAAGAAGATATGAAGCGTAGGTTTAAAAACGAAGCGATTAATTTGACGATCTGATTTTGCAATTTGCAATGGCCAATTTACTGCAAGTCCAGTGCATGTATTTGACAAGAGATAGCGCCAAGTCTGGTATCTAAATGCTTGTTAAGCCACTCAAAAACAAGATCCATATCTTCTAAATTTGATAACTTTGCAGAAAACCTGTTTTCATAATCTGTTTTCCGCGTCTAGATTCAAACTGAGTATGATAATAGTATCGCTTCAGTCAATGGCAACGGGTCTTCATTCCAGAACTCACATTTTTAGTTGATTCTCCGTCATATCCTTAAATTGTCTTCATTCAAATTACACCCTCTCGCCGATTTATATAGTCATTTCCCAGAACCCGGGAATCAGAATCGCTGATGTTTGCCATATTGAACATATTATATGTACTGTAATATCTGTACATTGACTGCTACGTGTAATGGTCACGTGACTAGCGCGATACAGGAAAAATGGGGAATTTCGAAACAACAATTTTTGGGCACTTTTATTGCAAATTTCAGGTATTTATAAAGTGTTTGTGGTATAAAATATAATCCACAGACATAAATGAACATCCAAACTACATATTTTATTAAGTTTTGGAGCCTTTTTTTGCTCTTAAATCAACATCTTTAAAGCTAAGTTGATCATAGGTGATTGTATTTTATTTCATTGTATTCTAATCAGGTTGCGACAATGCCTTACCAAGAGTTCATGCATCATCTCATGTGGAGTTGTAGTAGCTAAGTACCAGTTCTCGTATTCGTACTCCCTCAAGAATTTCTTCAGTTTGAGTTTGATCGGCCCGGTCGATTTCAACATTGAGTTTTTTACTGTTACCATAACATCTAATTTACCATACCTTAAAAAGAGAATGTAAATGATTTTTTGATTTGACAATAAGGCCAAGTGTCGGGCTAAACTACATGTATGTCATGATCAAGGAAAATTCGAGAGATTATGAAAATGAATTTCATACTAGGCCCTAATGTGGTATTGTCACTTTTGTCACTTTTAAAAGCAGTTTAGGAGAATTTATTGTACAAACACACTTCTTATCTAAGGTTGAATCTTTCTCCCATTGTTTCATTGCAGGAACTTCATCAGCGACTCCACGAAATACAACAGGCTTCTTGTTCTTTACAAAACGAGAATAAAACTTCTGGGGTTTTAACATTTCTTTTTCTTCTGTGATCTTGCCCTCTGGTCTTCTTTGCCAGCCTGTAATAACAATGGATATGTAAAAACAAAATATCGCTTAATTATTTGGATCGATTTATTCATGCAAAGCCAAAGCCTATGTCACATTTGCCCCAATTCATCAGCCGGTGCCCGGCCGATTGAGCATTTTGTTCAAAATTGAAGGTCAAATCTTAAATTTGAGGTCACTTGTGAACTCCTGGGAACTTGTACATGATTTAAAAAAAGGTTTGGTCAATTTGAAGCAAGTTGAAATCAGTTTTGAACAAAATACTACAACGGTCGGGCGCCGGCCAATGAATCGGAGCAAATGGGACCTAGGCATAAAACGCAATTATCGAAAACCATGCTCCCTCTTTAATGAAAGCGTCTTACATCAAACATAGGCCGAGATAAAATAAATACATTGCACATGAAAGATCATCCTTTACATCAGATGACTTAGCTTCTTAAAAGCTAGCTTCATTAGTTTAAAACTAAACTCTGCGTTCAGGGTTAAGATTGAATTAGTGATTTCCGATAGAAATATGATCATCATCTAAATCCAAATGTATGCTGTTGATCATAATCTATAATTCCCAAATAATTACATCATACAGTCCATGGTGTAACATAAACAAATATAATATTTGGTTACATCCGAATAAATAGACACGTAGTTGTTCTAATATAATTTAGCTGCGAACTGTATATTTCCACCCCCTTGCAGTAGTCATTAAAAAGACGAGCGTTTTTGACAATGGCCGATTTTGGTACGACTCTTTGGAAACAGCCGTTCATTGAAAGAGGAACAGTGACTTGAGCTGACAAAATCGTAAGTTACGACAGGTCCCAATTCCAAAATAGACCCCCAGGTTCATGTTTCCAAGAAAATGAAGAAAATGAAAGTCGCGTGCAAGTAAATAAATTTTGCTCTTTGTCTTTGTTTACCCCGCCTTTCCTAAGCCCTCTGTAATTTGTCACACCATGGAGTTTCTAGAGTTTATTCACCTGGTATACTTTCACCAGATTTGCATGTACAGTAAGCCTACATGTATCTTCAGTTGGTTTTCTAGCGGGTAAAATATTTTTAGTCGCAGTGAAAGAAAGAATAACCTGAAAATTTGTAGATCAGTTAAACGTATTTGTAAAACATAAGAATAAAAGTTAATAGAATATACATGTATCATCCATGGTTCATTGAATCCTAGAAAGTTTGGGACGCAATCCACGTATCACTGTCGCGTTCATTCTTATTTATTTGCATGTAATCTTACCGAGGGGTCTAAGATGTCCGGCTGGAATATTCTCATTTCTGTGTCGTATTATAGTAGGTGGGAATTCCACGTTCATATTTAAGTCTTTTTTAAATCCTATTTTCCCCCAAATCACTTCCAAAGTCATAATCTGCACCAGAACCATCCAAAAATGAAGCTCCATTTTATAAATCCAGAAATTCACAGCACAATCAATTGTTTGACGTTGCTTGGTTTTTATCACTTAAAACGTTCTTGAATTTTAAGACAACGAGGCAAAGCCACGTATGATTGTAGTGTAACTGTTAAGATTATGATCGATTTTTAAGTCAACAATCTTCTGTTTCAATTGCTCTCATCGGCAACAGATGGTTGTTTATTTCATGTCACGTGGGTGACCTTTGACATAAAATGTAAACATTAAAAGAGTTTATTGATTTGTGTACAACTATTGTTTCATTTTTAATGATACTTTATCAAAACAATTTGGTTGGACAAAGATCAATGACAAAACAATGACAACTAACACTTATCGTAAGAGGGTTGTTAATAATTAACGTGGAAATACCGACATTTTTATGGAATGTGTTATCGGGGTCAAGGTCGCGCATAATTAGGGTTATATTGGGCCTGGCCATGACAACCATCGCCATGATGTTCCAGAATTAAAGAAAAAAGTTTGAAAACTCGTCAAAAATGTAGTTTATACGGCTCAAAAGGAGTTACACATGATGCAGGGATATAGTTAAGAATCTCAAGAACACAATGATGTAAGATATTAGACCTAAATATATATGGGGAGGAAAGAAGATATCGATATGGGACTTTTCAAGCAGCCGAATAGGAATTCGAGAAGGATTGAACGAAAGCATTTGCCAATTCCTACAGGGCCGTTCACCGTTGGATGTTTAGACTTGATGAGTGAGCCCAATAAGAATGGAACGTTCGTCAGATTGTTCTACCCGACGCAGTCGACTGATATATTTGTAAGTTTGACTTTGCCTTTGACATTTATATAGATCTATTCAGTTTAGAACGCCTTAGGTACAGCCATAGGCTAAGGGTTAAGTAATAGTAAGCTGTATATATAAGAGACAGGTGAACAACTCTGACTTAGACCACTTGTTAAGATGGAGATTTCAACAATATTTAGTGTATTATTTTCAAAAAGCCATGGGGAGTTGATATAAAATTGATAGTTTGTAGCTCTTACCTAAGATTGAAACTCAGTCAGATGATATAGAGTGAATAATGCTGTCTAAAAGAGAGAATTTCTGAAAACCTACAATTGCCTGGCAAGTTCATTAGTAAACAAGTGATCTGATTGGTCACTGCTGACCTCCCTGACCTCCACCAGTGACAATCAGTTTCAGCTTGCCAGGCAATTGTAGGTTTCCATAGTTGTTGTTTTATATGCAGTATAATATGCAGTTTTTAGATAAAGATTTGAAAAAAACAATGATATAAGTTTGAAAAACACTTTGAAGAAGATTTTGGAGAAATTTTGGAATAAAATTTGATACCAGTAAGGAGAACTAGTGCCAAGACTAAAAAAATTTGAATAATTTTCAATCTTACTTGTGGACCTGTCTCTTATATATACAGCTTACTATTACTTAACCCTTAGCCTATGGGTACAGCTGGAAAGTAGCCTAACATTTTGCACATGCTATCTATTGCAAGACTTACGCCTGCCACAACCGTCACCATGTTAATCAGTGTTTTTTAAGTAGCGCAAGGATCCTGCCATGACCGTGGTAGTGTTATCGTGTAAGCCTGGTATAACCGTGACAGGCTGGTATAACCGTGACAATGCTGTATTCTATTGCAAGGCCTGTCATGACCCTGGAAGTGTTATCGTGGAAGCCTGGCGCGACCGTAGCCTTTATTGTGGTTTATAAGCGAATGTGAATATTAATGTAGTAGTAATTTTGATTTTGACATGATTAAGGTAGTTAAACACCATGATCATAGTATTAAACTGTTTAATTGTAATGAGGATCACTTAGAATTGTTAAGGATATTCCTGGCATAATATCATACATATTTACTAGTCATTGCAATACATTATAACGGTCATAGTAGAACTAAGCCTAAATCTCTACATTACCACCCTCATACCTGGCCTTGCAATACTATATTACATTGTCACGGTCATACCAGGCTTTGCAATCCCATAATACATTGTCATGGTCATGCAATGCTTTGCAATACACATTGTCACGGTTATAGCAGTCCTAATCGTAAATTTCTACAGTACCACTCTCATACCTGAACTTGCAATACTATACTACATTGTCACGGTCATGCCAGGCTTTGCAGTACCATATTACATTGTTACGGTCATACCAAGCCTTGCAGAACTATATTACATTGTCACGGTCATGGCAGGCATTGCAATATAATACAGCATTGTCGCGGTTATACCAGGCTTTCACGATAACATTACCACGGTCATGGCAGGATCCTTGCGCTACTTAAAAAACACTATATAACATGGTGACGGTTACGCCAGGCGTTAGTCTTGCAACAGATAGGGTCTCACATTTTGGTAAAAAATTGCTATACCAGCATGCACATGTTATTTTCTGGTACAAAATAAAGTATGAAGACATGTGTCAATTGCCTTGCTTTTTTCAGAAAAGTATCATTATATTGTCTTCTTTAAGAATATCTAGTAGGAGTTCAATGGGAACTCATGGAAATTCTGATATTTCACACTTTCTATTTTTCCAAATTTTCTTTCAAAGTTTCCAGACAACACAGGAGCTACGACCATTGACCTGTTTCCAGGTTTACTAAAAGTAGACAGTGTAATGATACTTTCCTGAAAAAAGCAAAGAAATACACACATGACTTCATACTTAATTTTGTACCAGAAAATAACATGTGCAGGTAGGCCTATAGCAATTTTTTACCAAAATGTTACTTTCCAGCCGAACCTTAAGTGGTGAACATAATTACAGTCGGAGACATCATAATAAACCTCAACCATCAAAAGTTGTCACAATGAGCTAAATTCTAGATTTCATGTCTCAAACTCTCCCAAGCGGTAGAAAAATAATGGTAAGTAGCACAATAAGTGAATCCAAAACTTCATACCTGCAAATGATGGATAAATTCCTACCAAATCGAACGAATGTTTTCATGAATCAGCATGTTTGTGATCCAAAGAGGATTGACTCCCAGAATGCAACATCAGTTAACCTTATTTACTCGTGACAGGTTTCAAAATGGTGGAACGGCATTTTGAAAGCTGGCACGTGTCATGTTGCATTCTGGGAGCCAATCCTCCTTGCGGCGTAATCGGGCTCCCAAATCACCTCAACATTTGAAGAGTCGGCATTAACATTTGAATATCAGTTCAAATTTTCAAGTTCCTATTTATCATTATGGACACAAATTCCACTATATTTGTATGTCAGGGACGGAGAAAATAGAAAAAAATAATTATGGAAATCATAAAAGTTGAAAGGTCCCTTATGACAACATGTGATTTTGTGAAAACAAGTGAAAATCGCCTGTTTGCTGTTTCTAATGAAACGTCTGACATACCCGAAATGGTGTTTTATTTTAACATTTAGTGAAGTAGATGAAAAACAATTCAAAACACAGCAGACCCATGGCTAGGAGGGGGAAAGCCAGAAGTTCTTTCAAAACATGAAGTTTTACACCATTCTGAGCACTATTTGCATAAATTTTTAGCTCTTTAGTGTAAAAAGCTCCCCTTGGTAAAACCTTGCTACAGAAAAACGCAGGGGCATATTTTGAAAATTCAAAACAAATGTGGCTGATGTCCTATTGTATTTTGTCATTATTTTTTTTTACAAAGTTCATGAATTTATGTCTGTATAAAACACATGTTTTGAAATGAGTTTCATCAGAATGATTCCAGAGATTTTATATTGGTGATTTGAATTATCCTGTTTCTATAGGTATTACCCCAAATTGTGTTTCAGTTTTACATATTTTAACTTTATTTATCCAAAATTTTAATTTTCAAATAATGGGCTATTTATGTAGATCATAAATAGGTAAAGTATTAGTTGAGTTGAATAATATAATTCTTGCAATAATTAATTCTGTCAGAAATTAATTCAGAATTAATGAAAAGGAAAGACTTAAGTGACAAACCCAGGTTAAAGTGCACTGCTTAAAGAATGTTATCTTTTGACATTACTAGGTAGGTGGAAACATGTACACATAAATTAAGTGGGCAGTACTCAGTACAAAGTACATGATGATAAAATAGCATCATAAATATCTCATGATCCGTAATGTTAACCCAGAAGGTGAATTTGAACATCCATGTTAGATTAGTCAATCCACCTTCACATCATCATCGTCATGTACATTTTTCCTCAGGTAGAATTGTTTTAATTCAATTGGTATGACTCCCAATGCAGTATATAGTAGACAACTATCAGGAAATAATTATGAATTGTCCTTATGTCTTGTAATAGTATGTTTTGATATAGTGTTATGTGTTGTATTTTTTATTGACTAAATTAAATTATGTCAAATGATGTATCAGTCAATTTAACAAAAACAAAAAGTAAAACTACAGACTCTGATACAAAATGACACAATTAATACTAAAAGTTTCATACAACCGATTTGTATATTACTTAGTGTGATGTATCAGTGCTTTCAACATGTATACTTATATTCAATTTCTAAATTTTTGAAGAAACATTAAGTGTGTTTTTTGGTATTTGGTTACTCATGTAATATATTTGGTATAGGTACTGATACGCCCACTTACTGCTTATTCAGGATGTCATGTGTAAATTCATTGGTTTTTTCCAATTAGTAATACCCTGAGATGGACTTTTTATATTGCTTTTATTTGAGATATGAGAACTTTTAACAACTTATTGAAATCTCTTTGCTCTCATGATATTTTCAAATTTTGGACACAATCTTTCTATTTGACTATATCAGGGATGCTTTTATGAGACAGTTGGAGTAATGTACAACATTTGTTAGTGCACTCTAAGCTTTAGTTTATGATTGAGACCCACCCAGTGTTAACCATGTTCATATGGCTAGCTATTTTCCTTTTTCACTCTAACTGATCAGTTTACTGTACAGTAAAACCTGTATATTTGGTCACCATTTCAAAGTGAATTCCTCAAAATAAAAATACTTTTCTGATCTTTTTCATAATTTGATGACGCATTTATTGTTATATTGTTATCAGAAATGTGGCTACCTCTTCATATGCACATAGTATTGGCTAATTATGATTGACTTAATTCTTACATAAGTTTACTACATTTAAATTGTTTTGTTCAAATTAGAGATGACATTATATGGTTACGTAAACTGTTCCCTTGAAGGAATCGTAAATATACATGAACTGTTAAGTGAGCTCAAAAATGGCACATGACAGTACATCCTTAGATACTGGGATAAATACTGGGTTAAATTAAGTATGGGTGCTCATGTACTCAGGTATTTTGTAGGTTTTAGGAATTAAATTCAGCGTAGAGAGTTTTATGTTGCTCTGAGGTTAAATGTATGAGTAAAAATATACGGGTCGCTATACATTTTTGAACTCCCACATAAACATTGAATTTACTGTAAGTGTAAACACATCATTGGCATTTTATAAAAAAAGCTCAAAAGTGTATGCTAAGTGTCAATATCCTTCCCATTCACTGTGAAAATCAGCAACCCTCTTTCATTGTGATATTTGTTGACATTTAACTCTCTTGAAACTTTATAAAACCTTTTAGTCGTTGAAATAAAATTCAAGAATGACGTCAAGAATCTTGAAAGAACAATTTATATGTTAAGAATACTTTTTCTTTTATATCATATTTTATAATCCTTTTGTTAAATTTGATCAACAGAATTTGCCCCTGGTTACCCTTTGCATTGTTCAATTTCTCTTCTTAAAAGAGAGCTTTGTTAACTAGACTCGGCACTCTGTAGGCAGGGTAGCACCTCCTAACTGTTTCCAAGCAACTAGCTAATTTAACTAATATAAACCTGGTGGATCAACTGATGACCTTCAATTAAATAACAAATGATGGAGTGGTCAAAGTATCTGTTGCTCCATGTCATTGATGAATAGTGCATTTAGTATAATGCGAAAATAATGTTTGCAACAGAGTCTATATTGATGTTTAAAGTGACAGGTTGATTTGATTATAGTGTTGCTATATATTTCAGAAGCGAACAAATAGGCAGTTTAAGCTTTAACACTAATCTTCAAGCTTTTCAATGATTAAAAATGTTACTTATACCATTAGATGTAGAGATGAATTGTTTCAATGTGGTTTAATGAGAAAATGGCAATTGTCATTTATATCGGCTCAGGTCGCAGAAACGTCACACTTCCGGTCTACATCCGGGTCTCTGAGGGAAATATGGCGAGCCCCGTCCAACAGACAACTGGGTCACTGGGTCAATTTATTATTTTTATTTTCAATATTATACAAAAACTAACACATAACAAGATTTTCAACTTATTGCATTTTATTCAGTAGTATTGGAACTACATATAATGATGATTAGGATACCTGACATTATTTCCGCTTTAAGCTTTATGTCCTCCCCAAGGTTAAATCCCTTGGATCATAAAGTTATCTGTATGAGAATCTGAAAATCCCTGGACTTATTTTCTGAAAAGGAAGGTCTATAAACCACCTGTCATTCCTTGGTTCTTCATATAGAATTCTTGAAAGAATCAATACAGACTCCCTCTGCTTCCTGAAAATTTATCTACTTCAGAATCCCAGGTTCCCCAATGAATCAGTTATGATCTTCTATTGTTGGTATTTGTTTAGCTACTTTTATTGAGCTGTTATAACTGGCAGGTTGACTGTTTTTGACAATTATTGACAATTATCATACATGTACTTACAATCCATTGTATCATCCCTTACATGTATTATAAAATGTTTATAGGTCATCAATTAAATTTAACAAAATGTCATACTGTTTTTGTTTAAGAATGTCTAGTTTTGTCATTTCTTTCCAGGAAAGGCACCTTCAATGGCCCCTTTGGTTACCACGGAAACATTACTTTGAGGGTTATGCAGATTTCCTCAATTGGCCTGCCAAGGTGTTCGGGAAATTGTTACAATATTTCGGAGGTAAAAGCACTGTAATTGTAATTAAACTGCAGGGTATTTTGTGAATGTCAAAATCAGCCTTGAATTAATATAAATGTCATACGACTCATGATCAGCTTTAGATAAATAAGAGATCATATGCATAACCCTTATTATTGATATTTGCTTATTACCTCTATAGTTATACGATTTATTAAAAATGCTTAATACATATCTTATTAAATTCTTACTCTACGTATGAAAATCTGGTAAAGATGAAATATCAGAAATTCAGGAAGGAACTAACATATGAAACACTCCGTCATATTTAGCAACACTTGTGGCAGTTATGTTATCAGTTCTTCTACAGACTGAAACAAGACAAGGAAGAATGCCAGTTTCTCCATTTTGATCTAAGAATTTTTTCTCCTTTAATCAGAGTTAAGTTCTCAATTTGCAAGATTATAGAAACACTTATTGACTTAGCGGAGTCCATATCATGTTATTTCTAAGAATGATTAAATTGATTTCTGATTGATCCCTTATTCCAAAAATGTAATTGAACATTTGTATCTTTGAATTAGATCCTGGAAAATATCTTTAAAATGATAGATGAAAAAACATAATTTATTGTTCCAGAGTGTTTCCCAAATTGCCAAATATATCGTGAATGAACATTAATCTTTTAACCTTGAAGGACATTGTTGAACAAATGCACACAATTTTATTTGTATTTTAGGAGATGTGTACGCCCCAGTATTGTGGCAGGCCTCAATACTACGTGGGCACAAGTACCCAGTAATTGTATTCTCCCATGGTATGGGGGGCAATCGTACCACAAATACAACCTTATTGATGGATGTCGCCAGCTATGGCTTTGTTGTAGCTGCTATAGAACACAGGTGAGAAACATGTAACGTTGGTTTATTGAAAATAAAGTTTATTGAAAATACATATGTGCTGGACTGGAAGGTTTCATTCTAGGAAATGTCAGGACAACAACAGTGGCTTTTAAATCTTCAAAATTGTTATGAAAATATATTTGTAATTGATTTTTTGATAATGAGCCAAAATGGGTTTTGCAAATGTTCACAACGCATCTGATTGTCCTTAGGTTACTCATTATTGAATGATTGAAAATGGTAACAGTAACAATATTTTGTGCCATGATTGCAATCAGCTCATTGCATGTCTGGTAAAATATACAGTGAAACCTGCTTTTCTGGTAATTTAATTGTCCAGTGAAACCTGTAGACTGAAACATGAATTACTGTTCCCAATTTTTAGGATTTTTAGAAAATAGACATGATATTAGCCCAAAATATTTTAAAATTGAGACAATTTTTTGTTTATATTTGTTCGCTACATCTGAAGCTTGTAATAATTTTTGCCATAAACCCCCCTGGCCAAAAAATGCAGTTTTTCACCATTCTGAGCACTTTTTTAGTGATTTTGGCCACTTTTGGACCAAGTGAACCCCCCTGGAATTTTTCAAAAAGTGAACCACCTTGGCAAATCCTGGCTACGGACCTGAAATAAAATATTATATTTTTGGTATATTTTAATTTTGAAATGCATTACTGTATATTATATTTTTCTCTCCTGTTCTCAAGAAAATGGTATTCACGTTTAATAAACTCAAAATCATGAAATTATGAGAAAAGTCATTTCAGGCATTTAACATTAAAAACATTTGTTTTTCAGAGATGGTTCAGCATCTATGACATATCACTTAAAAGACAGCTTTAACAACAATGTGGGTGAAACACGAGGGGAACACTTCCACAGGCTTCCAAGCTTTACTCACGATGCAGAGTGGCTCAAATATGAAAAAATCTCACCATTATTTAACTTTGAATTTCGGAATAAACAGGTATGCTTGAAAATATCACTACTAACGAATAGGTGCTAAATTGGAGTGGTTAAAAAGTGATTTATCAAATTAAAGCTGTACTGATATTTACATTCCATTTACATTCTGCAAATTTTACTTTGCATGGTTATGGGACGAAAATGCTATCTCTAGTGTGCCGGATATCTATATGACTTCCACTCATCTCTTGATATGACACTTAATTATGAATCACATGGGACTATTTTTAGAGCAAATATAGCAAAGGTTTCAATTTAGCTACATTTATACTGTATCACTATGAGCATGGTGTGGGTGATTAAAAAACTATTTTTGTGAGGTAGGCTAATATCATCAGGTGATGTTTTGATAATTTGGTCTTGTAAAATCGATAGGTCAGGCACTATGACTAGGTCACGCAGTCTACTTGCATATTTTTTATTCTTGAACTGGCTAAATGATTAAATCTTGTTAAAAGACCTATGAACTGAAAGGCATGTGTGCAAATGAATGATCAATGTTTGTTAGTCTATCCCATTTTGGATAAATCCTGATGGCCATGCATGTTTAGCTGAGTTGGTAATGTTTGGAAAGTGACTGTTTACAAATTGACTTATGCCCCCTGGCTATAATCCTGTAAGGCCTTTGGAAGGTATGTTAATGTATCAAATGTTTGTCTGTGTTATCAACATGCAAATATGATAGTCATAAATGTCACTTTCACTGAAGCCTTTCTCTTTTTTTATATAAGGGTTAAAAAGTAAATGTAAAAATGAGTGGTTCTGAATCTGATAAAATCTGGATTGGCCTAAAGGCTAATCCGGAGGCCATTCATAAAAAATTATGACTCAAGAAATTTAATTTCATGTTATCATACAATTCATTTTATACATCAAGAAAGACAATGGGTTGACATGTTAATGTCTTGTTTTCACTTTGGACTCCACATCGTTCAAACTATGGTATTTACTTGCCAAACTGTAGGATGATTTGACTCTTTTATGTCATGATGTTTTAACTGTTCAATGATCAGATTCAAATAAACGCTGTTCAAGGTTTTCAATGATTCAACTACACTCCAATCAAATATTTAGCTTTCCTGTTGTTTACTAACTTTGCAACTGTTACCTTGGAAACCATCAATCGCTGTCTACATTCACCATTTGTTTATCACCATAGCAACTGCACCTTATCAGTGGGAGAACCTGCAAATCTTGTGTTCAATCACATGTAAGACAATCTGAAAGGAATGTTTTTGTGTTGAGCAATGAAAAATAATTGATTGAAAAATACTTTTGAATGGCAGGTCTTGAACTTGATTTGTTAACTGGATAGTATAAGATCTGTACAAATATGTGTCTGTTATTGAACATATGTCAGATTAATATTTCTAATCATGATCAACTAGTAATGATCATTTACCATAGCTGTCTAACTAGAGGTAGCGCATATCTCAGATAGCAGGGTTATGTAATTACATTTTGTTCAGATAAGGTAGATAAGGCCAGATAGGGTATCAGTTGCACCAAGAGTCTAATTATTAGAACTATTTCTAATTACAGTTATATCCTGCTTCTCCATTGAATCATAAATAATACTGAAACATCAGGGAAATTATTAGCTTGACAAGTATATCCAGTATGCATGTCTTAAAGAAATTGTGATTCCCAAAAGTTTGAGAAATGTTTCACCTAAGCTTGTATTAGTATTGTACATCATTCAATACCATTCCTAATGATTTGTAGGAGTTCAGAGGTTATTTACATAATTGGTAAAAGTTGTTCTGTGAATCTGGGTATTTAAGTATTGTATGGCATTTAGACAATATTCAATTGGATTTCGTACACTTTGACTTAGAATTTCTTTTTCCTACCCCCCCCCCCCCCCCCCTTCCTCCCTTACCCACATGAAATGATAAATTCCAATATGTGGTCTTGCTGTGTTCTAGGTCCACCACAGAGCTGACGAATGTGTTAATACATTGAATCTACTGACAGCTCTCAATGAAGGAGGAGACATCAACAACGTCCTATGCTTCCAGGAATTAACAGCGCTCAATTTTAAAGTAAGTTTTGCAGATCCATTGGGAAGTTTCCACACTTCCCGTTTGGGCGAACTCCCCCCCCCCTGGCTACGGGCCTGTAGATTATCATTTATAATGTACAAACAAGCGATGGGTTCGCAGTTCGCAGGGTTTGGGCGAACCCACCCTTGGCCAAAAATTCTTTCAAAATCATGCAGTTTTCACCATTTTGAGCATTTCTCAAGTGATTTTAGCAACATTTGGGCCAAAATTGTCAGATGTGAACCTCCCCTGGAAATTTTTGAAAACTGAACCCCCCTTGGCAAATCCTGGCTACGGGCCTGATCTATTATAATAGCATTTATCTTAAGGTATATCTTATACAGTAAAACTTGTAAAGAGGAACACCTCTGTAAGGGGAATACATGCATAAGTAGAACACTCAAATCCAATGACCAATTGACATAATGTTAATTGACCCCTTTAAGTGGAACACCTCCCAAGTGGAACACTTTTAAATGGTACCATAAATGTTCCACTTACACAGGTTTTACTGTACATACCTGTAATATTATTGAAAAGTAATAAGCCACCTGTAAGTCGATCAGATTACAGTTATATACCAGGATATAAGTTTCTGGTTCGTGTGCAGGGAACTTTATTGATTTACAGACTGTAATTGAGACTTACAGACAATGCAGTTTTCATATTATTTTGATGAGTCATAAAATGAATGTTTATTCATTGTTGAATATAGAAAGATTATGTATTTGATATGCACATGATCTATGTAAAAAAACTTAAACCATTTGGAACAATGTTAATATGAACATTGCTAGATGACATGTCATTTCTTTAAATTAGTATACCTTACATTCTTCTATTGGTATTATTATGGGGATGCATCATTATTGCATTAAGTTATTGAAATTTTACCTCACATCCTTGTATCAATGATAATATAAACTTGATTGCATGTTGTCATTGAAATACTACCTAATTCTTCTGTCAATGATGATATAAACATGCATCACAATAACCCAGATGCGAGTAGAAATAATCTTGATTTACGTCATTAAAACTTCAAAATTCAGTCAAAGTAATATCATATTTGAAATCTACATGTAAAATTACATCTAGAAATGTGGTTTTAAAAAGTGTTTATCAACTTTGAAAAATTAATTTTCTTTGAAAATGTGACTTCTAGCTCGGGGAGATTCCCCATAGACCCCATGCTATAAAATCACAAAAAATGAAGTATCTTTTCTTTTAGTGGACAGATAATATTTTGCTTTACTGGACATATTTTCATTAGTATAAGTATTAGACGCATAAGGGTTATATGAAAATTGAGCCACTTAAATTGATAATATTCAAGTTTAAGGGAACTTTCTTATATACCTGCCATGTTAATTGACCCGAATCAGCCACCTGGTGGTGAAACTGGTAACTACATGTACCTACTCGCATTTGGGTAATTGCGTGTCATCATTGATATATTATCTCACATTCTTTTATCAATGATAATTGTATAATCTTGATTGCATGTTATCATTGAAATACCACCTTATCCTTCTAGAATCGGTTCAACTTGAACCAAGTTGCAGTAGTTGGCCACTCATTTGGGGGTGGCACAGCAGTCACAGCTCTTACCAAAGATTCCAGATTCAAGTAAGCAAAACCTTTGTAATCCTGCAATTCTCATATCTACCTATATAATAAAAATATGATGACTTTTTACATGATTATGGAATTACTTTAGACAAAAGAAATTTGACAACCTTGGCCTGAAGTATGATAGAACCACAGAACACAATGAAGGATTTTCCACAGACTCTTTGTTAACCACTTGAATCCCAGGCTCTAAAATCAGCTGAAACCAGAGAATATTTCATTTTTGCCACTTTTTGACATTGTGCAACTTTAGATGCTCAACCTAGTAAAATTAGATGGCAGAGATCATTTCTACACATTTTAAAACAATTTTGTGTAAATTGGACGAAAATTGTTCAAATAGGACCAATTTTAGTGAAAAATTTTGTGACAAATTTGGTTGTTTCTCTGGGTTTCTAGTTCATTATCGTCACTCCAGGTAGTCATGAGGTTAAATACCAAATCACCTTCATATATTTCATTTTTCCAGAGTTGCCATTGCACTAGATGGCTGGTTTGACCCAGTAGAGTCAGAACTTTATTCCAAGATACAAGATCAGCCCATCTTGCTTCTAAACAATGAAACATTCCAATGGGCTGATAACATCAAAGATCAATTCCGTTTAATGCCAGGCAACCTAGATAATGACCAAGGTGACCTAGAAGAGAAGAGAAAAATGATCACCTTAATGTAAGTCTCTTTGTTTATAAAGATTTCACATATATGAAGTACATGTAGGTTTGTTGCCATCTTGACCTAGTTCTGATTTAAGGCAATGATACGTCCTTATTGTACCTCATTTGAAAGCCATACTATACACTGAAAACTGTGAATGCATCTTCAACCGAAATACCTTGAAAATTAGAAGCATGATTATTATATACATGTATCAGGTGGCAGGAGTTGAAATTCTCAGAGCAGTTGGTCAAAATGGCATTATGGACCAGTTGACATGTTGTTTTCCTATACCTACTGAAAACTCGGTCATTTTCATTATTTTCCTATATCTACTGAAAACTTGGTCATTTTCATTATTTTCCAATGAAAACAACTGGTCCATGTCAGAAGTAATTCCGCGCTGGCAATGACCAGTTGACCAGCCCTTAGCTCAAGCTCTGTTTGGTGGATAATCTAAGGTGACAGAGGAGAGTTACTAAAAATTGCAGTTGGCATTACACATATAAGATACCTTAATGCCTGTTTCAGATAATATCCATGCATAACTAAATAAAATTGTTCATCTTTGACTTAAACCCATGTTTGTTCATATTGTAATGCATGTTTTACAGGGGTGGGTGCCATCAAAGCCAGACTGATTTTCAGTTCATGATAAGCAAACAGGCTGGTCGATTCATGAGAATGAGACACACTCTGGACCCAAAATGCTGTATGCACATCAATACCAGAGCTGTAGTGGGATTCCTGAGAAAGGCCTTCAGTAAGCTCATATTCTTGTTTGCATTAAAAGAGCCTATAGCTGCAGCTCACATCTTAAATAATCCTTAAATATTTTAAATTCAGAATGATGTGTGAGACTTGGTCATAAACCTTCTTTCACAGCTATTACCCCTTTAATATTATTGTGTATTTGAATTAAAACCCGGTTTATGGGATTGATCACCTTGTTTTGTTATAATATGGGGAGAGGGATTATGGACATTAATTGTTTAATACCATCTGCTGTGTTTTGAAATTGTTTTGAAATTTTATTTTAAAATTGACATTATATATCAGTAGGATATTTTTAAAAAATGATATGAATTATGATATAAAAAATAATATGTAACTGTCTTTCATGGTTCGCCCATATACTGTACTGTACATCTGATTATCAGTTTGAAATGGAAGAATGGCGAACATTACTAAAAAACAGCTCAGATGATTCTTTCATTTCATTTCATTTTATTTTTTTGTTTATAGTACTGAATCTGCCATCTATTGAAGATAGCAAAGTTCAAGTCTCATAAGATATCTACAAATGTAATGTTTGTATATTTGCAGAAATTCCAAATGTTGAATATTTTGACGAAATTCTTGAAGGAAATCACGAACATTTGATAAGAGGAACTAATGTTGATCTCTCAAGCACATGGAAACCATATTGATTATTGTTTCCATGACAAAATATATGCAGTAGCTATGACAACCATGAACAATTATTATTGAATTGGCAAATCATAACAGAAACTCGATAAACAAGGTATAAAGAAGACAGGGACTTCAAACTAGCAGACTGATCGGGAATCAGAAGACATGAAATAATAATTATGTCCATGAAGAAATCATATGCATATACAGATACATGTATATATGTATATGATTTGCAAATACTGTTCTTATGCTAAATGTGGCACTTGTTTTTAATTTGGTGATTATGACCCAGAACTAATCAAGTGAGATAAAGTGGAAAGAATGAATGAAGTTCACTTCATTTCTATTATCTCTGCCAAAAATTGCCAAAATCATGCTACATTAGTAGAACAACAGTACTTGACATCAATCCAGGACTGAAAAACAGGAGATTGTTATATATTAACATATTACTGGAAGAGGTTTGAGCTTAACAGAAACCCACCTACATTAGGTTTGTGAGAAGTAGTGCTTTGATGCTTACCTTTTGCATTGTTTGCCCATTGTTCATGGGTTTGGGGTGACAAGTACTATCAAGACAGTATCTGGTATAACATTGATATCCAGTAAAACCTGTATACAGTGAACACCTATGGACCAAAAAAGTGTTCACTGTAGGTAGTTGTTCACTGCAGAGGGGATTTAATACAACAGGAGGCAATGTAAAATGTGTCTTGAAGTGGTGTTCAGTGTTCACTAAATAAAGGTGTTCACCAGAGAAAGGTGTTCACTAAGACAGGTTTTACTGTAGATTATAAGAGAACAGACCCAAAGGAAAACAAGCTAATTGATGGAATAGTTACGAATTGTGCGTCCACAACATAGAACAGTTCTAAAGCGGCTGTTTCAATGTTTTTGAATCACCGTGATATTATCATATCAAAAACTATGTTTACATACTTGTATGTATCAGATGTAGAACAGTTCTATATCATGACATTTTCATACAGTGCATTTATTTGTTTTGCTCGATTTTATGGCCAGTCGTCAAGCTTTGGAATTGTATCTCTTTATAGAATATTTATATCAGTACATGTCTTTGAACATGTCAGTATTTTATATTATACACATGTGCCTTCATGCAGTTTGAGATACGCTTTTATTATGCCATTTAATAGTGATTTTTCACAATGTGCTTTATTTATATAGTGTTGTCATGACAGTGAGTGTCAGAGAATCTCTTAGCAACCAATGCATAGCAACTGAAACAATCTTCAGGAATGGTAGTACTATGTTTAGCAAAGTCTTCCCCTGTGAGTACTTTATGGTGTCTATTGTCTTATTTGTACAGAATATAAGTGCTGGTATTGAAAATAGATAGTGTAGGTAGTTTTACTATTTCAATGATGTAACAAAATGGAGTAAATGGGATTTTCAACTTACATGTACATGTATATCAATATCAAAATCTTATGTTCGAATGAAACAGCCTTATTTATGACAATGTGGATCTAGCACATGGCTTATCAAATGTTTGATAAACCTTTAAAAACTAATAGAATTCTAGCCAGGGAGCAACCCTCTATCCTGTGATTAGTTTGCATATTGAAATTATTCACCAAATTGTCTAATCAATTGTACTTTTTGGACATTTTTTCAATTTTTTATATGTTGGAGATATTGGAATAGGAAAATTCCAAAATGTGATTATATGAAATATTCACATCAAAAGCATGAGTTGTTCTTCTTTTTCATACTAATCATAGGACATTGTCATAGTTATTTTGAAAGCACTCAGCATGACGATGTAGATTAACTGAAAAGCATGGTTGGTGCCCAACATTCTAACTGAATTGCAAAATATGAAGTAGTAAAATGGAGGCCAGTTCTATAAATGAGGTACAAACTCATATTTAGAGATATACGAGCTGGGGGCCATTAACAGAAACTTTATTTAGTTAAGAATACATAAAATCCATTGCACTCTAACTATGATGTCATTATATCCATGGTTACAACAATTGATTTACGAATTTGTAACTTAACGAAGTTTCTGTTAATGACCCCTTGCTCGTATACACTCAGCTTGATGTTGTATGAATTTGCAACTACTTCTCAACCATTTGTTATGATCAATGTTTATATTTACTTGTTGCATATGTGTATTTGCATCAATGGCAAAAAGTGTCTTTAACTTTACATATGCAGTAGCAAGGGGAGCCAAACTACAAGAGAATGGTCTGAGATTGTATTTTTTCATTATCGAATATTTTTAAATTGAGGGATAATGAAATCAAAACCACTAGTGATTCTGGTTTTGAAAGCCAAGAAGTCATATCCTTCCATCTGTTCATCATATGCATGTATGTGAAAATCAAGTGTCTTTTGTAATTAGAGTTTATAGATTTTGTACAGAACTACCAAAATGCTCACAAGTTATATGTACATGTACTAGCCTAGTATTTGTCATCATGATGTATTTTATGCTTGCTTATTTTACAGTACATACATTAAACAAGGAAGAATAGCTTCAGTGAGGAAAAGTTAGAACTATGAACATTAGATCAGGATTATTTTTACAGTTACAGTTGTGTTAAGGTTTTTAATGTCACCACCAAAATGATGTTTTTATACAAAATTGTTCTTTAGTTCATGTGTTTATCTCACTCATAGTCTCCATGTGTATGACACAATGGGCCTACGTTTATACCCAGTCTAGACAAGAATACTTTTTTTTGTTTACTTGTTGATATTCAGAGTGTTTGAATAAGCGGACCACACATCATACAACAATATCAGGATCCCACAAACAATTATCCATGGGTCTTTTATGGTTCCATCATAAAAAAAACTATGAAATATGGGATATTCACTTGCCTTGGTGGTATTGATAAACAAAATACAATAATACAATCTACAAATAACCTGACTGTGGCATATAGAGAATACCTACCCCTACTATACAAGATCTAATGTTTATAGTTCTTTTTGTCCTCAATAGTTCTTTTTTCCTCAGTACATGTACAGGTGGGCCAAAAAACCAATACCAAAGTTTAAAGATAAATGTTTCATATGATATATCTTAAACTAAGGCACCCCTGGTGTCAATTTTAGCCTCCAACTCCACAAGAAAACAACGGTTCCAATCGGATGGTGTCATATTGTTAGGAAATGATTTATCTTTAAAATTATATATAATACATGTCATGATTCAACATATCCTATGATATTCATTTTTAAACTTGAGTATTGATTTTTTGTCCCACCCTGTAAATATATAAACATTTATATTAACATGTACATCAACAACAATGCAACTTGTGATCTGTGATTGAAAAAAATGTAAATAACTGTTGTATATCTATTTATGTATGGTAGATTTAACTATTTTTGGAAAATAAAAGAAACCATGGTGATTTTATAAAATGTGGCACATTCAAGCAGAATAAATTACTCACTACAATGTGTGAAATTATAAAGGCAGAGTAAGAGGCTTCTCTTCTGGAGCTCTCTCCTAATAAGAACAAGAGCCTCATTAAAACTAAGCTTCACTGTGCCTCATAAGGTAGGCGAGTAGAACTTTTTACTTTTAGGCTCGCAAACGTATGTAAACAGGTTTCAAAATTGTCATACTCAGCCTACATTGATCAAAGAATTTGTAAACATATTATTTCATTGCACATGAGAAAAGCTTGTAACTATAGTGGAAATCAGTCATCTTCCATCTGTGATTTTGTAACTATATTTTCACTACTGTTTTCAATAAAAAGGAAATATAAAATCAAATTTGCCTTTTGTTCATTTTGTGATTCATGACCCACTCAAGTATGTGGGCTAGAAGTACAAGTTCAAATAGTGAGACATTACAAATGTAATGTTTAGATAACCTTTTCATAAATTCATCCTTTGAAATTGTATTTATTTTTCATTATAGAATGAAGTTTGATTAAGGTCAATTCAGTATTTTTATATCTTGAATCGAAATTTTTACCTTTCACTTTTCAATTACCCTAAAGGCCAAAAGAATTCCAAACCTCTATGGCACTTGGTTTATCTGATTCTATTTAATATTAGGCCCATGTATGTTAGTCATCTGTTAAACTGGAATTCTCATAATCAAAACCACTCTTCATTCCGGTAGCCCTCGAGTTTCAAACTTATTTTGGGGGATGTAGAGTTTGCATAAAGATAAATTAAACTTGGCCTCTATGGTATCTATGAACATGGCAAATAACAGGGGCTTTCCAAACTGTAATCATATTGACTTAACTATATAAATACCGTGAGTGCATTTCTACATTTTACCATTGTGATTCCTTTTAAGCAAGGTCAATGAATGGAGCATTCAACTTTTACAAATTCAATCTGACTAATTTCAATATCATTTTCAATTTACAATTAAGTAAGGCTATTTGCAAAGTAAGCAGAAGAAATACTATAGGTCTTATACTGAGGCTGGTGAACGATTTGATAACAATTTTAATAGCAACTGCCCTCTATCTTTCAAGACAAAATATACCGAAGGGCAACATTGGAGACTTATTTAAAAACAACTTAAGTATTCATTTGTCAGGTTTTATTTCATATAAAACAATAATGTAAATTTAAATATAATATCTGCACACATTTGATATTTTTACATGTTTCTAAGGCAACAAGAAGTCACAACAATTACCTTATTTTAGGAAAGCTTACCATCCGATAGATAAATAATTACCTAAAATAATTAAACTGATACAAAAGTCTTATGATGCTTCCAATAAACCATATATTAGGCTAGTGACTAATACTTTAAGTTAAGTTATGAATGCTGTGCCTTATATACTTTCAATGTACAATGTACAAAGCTCCCAAAGTACGGGCACAAAAATGCACATAACTAATATTTCATTTTACAAAGCAAAACATGTACAATCATATAAATTTTCTTCTCAGACAATTAGAAGACTAAACAAGGCATTAACATGACAAAATGTCACCACCTAGTTGCTCACGATATTATGAGTTCAATCTTAAGTAAGATTTGAATTTCTGAGAACTTGTAGATGATTTTGAAAAAATAAATTCGTCAATTTGAAGCGAGTTGAAAAAAGACCTTTTTTACCCTGAAAAGTTCATTAAAGGTGCAATCTCAAATCTAAAGTCAGATTTGAACTTCTGAGAACTTGTAGATGATTTTGAAAAAATTGGTCAATTTGAAGCAAGTTGAAAAAATACTTTTCGACCTTTTTTTACCTTGAAAAGGTCATTGAAAGTCAAATCTTATATATATAGTCAGATTTGAACTTCTGAAAACATGTAGATAATTTTGAAAAAAATTGTTGTCAGTCTGAACAGTATTTGTTAAGTTATTGGAAGTTGTAAGAATTTGTTACAGACGCCGCAGCTGATCGCCAACCACCAACCCCCATAAAAAGGAGACCATAACAATATGTCACCACTTTTTGGTGGTGACATAACAAAAGCATATACTCCAACTCATTTACCTTTGAAGCCACATTTTAATACACTTTACAAAAACACATTAATGTAACCTACTGTACCTCACATTCAAAGGAGAGGTGATGTAATATATGCATCAAAATATTCAATTTAAATCATGTTGAAAATGCCAACTAACACACCATCAGTCACTTATCTGCTGATGCAAGCATTCAATAGAAGTTCAATTAATTGTAGTTATGTATTGGAGTTTGTAGTTTTAAGCTGTAAAACATAAGTTTACTTACAGACATACCCCATTATTCTATCTTATATTGACTATTTACAATTGATTTTGTACACATTTATATCTGATAAAATGATGTGGTATATTTAACAAATTATATTCACAAATTCCATACTTCCCCAAAGTACATTAGTGAAATTCATGAATGTATCATATATATATAAAAAAAATTGTTTTTAAAAAACAAGGGAAGAGTTTTAGTTTGTAAAACTTATTTAACAAAGAATTGTCACCCTTTTCATTAAATTATACTAATATCTTTTCTTGTATTGGCCAGGTAACATTCTCTTTTACTAGACATATTTTAATTTACATAACTATTTGATACATAAGGGTGATACGAAAATTGAACGACTAAAACGGATAAATATTGAACTTAAAGGGAACTTTCTACTATACCCGCCATGCTATCTGACCCAAACGAGCCACCTACTGGTGAAACTGGTAACTACCTACTTGCATCTGAGTTACTGAATTTCAATCATTTTTAATTCAACAAAACCAGGTTTATTTTTACACATTAGTATTTGTCCAAGCTCCGCATCCTTTCTTATTTTAAAGTTACTGTGAGCTACCTACTAAAACATATATAAATCTTGGCATATAAATAAACCTATTTTTAAACAATTTTTATACAATTACAATTTTTAGCAAGACAAAACTTCAGAAAGATTTTTGCAAATCGCTATAGCAAAAATGTGACAGTTAATGTAACAGGCTTATGGTATTCTATAATTCCTTATTTACCCAGTTTATTTTTTTTATAAATTACACATTGGCTTCATTGATATACATGTCATATCATACAGCAGACTTGTAATTAATAACACATTGTCCTATTTTGAATTTTGCCCCAATCCTTCTAAGAATACAGAAAAAACACAAGGGCTTAGTGCAAGACCAATTATTTCATATTTCCAATTATGTGCTCATTGACTTTTTTCATATAATGTGTGAAAACTTTGCTTCTGGTATACAGACATCTTCGCAAACTCGGTCTTCACTGTGTTTATCAATCGACTGGAGCCGAGTGAACGAAGATGGTAAACAGATGAGGAAACCTTAAATAACTTGGTTATTAAATAAATCCACATGACATAAGTTAACCCAGGTACAGACAACCTTTATGAAACATCAGACACATTAAACATCAGACACATGTGTATGCTGATTTAAAGTTGTACTTTGCATGACAAGTTCATAAACTAATCAAATTGACTGAAAAAATGTTAAAAATCACACACGTTTTTTTAACAACGCTCATACAAATTTTTGTCTCAAACAATGTTGATGACACAAATAAATAATCTACTATCCCAAATAAACTACAAATAAAATTAAATCCATTGATTTACAATTACGAGCCATTCATATATTACCATTATAGAATGGATGCACCACCCTAATGCAATTGATAGTTTGACCTAATTTGATAGATACAACACCCTGATTTGATAGATACCCACCTAATATGATGGTAATGGACACTCTAATGTGTTGAATACCCAACCTAATGTGATGAATACTCAACCTAATGTGATAAATACCCCAACATAGTGTCAAGGATACACTAATGTGATGGATACTCACTCTAATGTGTTGGATACCAAACCTAATGAGATGAATATTCGAAAATAGTGTCAAGAGTACACCAATGTGATGGATACCCATTACCCATCATAAAAAGAAACAGTCGGTACCTTATGCAAATATGTTTAAGACAACACTTAAATCTGATAGATACCCCACCCCAATATGATAGATACCCCACCCAAATTTTATGGATACCTTATCCTAATGAGATGCACCTTTATCCTTTCTCCTACTGCTCCTCCAACTTCCTTTCTTCTTTTCCTTATGTTTATGTTTGGATGGTTTACGACTAGAGTCAGCAGGTATCTCCTGATACAAATGTTCAGATTTCTGCCAGAACGTGTCTGGGACATGGTGAGAGTCTATATGTACCATCTCATTCTGGGACAATCTATTACTGCTTCCAGTGCTTGACTGGGACATATCACTAAGAGGTCGAACACAGTCATATCCTGGATCACCTGTCTCAGAATCTACGTGATCTCCAGTTCCACGCATCCTTACTCGCTCTACATCTGACACAGTCTGATAGCCCGGGACATCAATACCTTCTAGTCCCGGGTGTCGTTTAGCTACAGAGGTCATATCAACCCCTCCATTATTATGTTCTGTTTTTGACATAGAATCTGGTGGTGATGCTCTAGCTTGAGGAATATGGTTATCATACCCAGGAGCCAAGCGACTTTTCCTCGGTTTGTTTACAACAGAATATAAAGGCATGTTACTGCTGGCACCTTGGCTCAACCTGGCGTGGTCATCGATATGTATTGTCTTTCTTGATTTCTTAGATTTGTCTATTTCTGAGTACAGAGGGGACCCTGATGGATCAAGCTGCGGACTTGGGAAGCTGCTGGATGCCACACTACTCTTTGGACGACTGATCACATCATATCTAGGGTCAATATCTGTGTCATCTGAAAAATAAATTGTATGCATGTAAAATATTGTTTTTTTGTGTCAAGAGAACATTAAATAGTGTGTTTATGATTTGGTCATATATTGCTTTGTGCAGTGAACATGTGTTTATGATTTGGTCATGTATTGCTTTGTGCAGTGAACATCATCATGAGTCAGTATCTGATGAAGATGAGGGCCATTTTCTTCTCTTTCAAAATAGCGAATGGTAAGTGTTGATTTTATTATACCATTGCATTAAACCACTTTACTGTGGACATTTGGCTCAAGATACTGACCAGTGATCACTATTTTATTAATTTTTATTATGTTCCGGGCTATTAACTTCTTTATTGCACTCATTGCAGTTTTTTGTTTGTTTTTTGTTTTGTTTACTAGTAATAATTAAATAAATTAGTAGGCGAACATCAATAATTTCACCTTGTCCTTATCTATGATAACATACAGGGTAACCAAAACAAGGCATTAACATGCAAAATGTTACCACCTTCCATTTGTTACAGATGCCAAACACCAACTACTGGACACCATCCACAAAAAAGTTGGAGGCTACGACTATAACAATATGTCACCACTTATTGTGGTGACATAAAAATGGAATCACCTAAAATTGTAATTACTTGTAATATAATCTATGTTATCAGCATTATACTTTCGAGGGTATAGAAATCTAAGGATACGTCCAATTTTTAGGTAATTAAAATGCACAATGCAGATCTGTAAAGTATACAAATAATTTGATTCTCCATGACAAGATAATGAGCATAATGTCATTAAGTTACTTTAATTTACTAGATCAATTACACATTTATAAAAGAATTCGTTACAATTTTGAGCTGTTCTGTTTTATTAGGGTTCCTCTGTACAATATTGCAAATAATTTATTGCTTTCTAATTAATGTCTATTCATAAAAGCAATCTACTCATAAACTATATGCATACATACCGAAAATTCAAAATGAAAAGTTTAAAACATATTGTAATCTTAGGAATTTTAACATTCAATGCAGTAGTAATTTTCACAGATGCATCAAAGAAGATGTCAGGATCATGTACAAAAAGAAAAGGACCAAAAAATAGAACACCAACGAACTTCACTGTGTATGAAAGAACATTTACAATAGTTGCTGATGGGGTGAGGCTTTCATTCACGAAAGCTCCATGGCCAAAAACATGGCAGGACTTTTGGCATGATATTGGGTCATCGGCAGTCAAGTTTGGTAAGAACTGTGGTGAAGAATTTTGTATCTTTAAGCAATTAACCTTTGGGTTAAATGAGTAAACAAGTTGTGTCTTTCAAAACCAATTTCAAGTTTTATAGACTGAATGTTGGGTTTTGGTCATCAAAATAGAAAAGGATCTAGTAGAAAGACTTTTGAAACACAAAAAATCATTTGGGACATTTATAATTTCCCAGTTTTACCCAAAAACATGAAAATGTTTCGAACCCCTTTCCCAAATTGACATTGCAATAGATATATTATTAAGGTCTTTCACATTTGAAACTGCTCCTCCATGGCGGACAAAAAATTAAACATTTATTTTATGAAAAAAATGTATAAGACCCAATACCTATAGATCGAATTAATATCTTCAAAGTTATACTTAAACCAGATGTAAATATTATCATGTCACAATACTGTATTGTGCTATTCAAAAGTTAAAAAGAAACGGCACATTGTTGAGTATGATAACATCTGGTGCCGTTTTCAATAGCTTTTACACCTAGCATTATTGGACTTCGACCAGAAGCAAATGATATACCAATATGCATAAAGTAGTTAATTTTCTTTGTTACAATGTAACATACAATTTTTTGTGTTTTTATGAAAAATTGCTCCTCGACAGTAGACAACTCTTGCACTCCGTGACACTTCTCTTTGTAAAGGAAAAGAAAATTTCCAGAAGCCGCCTGTCTGGGTAGTACTATATACTAGTATATTCAGCTAATGATTCAGTGTAGATGCTAGTGAAGATGCTCAAAATTTTCAATATTGATGGTACATCTAAATATTGTTATTGTGAGGATGTGGCGTGCATCAATAAAATCAAAAATCAAACATTTCATAATCATTAAGAGATGATTAATATTCAATTAATATTATTTCATTGACATCTCACGAACAGTCCTGTTTTCCCAGTCCAGATTAATGTCAAGCTGGACAAAAACAGGGATGATTAATTGGTAAGTATATATGACATATGTAAGTATTTCTAAGATAATCAGCTATCTGCTGTTTGAACCCTATCAATACATATTTTATAGTAAACCAGTGAAATGAAGTAATATGTAGATAAGCATTGTTTTTCAAAGGGAGAGAATTCATCATGTGGGCAGAGGAGAAATATGGCATTGATGCTAATGCAGTAACAGATGACCAGTTGACCAATGGAGATGAGGTGGACTTGGGTGATTTCATCTTTAGCCCATACAAACCTGATATATCATTTAGAGTTATAACAGAAACAACTCCTTCCAGGGTTAAATATTACAGGAATACAGAAGTCGATGATGGGGCTTTTCTCATAATTCCAAAGGTACCATACACATATAAGGCCACAGGTATGGAGCTTCTAGTATTTTTTTTACACTTTGTAAGCTACATTGTTCATGGGTTTGGTCAAGTTTGTTTAGTTTGTATTGCAATACAAACACAAGCTTCTTACACGATGTTAACCTTTGTGGCTGTGCTAATGTCTACTGAAGAAATAACATGGGGATATTTCCCACTTTCCAGTTTTCTGATGAAATATATGCCAAAATCTTTTATGTCCACTTGTAGAGTCTTTGCAAAAGCTCCAATGGATTAGTTTCCCTTAGGAAATATGATACCTTACCTTGGATCCATATCTAAAACCCCCCATAACATATACCCCTCATATAATATATCTATTATCAGGTGGTTTAAACGTGACCATCCCTGAAGGAGCTATTGTCTTCATGGGAGCATATCTAATGGAAACTGATCAAGAATGTGGGTTTAGCAGTGAGCCAGATGTGATAACCTTCACAACCAAGACTTATCTAAAATATGATGAAAATGGATTTGGACCACTGGACTGTGACATGTATCATAGAAAGTATGGAGTCGGAGAACAGCTTGGTTTAGGAGTAGAAAAACCTCCAAATCACTTTAAAGAAGCTTCTGTTATCTTCTTTCCTCCTCCAAAAACTGGATCTTAGAACATTTTCTGAAGCTCACCAGCCTTGTCCAATTATAGTTTTGCAGGACATGTGTAGATATGGAATATTGAAATTATGAGGATTTAAATTTTAAATAAATATTAAAGGTAAATGCATAAAATCATAAAAAGTTTCCACCCTTTAACTGACCTCTATTTTCCGCAACTATATTGAATATTGATTATCATAATATTTGTTGTATCTACATTTTTGTCAAACATTCAATGTAAAAATGTAGGGTTCTCAACAGTGTTCTTTATTGGCACTAAAATTCTCATATGAATCAACATTTTTTTGGTGAATCATAACAGAAGGAAAGCTCCAGTCTTTTGATAAAGTATTCTTCTACATAAACAGATTTTCTTGATTTATTAGATTTTTTTTGTAAATTTCATTTGTTGGGATAATGATACACCAGTGATTTCCCCAGCATTAAAGATAGTGGGAGCAGCACCCACCTCAGATTTTGTAAATAGGCTTGCGCCCACCTGAAAATCCATTTGCAAAATGAAAATTTGAAAATGAGAGAAATCATGAAAAATGGGCATATTTTGACCAATTTGGTTTGAATTGTGAAAATGAGAATTTTGCAACCACTTGAGAAAAAATCTTGTGGAGATCACTGTACACATTTCTGTAAGGCAAGAAATGTTGTTTTCTTTAAAATAATTGATGCACATGATACACATTTCTTTGAGGTCAAACCTTGCAAAAATCATTCTTTTTAGTGATACAATACAAAACCATTTGATGAATTGTGGATGACTCAATGCACTCATGTCTTGTATCATAGACTTTGAATTTGGGCTGCACTCCTCATGCAGTCTCGACACAAGATATATATGGTTTAAATCATGTAATACATACTTCCATGGGGCTAAAGAAGTGTAAAAAGATCATAAGGCTAAAGAACAAACTACAACTACCTTTACTTCTACTAGCAGGTTTCTCATTGGCCGATGAGCTAACAGCAGAGTCCTGGATACCTGCATACAACGAGCTACGGTTGGAGTTCTCACCTAGCAACAACAACATTTTCACATGGTAACCATGACAATAACAACACAAAAAGTAAACATAACAATAAACACAAAAACAGCAAGCCCTATTTCAGAAGCTTCTAAAATTGTTCTATAATAGGGAAATATCCAAAATATGCCTATTAAACCATGTTTATTCAACTTGAAAAATCACAAAAACAGTTTTCTTCTATTCACAACCTTTATCATTCGAAATCAAAGAACATTTCGGATCAGACCCTTTATTTACTGTTTTAAAACACTGAACTGAAATCAGGATCAAGTTAGGATTCGAAACATTCTTTCAAATAAAAAAGATTGTGAGTAGAAAAAAACTGTTTTTGTGATTTCATAACCAACCTAAGAATACTCAAACACGTATTGAGCATTTGTTGGCCAGTGTGCTGCACCAGCTATACACTACACACCATTCCACACACCATTCCTAGTGGAACAAATATGCCAAGTGTCCTTTGGTGTATTCTTCAGTTTAATTCAATTCAAACCCCATGCAATTCCCATCCTCGCAATAATTTTTAACTACTGTCATTTTCAAATCATGCATTTATGCAGTTCACAGTAATCCTGATTACTGTATGAACATGGTGATCAAAAATTCCTTAAATTTCATGATCACTCTGTATTTCTGATAATAGGCATATTGGGTCAAAAAGAAAATAGATTTGAATACAGGGTAGCACATAAAAGGTAAATAATTGCAGCGAACATATATATATAAACATCACTACTGAGCTGAAACTTCATAAAAACAATAAAAGCAACAATTGAAAGATGCATGAACATGAGATATGATATGGAACATTCAGAAAACCAAACTTGGGAAGCTGACTTATGTTTGTACATGTAGTTAACATATATAAACTTATCATACCTGAGTTAGGGGATATTTCAGCATACACCTCGCTGGCACTGTACTGGCTAGTTCTGTTTAAATCTGATAGAGGGGGTGTGACAAATGGGATACTGTCTTCACTCTGAAATGGAAAAAATGTAACAGGGTGTTCTAACATCCATAACTTTGAATGGAGGACATAAAGGGTGATCTCAGTTGTTCAAAACATCAGTATTTGGAAAATTATAGAGGTTGACTATGTGTCCCTAGCTCCAATTGACACCATACACAAAACTACTTGTAATTATGCACAAGTTAAAATCAACGTACATGTATTCCTCTTCAGACTCCAAAATTTCAAACATAAATGTCTAATCTTACAAACTTTCCCTCATTTTATGACATGGGGAAGTACTCTCCAATCATACTTTAAAGACTTACAATAAAGCGCAAAATTTTTCTCACGTAGTATTTGATTTCTGGAAATCTATGTGATTAAAATCTGTGTGATAAAAATGAATCAGCCCAGGAATCAACATGTACAGTATATTGAAAGTTAGATTGTATGTATTATTTTGAGAGATAAAGAGACTAGACAGAGTACATAAACAATGTGTATATAGGTAATACAATGGGTTTCACTTCCTTAAACTTAATGCCCAACTTAATCCTCCAACTTCCTCATAATACTAGTACTATACCAGTTGACTCAATACTTACTTTTTACTTTCATTTTCAAACAACTTCTGATATAATTCAATAAAACAAATCTTCCTTACAAACCTGACTACTGACAGGCATCAATCAACTCAGTATTCACTGGGGAGTATCGTGATGCAACAACACTGTGTTGTTGCATCAAGATGGCCAGACTTCCGGTGATAGATTTTCGTAAGATATTTTGTTTTCCCAATTTTAACCCATTTCTAAGACGAGTTTCTCAATAACCATACACGTAGAGTTAGTGCACGATCTATGTTTTAAATAACTGCCATTGGTATACATGTAGCATCATCAAGAAACAATTAATTCACGGTTTTTGTTCCTCACTATTGATGCAACAACACCAAACCGAAGATGCAAAAACACTCCTCTAGATTTGAGCAATGATGCAACAACACCAATGTATGGCATATTGTTAAACAATAATGTAATAGAATTTAGGTCCCCAAAAAGGTAAATTGGGAGTGGTACACTAATCCAAGGGGTCGTAATATTATATTGGACATTCATGTTATGTTATTCATCTAAAAATGTGTCGCTTCATTTTATACTCTTTTATACCTAGGATTGCCTTTTCTGAAGCTAATGCATCTATCAAATATACACATTTATAAACATATGATCAAATATACACTCCCCTCCACAAGTTTGGCAACCATACTTGTTGAAGCCTTTTTATATTTGAATTTTTATTTACATAACCTACGAGGAAATACTTATGATATTGATGGAAATGTACATGTAGATTGTCAGGATACAAAAATCTGTGTCCTCAAATAAAGGAGTATGCTTGAAATATCATCAATTTGCCAATTGTATTTCCCATACCATAGAAAATAACAAGGCATTAACATGACAAAATGTCACCACCTAGTTGCTCCTGGTTTCTCAATACAATGCAAATACAATGAGTTCAATCTTAAGTCGGATTTGAATTTCTGAGAACTTGATTTTGAAAAAAAATTGGTCAACATCTGGAGTTTTTTGATCCTGAGAAGTCATTCTCAAATCTGAAGTCAGATTTGAACAATATAGCACAATATATTATAGCACCCAAGGGTGCGATATAAATGAACAGACCTTTACTTTGTCAGCATCTACAGAGGCATAATCTTCATCCACATTACTAAGAGTACGTGAGTTGGCCTCCCTGAGCTGTTCCTGTTGACGCTCACGGATACTCTGCAACGACTCACGTACTGTTACTTGATTGTATGGTGGCTCCCTCTCCTGGTCCGTCACTGAACTTGTTCCCTGAGGAGCAGAGGAACTGAGGGGTAGATTAGCTGCTGGAATGTGGGGGTTGAGATTTCTAGATGGTAAGTTTGGGCTCGTGGATCTGGGGGGTTGTTGTAGGGGGCTAGAGTCAAGATATCCTCTGTTGGGTACAGGGGGTGGAGTAATAGCAGCATAGTCATCTTCTGTTGTGGCATAGTCGGGGTCCTCTTCACCAGTGTCATTCTTGGAAGTATCTGTTTTAATCTTGGAGTATGGAGGTTCACCCTTCACTTTCGAATATGGAGGCTCTCCTTTCACTTTGGCATAGGGGGGCTCTCCTTTGACTCTAGTGTATTTTGGGTCTACTCCTCCAACAGCCCCACTTGCAGAGTCACCAGCTGTCTCACTAGTGTCATCTTTCACTGTATTATATGGATCAATAATGCTATCATCCTTATCATCATCAACACCTGCAGGAATAGCACTGGACCTCTCAGCTGCCTGTTTGCCAATATTTTGAGGATAGTCTTTTGGTATACTGTAATAGTTCTCTTCTCTACCCTCAAAAACGGCATCATCTGAGCCACTGAGGGGTGTATGGACTCCAGGGATCTCGGGAAGTCTGCGAGCAATAGTGGCTGACTTGGTTGACTCAGCCCTGGAAAATACATAGAAGATGATATCAAATCATAACACATTGATACCAGCAAGTGAAAATTGGTAAGTTATGGAGAATTAGGATATTTTGATCAGAATTGGTAAAGTAATGTAGAATACAGTGCTGAAAACACCATCAATCATCACTACATAGACATACTACTGGTTTACTGTACAAAAAGTACATGTATAGTAATTCTAATTTCAGGCAAACTGAATACAAAAGACAAAACATTAGGCATTAACATTTAACTTATATTTGATTATATACCTGTGTTTATCATTGCTGTTTGATGAAACATTTTCTCTGATATGTTCATGTGTTGCAGATCCATTACTCTGTCTTTTAGCCCCCTCTACTTCAATTTGGAGATTTGCTGAGTCCACAATATCCTATAAAACAAATACATGATTGTAAAATTCAAGTTTTCTAGGTGTTTGCCTCGTGTCTATGTGTCTGCATGCTTGCCTTTGGGTAGATTGTGCCTCATTGCTTCCCTGTAAGTATACATATTTATGTCTGAATGCTTGAAACTGAGTATATTTGTCAGTGTGCTTGATTTTGGGTACATTGTGTCTCTTTGCTTCCCTGTAAGTATACAAGTTTGTGTCTGCATACTTGACACTGAGTATATTTGTCAGTGTGCTTGATTTTGGGTATATGTGTCTGTGTGCTTGCCTTAGGGTACATTGTGTCTCTTTGCTTCCCTGTAAGTATACAAGTTTGTGTCTGCATACTTGACACTGAGTATATTTGTCAGTGTGCTTGATTTTGGGTATATGTGTCTGTGTGCTTGCCTTAGGGTACATTGTGTCTCTTTGCTTCCCTGTAAGTATACAAGTTTGTGTCTGCATACTTGACACTGAGTATATTTGTATGTATGCTTGTCTTTTGGGTATTTGAGACTGTTTTCTTGACACAGAGTTTATAATATATGCTTGCTTGTATATGTTTGTGTTCATGTCTTTGATTTTATGCCTCTGGTTGATTTATAATTGTCATGAAAAACTATTTGAACTCACATTATTTGTATTCATATTATTTGAACTCACATTATCTCTTGATGACCTCCTATCAACTCTTGGGGTCACAGTCTTCAACTCTAGATTTTTATCTCTGAAAAAATAATACATCATTTCATTTAATTGACATTCATCATTTCAATTTACATCATTTTATTTAACTGATATTCATCATTTGATTAAACTGACATTCATAATTTAATTCTTTGGCATTCATGACCTTTATTTAATTTAACATTTATGAACTGATTCCTTTTTTACAATGAGAAACTGTGAAAGTGTGACATTACTGTTAGCTCCATTTTTAATATTTTATTTATATAACAAAATGTATCAGCTGTGCATTTAGATTAGAAAGGCAACATGTACACAAAACATTACTGGAGAATTTAACACTTGATTTTTCATTTTCTATATGTGGAAATCCATGTTTTATCATTTGCAACATTTCAAAATATTTGTGATTGTGAAGAATATATTGGCAAGTCCTACCAATGAATATATTCTTCACAATTATAAATATTTTGATTCCCAAAATAATCTTGCCATTTTGTCACAACCTATATTGTTAGTACCTCAACTGAAATACTCGATTCTGATTGGTTGATTAGCGGTCAACAATATGCACTGTTGACCGCTACTAGATACTGTTGACCGCTACTTTTGAAAAAAGTTCCATGACGTCATAATATTGTAAACGTTGATGAAAGTGATTTTTTGAGTTTACTAGACGACAAGAATGGCAAAAATGCAAATAGAAACGTAAAATCAACATTAATTTACTAATGACTCTACCGTGATGTGCCGAATATAGAGAGTTTAGCTACCACTATCTTCAGAATTTCTAAAAAAATATTGCTGACGTGGTTCGGAGAAAAGATTATGAAATGAAGCCATGCCGATTGATGATTGCCGTCTATATGATTGTGTATTACTAGTTTCTTCGGACTAACAAAACAATTGTAGACCTCTCCATTCGGTCAACCGTCAAAATCGTATACCTCGACTGTAAACCTTGAAACTACTGTTGACCTCGACCTTCGGTCTCTGTCAACAGTAGTTTCTCAGTTTACAGTCTCGGTATACAATTTTGCCGGTTGACCTCTGGAGAGGTCAACAATTGTATACTGTACTTCTGATTCTGGCTCTCACTTACCCTTCTTTCTTCCCACACACGCACAGAGCTAACGCTATCACAATCACCATGGAAGCACAAATGGTTGATATGGCAACAAATAACATCCCTGCTTCACTGCCAGGCAGGAAGTCTGCAGTTGCTTGGTAGGCCTCATCAAGGGAAAGCAGCCTGCGCTGTTGGAACCCTGACTCCATTCCTGAAACACGTAAAAACATGACATTAAAGCAAACAGCAGGTTTTACAACCAGGTGTGAAAATTTTACTTAAAACTGAACAGACTACAATAATTCTTCTGATAAAAACGATAAATGGCAAAACTTTTAATAAGATTTTACATATTTTGGGTTCTGACCCGCCTCCCTCAACTAGTTTTATAATGGTACAATAGTGTAAGAGATTCGTTAGCAACAGACCTCAGACAACTGGAAACTTTCTTCAGTTGTTTATCCTGCTGTTTTGAGGGATCCATAGCAACTGTTTCAAAGTTATTTCTAATTATTTCGCCTCTTGTTTTCAAATTCACATTTCCTGTCAGGCCCGTAGCCAGGATTTGCCAAGGGGGGTTCACTTTTTGAAAAATTCCAGGGGGAGTTCACTTGTGACAATTCTGGTTCAAAAATGGCCAAGATCACTTAAAAAGTGCTCAGAATGGTGAAAACTGCATGATTTTGAAAGATTTTTTGGCCAGGGGGGGTTCGCTCGAACCCATCGACCCCCCCCCCCCCCCCCCGGCTACGGGCCTGCCTTTTGTCATAAATTCTAATGAAACCCTTTGTAATTGATTGTAATATACTAAAGCAGTATATCCAGGGACTGCAATCAGCCCCTCCCCACTGGAGGATCTGCCCCCCCTCTTGTTGGTTCCCAGATCCGCCCCTGCTCCCTCGTCCTCCTTCTTCATGTCATGGAATGTAACATTTAGCTCGACAATTTTCAATGATTATGAAAACCTGATCATATTAACAATCATGGTATCAGATACTCAGGCAACACCCTTTACAAGCTGGTATAAATAACATTGCATGATGATCGTATTGTTTTCTAGAATGAGTCTTGAGGCCTTCCACGAAGCACAAATGGCAATATTTTAAGAAAGCAAGCATACATACAATGTAACACTGAAAAACACAACTGGTGATGATGGATCATAAATTCAAGTAAAGTAATAAGAGAGCAATCACATTGATGTGTTAACAATCTATGACTTTAGGATTTTATTCTGAACTGTATTCTTAAGTGAATCAATGAAATGAAAAAAAATGACATCATACGTCTAAAAGAGAACATACCTTAAAGTGAACAATGCTAGATCTGAATAAAACTGTTCAAGTGTTCACATTCCAAGGTGTTAGCATTATTGATTCAGTGGTGTTTATCTGAATAAGAGCCTTTTTAACGACCAATATGTAATCTGTATCTACATGGAGGTATAAATATTTATTAATTGTCAGATGTTTCCCGTTCAGCTTTCCAGAAAGTTTATCATTGCACATTACAGTTTACGTCTCAGATAGACCCATATAAATGTATGCAAGCTTAATTCTGTTCTGTAATTAGATTCACTGGGAGGTGTTTAATTGAATTATGCTGGCATGTAACATGAACCAATGCCAAAACATCCAAATTCCATAAATGTTCCACACAGAGACCTGTTTAGCATATGGTCCTATTCTAACAATAGCAGATACATATTCTCCACCAAGCGCAATAACAGTGCCCCCTTTTGTCTTGGTCTTTCCAAAGTGGGCTAAACCATTCTCGCAAATGACAGATAAGAGGGGGGGGGGGTGTTGTAAACCAGAATGATTCTCCACCCAATAATATAACAGACACAAAAGTCATCACGCTGCAATAGAACTGATCCTGATGATGATCATTGGATTAAATAGGTATTTCTATAAAATACTGTATAACATGTATTAAATCCGGGTGCTTTATTTTCCGAATTGGATTAAAATTGTTATTGCCGAATAAAAGTTTGCCGACCTGACACCCCTAAATGCAAAGCCAAATAAAATATTGCTAAGCTGACACCTCTAATATAATTTTGATTTACAACTGAATTTTAATCACCTTCATTTTACTGACTCAGAAAACCTGACATCCTGACATTATGAGTGACATTTGAGTGATTTTAACTTTTAATATCGGGATTAAAAACTTTTAATATCGGGATTAAAAACTTTTAATACTGGGATTTCCAAAGCACTTGGATACAATTAGATTCTGACATTTTAACTTTTTAACATGACTTTTTATTGTAATTTCATGCTGGGGAATAAAGCTTCGATTTTATTGTATTTTATTTATGATTTTTGTTAAAGTATAGTAAGTTGATACTTGTTAGAAAATTACCCTATTAAAGTAAGTTGACACACATTAGACAACTACCATATTATCGCCCACAAAGATTGATCTTCAATTACTTAATTATATTTCTGAATTTTATGTTGCCGTTTCTGTTTTACATTCGGCAATCGGCAACTTTATATCCACAGCAATATTTCATGTTATACAGTACCCAAACCAAGGACATTGTAGAGATCCTTCAACAATTTAATTTGCGATAGAATATTACAGTAGAACGATTCATGATATTCCTTTGTTTTCCAAGCAACCATCATTTGTGTTTCTAATAGCACCCCTTCACCTTTTATATGGTACGACCAATGGGCTCTGATGTTAAGTCTGTATATTCTAACAAACATGATATTTTGATGAATTCTCAAAAAAGGTTTAAAATTGGTTCTCAATTGGACAAATGATATAAATTATCTGCGTGGACTCCTCCCTATAAAATGGATCCGAGTGTGCATTAGGTTAAAAAATGGCAGTTTTCATTTGTCCGGAAGACTTTTGGTTATAGATGAAGGGACAAATGTCAAGGACAGGCAAAATTGTTTGATAACGACCATGTTATATATTTGGTCTTATAGCATCTGGGGGATGGCCTGTAAACACCCTTCTAAGATATATGGTCTTTATCAATAATTAAACTGATCATCAGTTCTCTATACTCAATATTAAGAATGTTATCTTTCAACTTCAACTTTGGTTTATAACTAATTAGGTTATAAATATATAAATCAAATACTCATTTAACATAGACTAACATGATTCCAATGAAGTGTCCAGAGCTCATATAATAAAAATGGTTCCAATATATGTATATGCATAAAGTAGACTTTGGATGTTAAGCGCATATAACCTTTATCTATTTGTAACCCTCAAAAACCTGTTTTATTCAGTATGTGTACTGTATGTATCATTTGCATTGAAGGAACATGATGAATATGTGAATTAATTTTTTTAATATTCTAAAGCTTCACAAGAAATTTCAACAACAAAGTTTCTGGATCCTCTGGAATATTTATGTGATTATGCGTTAAACTTTAAGTGAATTCACGATTTCAATTTTCAACAATTTTGCTTTTTATTTCATGAAAAGAGGACGGAAAGTGTCGCAACAGATATCATGCAATCATATGGATTTTGGCTATTTTCTGAGGATTTAAACAGGTGCATATGTTAGGCCAATAAATTACCTCCAGGAAAACTACTCATAGAGATCATAAAATAATTTCGACTTTGAGACAGGAAAGATGCAAACAGCCCACCCACATGTTTTTTCTGAAATGTTGTCCTGATTTTCAACCCCTTCCATCCCTGCTTTTTCAATTTTTGTTGCATCAAAATGTTGCATTTTGACACACAGTTAACAAATAGCATTGTTTTAGGAATAAGTGATTCCTTCAGGGGTTTTAAGAATATCCATTATGGTTGACCAAAATTAAGCTGAAAGCAATGGATCACATGAGTTTTTTATTTTAAGGACAGGTAGAAAATGTCATACTTTTTTTCCTTGTCTACCTTCACAAATTTTGATGATTTCATGTCAAAGCGGGAAATTCCTTCTCAGCTTATAAAATGTTTACTTTTTACAAATTAATATTTGTATAACAGAAATATGCGAGCTACCCATTTACTGTGATAACATGACTTGAATTAGAAGTTAGGTGATGATATCTTCAGGGATTTCCACTTCTTTTTATCAAGAATTGCGACTTTTATTGACCATATATACTCACGCGGTCCTAACTTCGACTGTTAATTTGAATTTTTGACCTACCGGATGTTTGAAAATCAAGGATTACGAGTCTCATTCTGCAACGTTTTTCTTCAAACTTGTTCCATTCAAAGCATTTCAAAAATCCCTTTCTGATGGCACATTATTCTCTTAAACAGAGTCCCTACTTCCAGTGGCATTTTGGTCCCCAGCTGTAAGAAGGCCTTCTAACAGCTGGGGACCAAAACGCTGCTAGAACGAGGGACTCTTTACAATAAAGTAATGCACCGACAGAAAGGCAATTTAGTTTTGCTTTTAATCGTATAAGTTTGAAGAAAAACGGTCCAGTATGAGACTCGCAATCCTTGATTTTCAAGCATCTGGTAGGTCAAAAATTCAAATTAACGGTCAAAGTTAGTACCGCGTGATTCTGTGTTTTACATATTGTATTGTAAATGTTTTTGAACAGAAAATGAGTATTCCTGGGAATATCACAGACCTCTAGTCTGAAATCTTTTTGAAATTTGAAATGAAAATATTCAGACTATAGCCCACATATGTTAAAATTTGGGATTGGAAAATTATTTGTTTACATAGGATGTGCCATTCAAAATGACCAATGGAGTAAATTAATTTGCATATTTGTTACTAGAGGTGTTACAGTCTTGGGGGAAGCCATGTTTTTTTATCGCATGGATCGAGATCTCGCAAGATTTTATTTTTCCAGAAATCAAACAAATGGCGGAAACGGAAATTCTACTTCTAATAAGTAAGTGTCGAAGTTACCCCGTCATTTATGTCGACTTAATCCCACCAGTCGACGTTACACCTCTTTGCCCTAGTCTAGTAATTCTTTATGTTCCCAACTGTAGCTATCAGTCCATAGTCAGCATAATCTATCTAATATCTAACATAACATAATGAATAATGAAGATTGATGGTGCTCACTGTGTATCAGTCCTACAAAATAATCTTTCCGACATCTATGTAGACGGTGAACACCGCCTCTAATGCGTTGGATTGTCGTAAGGCCAACAAGATCCTCAGAGACCCAGAGGGTGCATGAATGCACCTAACATCTATGAAGCCTATTTGTGACTGTATCAGATCTTGCATGTTACATTAGCCCAAAAATCAGATAGATAAATGGCGGCCTATACTTGTATATTTGTTTTCATTTTCGATTTTGATTATTTCTTGGAAGTTCAAGTTGAAGTTGAAAGAGGAAGTGAAAATATGGTTCCAAAATTACTCGAATGCAGCGGTACACCTAAGAAAGGGATTAAATTGGAATGTATAAAACGTATAACTCACCAGAATGTGTACAGTGGTGTCCTTTATCTTATGAAGTACATTGTAATATCCTTGATCGATTAAAATCTTGAAAGGAGAGATGAAAATTGTTCATCTTTCAATGACCTAGTTTCTAAATTGGGATAAGATGTTTTCGTACTTTAGGCCTACAATATACTTGATACTTGAAGTTATATTTATATAAAGTATAATGCAAATAAATAGTAAGAATAATAAACGAACTCATAATTATGCCAAAAGATAATCTTCGTAAATAATATAACGACGAAATACGTAATTGTATCGCTACCTAAAATCCATAAAAGGAAAGTGATGTCACTCTCTTCTCTTTTGATTGGCCAATCATTACTCATTTGCTATATTTGGATTCATTGATGAAATTTTTACTATAAAGCTTGGTGTCGTAGTAATTTCATCAGACACGAATAATTATGAAAAGAACCCATACGATCACGCCTTGAATTATAAATCTACCACTGAACCAAACAGGCGAATCTACCACTGAACCACACAGGCAAAGACAACAGCTATAATGGCACATATAATGACACGGAAAACAATGAACAATGCAGCAACGAAAACGACACATCGAAAACACCATCGGCGGTCGGGGTCCCGGGGGTCGGGGTTCACGACAACACAAAAGGAACATTCCGGGGAAAGTGACCATTACATCTCCCCTAAATTCCAGCCTCAAAAACAAGAAAAATGCGTTCTCAAAAACTGCAACAAGTCCCCAAAGTTGCCTCAAAAGCAAATTGGAGACATTCACCCCCAAAACTGGGCAAAAAACTAAAAGTGTAAATATTTACATTGGTGAAAACTTTTCAGTGAGATTAAATGAATATTTCAAATTAATCAAATGTATCAATGATAACAAAGAAGGAGGACTGATACAATACGAATATGATCCTTTTCGCAGAGTAAGGAACATGAAATTATCAGAACATGCTCAGAAGTTGCAGGATGTCCCAAATGCTGGAGGAAGTTCTGTTATATCTGAAGTTATGTCATACGAGGTGCTCAAAAGATGCTTCGGTGCAAAACTATTGAAGGTAAGATTAAAAGATGTGATCAGGCATCAGGGGCTGAGCCAGCAAATTTCAAGCGGGTGTGATTTTTTAGGTTTATATCAGTGCGAGCGAAGCGACAGAAGGAGAGCTGTAGGGTACGTTGCATTGGTCCACCTCTGAGAATCATTTAAAATCAACATTGTTTATTTGGCTTTCCAAGCATTTCAAACTAAAATTTTGATAATGTTTTTTTTCAACAAAATTGCTTTTGCCAAATTAGATAACAATTTTTAATGACCATCTTTCCATGATTAATGAGAATATGAGAGAGTACATGTACATGTGCGTTGTAGAAAGGCTTTGATTATAATATTTCTCGGTCACTTGTCTTCGGCATGTAATGTATGTAAATCAAGTCTTAATCCAATCCACTAATAATGAATAATTGTATTATAACTAATTTACTGAATTTCAGACTGAGATGGAGGTGTCATACTTCCCTGAGGGTGGGTCTATCACAGATTATGTGTGTGAGATGTTCTCAACGAGGTTAGGTGTATCGGTCACCAGAGCAATGAAATACAGAGGGGAGTACACAGATGAGGACGCCGAGAAATTGTTGGTCAAGAAATTAACAGGTGGGGTGACATGATGTTTTGCTTTGATTGATAGATCTTGATAGATTGTAACTCATTAATCTTAGATTAATACCGTAATCTTTTAGGTAAATACATAAAAACATGCAACTATAAAAGTCCATGATGTAACTAATCGATGCCTTAAAATTATTAAAATGTACTTATTTTATGAGGTATCTGAAAGTTTTCATTGTTTTGTTACAGGTGTGATCCAAGCCACACAAAATTCTTTGGAGAATTGGTCGAAACAAATTTTACACGTCTGGGCTACTTCGACAAATGTGGCAAACACAATAATAAAGACTTATCACAAATTACCCGAACATATCAAATGTAACACGGTTGTTATAGTGACCATAGCCCACAATTCACCTGAGATTTTCTTCAATATGTAAGCAAATCTGAATTCATGGAATCGGAATCATTAAAATATTTTGCACTGTTGATAATTATTTTATTATTTATATTGTAATGTATTAACTACATGTAATTTTGTTTATGTTTATATTTATGTTTTTGTAAAAGCGGCGTCGGCAGAATTCTTTTAATAATATAATGGATTTTTTCAAGTATCATGGATATTGCTTTCTCCGTACGTCCATGTTGTAACGAAGCTTCAGTATTTATACTCTTAGTCTTACATTTTTATTTTTATACACATATTTTTCTGTATTATGATGAATAAAGTTTTAATGCCCATTGTACTGTACTTGGTTAAGTTTATTGTTTTTATCAGACTGGCTACAATCCTATCCCCTTGACTTATTAAAATGCAAGTAATATGATAAAATATAATTATCACTTATGATATTGGTAGTATAATACCACATACTTGGGACAGGGATGATATCAGAGATGATATAAGGATAAGAGAGATGATATCAGGGATGATATTGATATAATCACGGGTAAAGGTCCATTTGCAGTATGACAAGTAATTTTAGACAGTCATACTTTCACCATGAGTACTTTCTGAGCATAAATGCAATGGTTTTTATTAAGGCAGTATGTTTTTTCAAGTGAAATGCCCACAATGATAAAAATATTAATCGAACAATTCAAAGAATTATGAATTCGGACCACATGTCAACAATTTATCAAAATGTTGAACCTATTAACTCAAAAGAGGATCTTCTTTTTCTAATTTTTATCGCATGAAAAGATTATTCAACAAGGGGTCTAAAACTTCTTCAAAAGTAGAATGGTATTGAAAGTGATCTAGTGAAGATATCAATTTTTGATGACCAAAATCATGCTGAAAACAATAGATAGCACTACTTTTCTCTATGTGAAATTTACATGGGATATGTGGTTTTTAACTTTCACGCATTTCAGTAATCAGTACCCATCCCCTTTTCAGAAACGTTCAGTATGTTTAAATTGAGAAAAACAAGATCCTCTTTTTAGAAAATAAGCCAAACAATTTTAAAAAAGAGCCAAGGTGGGGTCCTAAACCATAATTTTTCAGATAGTTGGATTGATATTTTAGTAGTATGGTGACTTCACTTGAAAGAAAACATATAGTCTTAATAGAAACCACTGCATTTGTGGCCAGAAAGTGCTCAAGGTAAAAGATATGACCGTCTAAAATCACTTCCCATACTGCACATGCACCTTTGAAAATTTTACATTTTTTTCCAAAAAGTTAATTATTTAGTTGAAAAATAATTTTGATTTTTCAATTTTTTTTAAGTTTTATGTTTTTCTTTTTCTTAAATTCTCAATGCACGTTAGGGCGGGATAATATGTAACTTAAATGTTTCTAAGAGTTAAACATATTTTTCTCTTGTTCAACAGAGGACTTTATAACTAGGTACTAGCTATTGCTCTTGACCATGGTATAAGCCGGGATAAATTAAGGTCGTTATTCACATGTCGAATATGATATCGAATCCCATCTTGTAAAAATTAAGGTCGTTATTTACATGTCGAATATGATATCGAATCCCGTCTTGTAAATAACTTCTTTATATCAACCGTCACATTATTGATATTTCTACAGATACTCGTAAAGTAATAACGTTGTATTCTACAGGTCGTTAAATCGTTTTCAGGATTAATATATTGATTTCATTGCTAAAAAGTTACAAAGAAACAATAAACCATTACAGTCACAAAACATGTGAATCTTAAAAACAAAAGAAAAAACAAATGAAAAATAAAGAAAAGAAAGCTTCTGGAGATGCCGGGGTTCGAACCCGGGGCCTCGTACATGCAAAGCACGCGCTCTACCGCTGAGCTACATCCCCGATCGCTGAATGATCGAGTGAATTCTAGCAACTTATAAAAGTCCACAAACATTGATACTAGCGACATCTTCTAACTGATAAATTTTTATATATTCATAGAGTAGCAATATTTACACAATGCAAGGCCAGAGTGATTTTTGAATAGCAGCTACACGTCGCACGAAACTGGGGACAATTGTCAATTAGCGTAACATCATGGCGTCAAAATACCATTTAACAAAATAATGGGCAGTAGGTTATAGGGCGCAAGTTCAGCCTTATAACGTCAACAGTGGCGTAGCGTCATATACGCATAAAACGCCATAGCGTACTCTCAAAGTTTAGAGAAACGTGAATTTTTGATATTGAAATGACCCACGTTTAATATTCTGAAGTAATGGCCTAACATTTTATTAATCCATATCATTTTTTCGTAGTCGGAATTTCGTATTTAAAACGCCCCCGGCAGAACGCTTCAAATGCAATCTAATTTTTTCAAACTTTCTTGGGGGAAAGAACCCGCCCCCTCAAAGCTCGTTCGCTTCGCTCACTCGTGGCGTACACTCAGTCATAAAATACCCACGCTACGCCAAAGACAAGCGTTACATTTTGTCACGTTTAGTCAACCTAAAGATAAGATATTTTATTCTTATTCAATCCTAAGATCTCGAGGACAATATTTCTAAAATGTTTTTGATTTTTGAAAACTAAACGGTCAGGATATCCACTCGGGGCGTTAGTAAAAATTGATATGTATGGAATTTGTAGTAAAAAATCGATGCGTTGACATTTTTCAACTTCTCTAAAAGCAGCTCTTATTGATATTATTTGAAATAAAAGAAATCGGTTATTGTTTTGTAAATTTCGCCATGACAATATTGTGCGGTTAATTTTTGTTTTAATCAGACCTAAATAAGAAGGTTAAATAAAGGTCAACTTATTGCTAGTCTCCTTCGCCTTCAAAGCCTTACACCGAATTTTGAAATTTTTTAAAGCGTTCATATTTTAGAAAATTTAAACTTGTATCCTTTATGCAATTGTGACGTCATAAATGCGCATGTTCTATTGAATAAAATTTGAATAAAATTCTGATCAGTATTTCAAAAGTTATGTCGATTTCAACGAACCGTGTAAGCGTGAAATGTTACGTTTTACAGCGTATTTGACGATGTCGGGGTACAATTAACTTTAAAAATATGGTAGATCCCATTAAACTTTTCAAGGAAAAATAATTTCAGTCAGAAATGCAAATAAAAAATACTTCAAAATGATATATAAAGCACACAGTTAGCTTTTTAAATAAGGCAGATATTACCGCTTAAAGAGCTGAGATTAGCCCGTATTTCCCGAATTGTCCCCAGGTCCGTGCACGTCATATGATTGCGTATTTCACGGCATCCGTGTGAAACTAATATAGCATAAGGTTTCAGTTTATAGCTACCAGTACTTTATATTCCTGTATGATGTATCCTATGGTAGGCCTAAGCCTAACATTAAATGAGCACACCATTAACTATCCCTTTGATCAGCTTATGTTACCACAGCACTTATCTATCATAACCATGGCGAAATGTTAAAACAAAAAACTGAAATCTGCACATTTTATGACTACAGGGTGTCCCGAAAGTATGCCCCCCCCCCTAGGCAGACATATACCAGTGACCTCATAGAATGTATCATATATCATTTTAAAGCTTATCCAAAGTTACATTGATTTGCCAAGTATCATGGTTTAACTCCCAAATGGGAAAAAGTTACAGTCATTTTAAAAGTTAGTGTTTTGCCAAAATAAAGTTCAATTTTACACCACATTACTAGTCAATGAATCCCCCCTTGGCCATGTTAACAGCAGCAATTCTTTTCAGATATGACCTTAAAAGCCCTTCAAATAGGGGTGTGGAATTTTATAACCGTTTTAAAACCTGTTAAGGCACTTTAGAAGAGTTTCCTTAGAGTTTCTACCCTCACCGTTCTCTTTTTCTAACTCAATATCCATCCGATCCGAAAAGAATTGCTGCTGTTAAGATGGCCCGGGAGGACACATTGACTAGTGATTTGGTGTAAAATTGAACTTAATTTTGACCAAACACCAAATTTTGAAATGCCTGTCATTTTTTCACATTTGGGAGTTGAAACATGATACTTGGCGAATCAATGTAACCTTGGATAAGCTTTAAAATGATATATGACACATACTATGACGACACTGTTATATGTCTGCCTAGGGGGGGCATACTTTCGGGACACCCTGTACTGCAAGATTCAGCTAACTAGCCGAACACCATTGTGCATCAACCCTTCGGTATGTACTCCTTGACTAGCTTCATGAGACCTAGGCTTACTCTCATCACACCCCGCACTGCATTGGGGCGCCACCGCTTTTCACATCCTCTTGAACACATGACCCCCGCGCCGACCATTGCAATAGAATTGACTTCATGACCCTTGAAGGGAGAATGACTTCTTGTATTTTATGATTGGTCATTGGACACCAAGATTGGAATATTTGGATATTATTTTTCCACTGAACATTCATATTCACGAAACATGCTGCCATTTTTGAGCAAATATGAGACAAAATGATGAATTAAGCTTATGTATTTGCGTCACTCATTTTATGAACGCATATAGGCTTAATATCAATATATTAAGAGATGTTCAAAAAATATTTCTTTGTATGTCAGAATTTTCCCTAGTTTTCAAATATGTAACTAATCTTTGATAAAACTGAAAATTAAAAAAGTTATCAAAGAAAAAGCGACCCTTGAACAATTCTGTCCGGGCTACTTTGTAATCCCTTCATGGATAAATTGTGTGTTTTAAAAATATTTGAATATGTGAGTGATGCCCACCATCCCTTGTGATTTCTTGGAAGCACGGACATGGGCAGGTCCAATTCCACCTACCCTGCGTGCAGAGTCTAGTTAAACTAAAGACGAAGCTCTCTTTTAAGAAGTGAAGTCAAACGAATGCAAAGGGTAAATTCCATCTGGTTGCACTAACATTTGTTTCACATGTCTTACGATTTAATATTTGAAACACAAATATTATTCGATGATCAAACAAAAGCATGATGTTAAGTACACATCAATGATCATACATTGTCCGATCATAAGTTCGATTAATATTTGTGTTTCAAATATGTTGTAAATTTTCTCTTGAAAAAATAAATCTTCCAAATTTGTTGAGCGTTGTAGAAATTGCCTAATCCCTCTCCATCATTTTTGTACAGTCACCGGGCGTGTCTTAGTTTTTCAAAGAAATCTACAAAATTCCAATTGCAGTTTTGTCGTATTTTCGATCAAGGTCATTGCTTTTCAAACGTGTTTCCTTGGCATATCCAAAGGTTATGTTATTCTCATATTCATTCAGAACTATATGTGACTGTCATCCACCCTTTATTAAGTAGTAAAAATAATTTGCAAAATGGGTGACAAAATCTTTGTTGTTTCCTACTTATTGTCGAGTCTCGCATCATGCGATTGTATTTTGTGCGATCTGTCTGCATGGTGTGAATATGCTTGTGCTGCGTGCACCTTAATTACAATTTAGCAAGTTTCCTTATATGTGGTTTTATCTAAACCTATCTAAAATGCTTCTCATTTGTAATTAACAATGACCGAGCGAATTTAACCTTCGTCACATATTAACAAAATGGCATATGAGATAGTGATAGTGATTGCCATTGATGAGGGAAATAGTGCAAAATATTTTTCGCAAGGGAATATCCTGTCCACTGACATGTTCCCGAGGCTGCAGGTCGAGGGAGCATGCGAGGGGAACATTTTTACACTATTTCCGAAAATGTGGCAGTCACTATTTGTTTTATCATATACCCCATATGTACTCTGTAAACAAAAAAACAAAAATCAACATTCTTTTAAATTCAGCTAACACCCCAGTCACATTTCCTACGGCGACCTTGCGGTCTATCATTTCTGCGGCCAGTAGCTTTTCTACGCTCGCCGCAGAATTTCTGCGCTCTCATACTTTTGCAGTCACATTTCCCACGGCAGCCGCACGGTGAATTTTAAATTTCTGTCGATAAATAATACTTTTTTCATTTTATTTACATCAGGACAATTTAAAAATGTTATTCATAGTGCTAGGATGTAATATCAAATGAAAAGTGATCGTGAAACATTGATAAATAAGGATTCAATCTTGTTGAGCCAGTTGATTTCTACGGGGACCTCAGAAATGAACGAATATTATAACTCCGAGTTATAATTTCTACGCCTTCCCTGCGGCCTGTAAAAATCTGCATTCGCCGTACGGAGGCCGCAAGGCGAGCGTAGTTTTTCTACGCTCGCCGCAGAAATTCACCGATTTAATTGATCTGCGGTCGACTTGCGGCCGCCGTGCGACAAATGTGACTGGGGTGTTACAGAGAAGATAAAATGTACTAATGTACATCATCTGCGGCACAAAAATATAAGGACTTTATAGTTCGCTAGGATGTTTCCTTTCTAAAATGTTATTTGAACTAGTACTCTGCAGCTCTACGGTCTAGCACCACTCCAACGAACACTATGAATCTGTATATGTCAGAATGTACCATTTACTGACCGTGCATGCAGAGTCTAGTTATAAACTGAGAGACAAAGCTCTCTTGTAAGAAGCGTAGTCAAGCGAATGCAAAGCGTACCATTCACCATACCCTTAATTTAATAGACTAGATGCGATTTACGTCATTAAATATTCAAAATTCAGTCAAAGTTATGTTATATTTGAAATCTACATGTAAAAGTACATCTAGAAATGTGGTTTCATTTCGAAAATTTTTATTTTGAAAATTTAATTTTTTGAAAGTGTGACTTCTAGTTCGGTTTGATTCCCCATAGACCTTTACATGTTACAAAATCACAAAAAGTGAAATATCTTTTCTTGTAATAGACAGATAACATTTTCTTTTACTGGACATATTATAATTTCCATAACTATTAGATACATAAGGGTTATATAAAAATTGAACCACTGAAAGGAATGTGATTTAATTTAAATGAAACTTTCTTCTATACCCGCCATGCTATCTGACCCGAACGAGCCACCTGGTGGTGAAACTGGTAACTACCTACTCGCATTTGCGTGATTGGCAGATTTTAAAAGGCATATATACAATAAGCTCAGAATTTCCACCGATTAAATCATTTGGGTGACCATTTAATTAGGAGTTTCAAAGTCAAATGTATAATGTAGCCATACTTTGGAGAGATCTCAAAATAATAGCAAATTCCTACTCTCGGCAGCCATTTTGAATTTTGTTAGGCACAAATCAGTAAAATACCACAAATGTGATTTACTCTAAAATTCCTTCAATTTGAGTATAATATAGCCATACTTTGAAGAGATAGGAAAATTATTGCAAAATTCCACAATGAGCGGCCATTTTGAATTGTACGATGGATGGTGCGGATTAACGGTCATTTTTGAGTTCAATGTGATATTTCTGAAACTAAGCCAGTTCGGGGTCTTCAAATAAATTGACACCTAATATCAATAAAATTGTGAAAATAGTGATGTAATTCATGCAATAGCGACGCAGTATGCAATTAAACCCCTCCCAGACCTATATATTTTGAAATTGTCATATGTTTTGCTGTGGAAATTTTCTATTTGCATTATATGGTTAAGATTCACATGAAATATGAATTTCTTCCAGTTCTTCAATTATTGTGTCATTGCTCTGGCTGTGCTTGCGTCACATGCTGCAGTGCCCTTCAGTGGACTAAATATGTTCTTGACAGATTCCGGCCATTCTAGCGCAATCGTACGCAAGGCAGCTGACGGCTCATTGCAGGCTTTTTCAAGCTCTGGGATCGTGTCTGAAATATAAAAATATTCTAATAACAATTTATGAACACAGAACATTACGTAGAAATAATTCACTAGACGTTTTCTATAAGATGCTCATATTTCTGGTGTGTAAAAGAAAATTGTAGCCAGTGATACAATCAATGTCTTACGAATCACAACATCCATTTTTACAGTAGGGTACAAAAGTATTAGTTAATAAATTATCTAAAAGTCATATTATGTCAATCACATATACCGTTTGAGTTTTTTTCAGCAGTTCAAATAATTTGTAACCCCCAAAAATAATATAATATGAGTAAAGGGCATGTTCTGGCGCAGCTTTTGTTATATTATTATTAACTATGTACGTCGGTAATTGGACAATGGTATTTGAGGATACAAAATTTGACCAATTGTATATTGATTTTGTAGCTCTGTCTCTGTCAGGGTGGGATATGATACATATTAAATTGTAATTTTCATACTGATTTGCCATTGGTTGATGAATTCATCACACACGTCTGTGACTATTGAACCACTATCAGCAAGGACCTCAGTTGTGCGATTTTGCGCCGCTATAAAAATGTTGTCCTCTGCTTTCAGCATACAGCTACGTTCAGCTGGAGAGAGATCTATAACATAGCACATATAACATAATCATTATTACCAAAAATGGAAACTCAAATCTGAAACTCTGGTATAAGATATAGATTTTATCTGATATTTTAAGAAAAGAAGATTTATGTCCTCGTTTTTTGATTGTGTAAGTTATATAATATTTTAGGGTTCTTTAGGACGAGAACGACGCCATTAGTCACACTTGTGAATAACCTTTAAAAATACGGACGTGTGATTGAAACGATGCATGGAAAGTTTTAAAAAATCAGGGACCTAGTTTTGATATATTATATGTAAAAAATATCATGCAACAGTAAAATTCCAGCAGTCAAAATCAGAAGTATTTGAAAACTAGATATAGAGAAGCTCCATCCATTCACAAAGTACTATCTCATCACTAGTATTTAAAAGCTCATAAGTGCTTTTTTCTTACCTTCTCTCGCCTGCTTCATTTCATTCATCTTATTAACACTACCTGAAATAAATATCAAATACTTTATACGTTAAACGGGTCCCGGCTGACAGTAAACTCCTAATTCTATGTCCCTCATCATAATTTAGAAGTTGGGAGTACTTTTTGAACGACGCGCGGTGTTTTTATGTTTAAACGGTGCAGACCTTTTGGATCAACTCACGTATATCTTGGACCTACTGTAGTCGATACGTTGTATGGTTGTATCATAATGTTTAACAGAGGAGCTGTGTGAAATAAAGACTTACTTGGTGTCAGATATTTTAAAATTTTCTCATCCACATTCAGACCGGGACATTCCTGTTCATTCTCTTTTATATTGATTCCCCAATAGAGCAGCTGTAATTGTATCATGTCTGCAGACGTGTCATCACCGCAAGAGGCAAGGGCAGCACTCCAACCATTAACTTCGGCCTGAATTAGATTGTGATGATAAATTCATTTAGGTGTTTACCCCTTATCGATAGAATATGAGGGACAATTTACGATAATTGATGTTTTAGAAATCTGTTGACGTTGTACTAGAGACTGCGACATATGTTGATTTCCTGGACATGCAATGTATTTTTTGTTGACCAGACTTTAAGCAATAACCACGAGGTACGTGTTTGGAATATTCCTTATCTTTTTAAAAAAGATCACTTTAATGATGGATTTTTAGACAATTAAGAAATATTTTATGTTTTCGGCAAATATAAACTCGGATTTCTTAACCTAATTAAAATGTATCGATTGCACTGATATTTTTGAGCATGTTAATAAAATGTATGTGCTACCAACTCTTGTAAGCGGGATGTTTGATATATGTCTTAGTCACATAATTAAGTGTGTTTTACTATATGTATACGACTTGTCAAATATTTGTATCCTCCAACACATAGGCCATATTTATATACACTATTGATGCATTATTTTGGTGAAAGATATGCCAGAAGGTACATTTTGATGACATATCTTCGATTGCAGACAATGGAGATATATGCTTGAGTGTCGTGAATTCAAGTTAGGCTGTCCAATATTTTGTATCCTCCAAACATTAAAATATCATATTTGGGAAAAAATATTTTTAGATTATTATTTTGAGAAATGAAAGTACTTAATAAAACTGTTTAGATCGTCGTTATTTAATTTTTGAATTATTTGAACTGACTTTGTAAAACCTTATTAAGCGTATGTTGGAGGATACAAAATTACTTTAAAATTATGTGAAATATAAACGTACGATCAAAAGTTAGTTGTATGCGTATTTTTATGTTTATATTTAAATTACAGCAACGAATGAGTCATTGCAAAACCAAGAAACAATATATTATATCTTTGGAAAAAATTTTTTTAGATTATTATTTTGAGAAATGAAAGTACTTAATAAAACTGTTTAGATCGTCATTATTTAATTTTTGAATTATTTGAATTGTCTTTGTAAAACCTTATTAAGCATGTGTTGGAGGATACAAAATTACTTTAAAATTATGTGAAATATAAACGTACGATCAAAAGTTAGTTGTATTCGTATTTTTATGTTTATATTTAAATTACAGCAACGAATGAGTCATTGCCAAACCAAGAAACAATATATTTCACTCTCAGTTTCACATATGATCATGTTATAACTTTGTGGGAAGAGCGATGTATGTAACCTTTACGTACATTTCTATTCAACATGCTATGCTTTCTTTTTATTTCCAATCTGACACATAACCATACAACATTTACCCCAATGATAAATATTGCTTGCACGTCTTGGTCATTGTAAGTGTCAGAATACTTTTATATCGATTCCAATGAAAATGATTGCACCCCCCTGCCCAAACATAAATAATTTCCATGCTAAACCAACACCTGGGGCGACCCCGAAAATTCAGAGGGTGGGAGACGAAAACAAGGCAATAACATGACAAAATGTCACCACCTAGTTGCTCACAATATTATTAGTTCAAACTCAAGTCAGAGTTGAATTTCTGAGAACTTGTAGATAAAAATTGGTCAATTTGAAGCAAGTTGAAAAAGATCTTTTCTGGCCCTGACAAGGTCATTGATGGTGAAATCTGAAGTCTAAAGTCAGATTTGAATCTTCTGAGAACTTGTTGATGTTTTTCAAAAAAGAATTGGTCAATTTGAAGCAAGTTGAAAAAACTCCTTTTTGACCTTGAGAAGGTCAAATATTTTTGGACCTTTAGAATGTCATTCAAGGTCAAATCTATAGTCAGAATTTAACTTTTGAGAACTTCTAGATGAGTTTGAAAAAAGAAGAATGTAACCTTTACGTACATTTCTATTCAACATGCTATGCTTTCTTTTTATTTCCAATCTGACACATAACCATACAACATTTACCCCAATGATAAATATTGCTTGCACGTCTTGGTCATTGTAAGTGCCAGAATACTTTTATATCGATTCCAATGAAAATGATTGCACCCCCCTGCCCAAACATAAATAATTTCCATGCTAAACCAACACCTGGGGCGGCCCCGAAAATTCAGAGGGTGGGAGACGAAAACAAGGCAATAACATGACAAAATGTCACCACCTAGTTGCTCACAATATTTGGACCTTTTCTGGCCCTGACAAGGTCATTGATGGTGAAATCTGAAGTCTAAAGTCAGATTTGAATCTTCTGAGAACTTGTTGATGATTTTCAAAAAAGAATTGGTCAATTTGAAGCAAGTTGAAAAAACTCCTTTTTGACCTTGAGAAGGTCAAATATTTTTGGACCTTTAGAATGTCATTCAAGGTCAAATCTATAGTCAGAATTTAACTTTTGAGAACTTCTAGATGAGTTTGAAAAAAGAATTGGTCAATTTGAAGCAAGTTGAAAAATACCTTTTTGACCCTTTTTGACCTTGAGAAGGTCAATGAAGGTCGAATCTCAAATCTAAAGTCAGACATGAACTTCTGATGATTTGTAGATGATTTGAAAAAAATTGGTCAATTTGAAGCAAGTTGAAAAAAATCTTTTTGACCTGTAACGCTTAATTTGGTACCGACCCTGTGAAAATAGGACCCGGTCCATTCACTTTCAAAATTAAACTAATTGAAAGACTTAACAAATATAATTAAACAAGGCGAAAGGAATATATTACATTAAAATGCCTTACATTTGTATATTATAAAAGAGTCAAAATGAATAAATATTTTGCTTTTCAACATTATTTATAATGTATGATGTTATAAAGTAGGCCATGCCATAGTAAAAGGGGTACTCTTGGAATGATTAATGGAGTCTTATATAAACGTATCCTCCAAATCAGATGTATTGAAGAATTCATTATTATTAGACACCCTCTTCTGGAAAAACCATATTACAAATGAAGCTACAAACTTTGTCCTATAGTGAGAGCATCGGAGAAGAACTGTATGTGTAAAATTGAATGAACGTATCTTGCCCATTTCTTCAATTATCGCTTTTGACATAGGGGTCGTTCAGAATAATTTGCGGCTAATAATTTCAAACGATAACGTTCACTCTATTTACATTTTTATTTTTACAATTTAATACAAATATCCAAGGAAACATGTTTATTGTTTGTTTGACACACACAATAATATCTAACACCCTAGTCACATTTCCCACGGCCGCCGTGCGGTCTATCATTTCTGCGGCCAGTAGCTTTTCTACGCTCGCCGTAGAATTTCTGCGCTTTCATACTTTTGCAGTCACATTTCCCACGGCAGCCGCACGGTGAATTCTAAATTTCTGTTGATAAATAATACTTTTCTTTCATTTTAACTACATCGGGACAATTTATAAATGTTATTCATAATGCTAGGATGTAATATCAAATGAAAAGTGATCATGAAACATTGACAAATAATGATTCAATCTTGTTGAGCCAGTTGATTTCTCAGAAATGAACAAATATTATGACTCCGAGTTATAATTTCTACGGCGACCCTGCGGCCTGTAAAAAACTGGATACGCCGTACGGAGGCCGTAAGGCGAGCGTAGTTTTCCTACGCTCGTCGCAGAAATCCACTGATTTAATTGATCTGCGGTCGACGTACGGCCGCCGTGCGACAAATGTGACTGGGGTGTTATTTGAAATTAAATCAGACTTATTGAACGATTAACGAAAATATGTTAATTTTTTATTCCTTTGAAAATTGCTCAGGTTACGAAATACCAATATAATTCCAATGATGCCGCTTACGAATTTATAAAATATAATGTGTTTATTCTACAATTCAAGAAAAAACCATCGACATATGAATATATTTTTATTTTCGAATTTTGTATTTTTTGAAATATCAATTATCGTAAATTGGCCCATGAATATTTCTTATGTTTCTTGTACTTTCAAAGTTCCAAAAGAATGATAATGCCAGTATCCAAAGCAATTTTTATTTATCACTTTACAATTATTATTTAGTCCGAGTCTTTGGCAGTTTTTATGTTACCACAACAATTGTTAATAGTCACCAGCTTTTTGTGGAAAGTGATCGGCGTTTGGTGTTCGGCGGTTGATGTTTAGTGTTTTACGTCCGGAGTTTGCAACACATATGTTGTTGGTGACTTTTTGCATATTACTGCCTTATGGTTATTCTATTGCTGTTAAAGGCTTGAAGTGGCCGCCGATATCAAGGGATTTTTTATCAATTAGAACTTCTAACTCATTCTTTGTAAATTCTAAATCATTATTTTCGCATTATTAATAGTACTAGAAAAATATTTTGGGCCCCTAAAACCGAAAAGTGGGCCCAAAATTTGAAAATTTGAGGCCCATTTTCTTCAAAATTTAGCCTAATATTAAAAAAATAAGGCCTTAGAAGGCCCAATAATGACCAAAAGGCTCACTTTTTGGCCCCCCCCCCCGGATCCGGCGCCATAGAGATAATTCGGAAGAAAATGAAATGAATTTGATGATCTACATACCTGTTTCGTTGCACAGAAGTCACCAATGACTTCACTTTTAAATCGAGCCAACCACGTTTTTTTCGATTTCCATTATGACTTTCTTTTCACACGATTCAAAATCTGCCACAAAATTAATGTTCAAGGTTATTATACCTCATAGTAGCATTCAATAATGTCCAGCATCTTGGAATTTCAAAACAATATGAATTGAATGAACTCTTAAAGTCTAATAAGTATGATATCTTAGGGGTAGTAGAAACATTCTTTAATGAGTGCAATACTTTAACTATATGTAATGATCAATATAAATTCATTTCCAAGAACAGAGCTGGTAAAGGTGGCGGTGGTATTGGGTTCTTCATTAAAAAGGAGATTACTATCTTAAACGATAATCTATTAGATTCAATGGATGATGATTTTGAAAGGTTATGGATCCAGTGTAAACATTATAACTGTATTTTTAACTATGGTGTAACTTATTTCCCAGTCGATGGTAAAGACAAAGATATTAGTGAAGCACTGACCAATGAGCTCATAAGTAATGTTACCCAACTTGAAAATGGAAATATGCATAATATATTAATGGGAGATTTCAATGGTAAAGTGCCTCAATTCAGAAAGTCATCTAATAGTCCAAATGGTGATTTGATTGAGCTGTTTTCTGAAGTTACCACAATGACAAATCTAAATCTTTCTGTTAAATGTAAGGGGGAAACAACTTGGGCCCGTAATGGTCAGTCCTCCACTATTGATTATATTTTTGTCAATGAACTTTGTGATAATATTTTACAGAGTATGCTGATTGACCAAAACCATGAACACGCTTCCGTAGGTAGCGATCATTCTTTTTTGATCATTGTGATGAAGTTGTCTAATATTAAACCCCACAAACTCAAGCCTCACTTTAAGAATGAGTCACCTTCAGTTAGGTGGAACATATCTGATAATACTGATTGGGACCTTTTTAGAGGTAACATTTACTCTGAATTTATGGAGTGGGATATATCAAACATTAATGACATAGATGAAGCTTGGAATATGTGGAAGTCTAATGTTAAGAACGCTGCCATGAAATCTATCGGAGTTAAGCAATTTCAGATTAATCGCCATGTTTTATGGAATGATGATATTAAAAGTTTAATCAGAAGTAGAAAACAGGCATCGCGCTTTTACCGTTATTGGAGTAGATTAGGGTCATGTGACCCAGATATTCTTCATGAAATGTGGGAACTCTATTTATACCGTAAGCAACAAGTCCAAATTAAGATAAAGGAAGCTCATGTTAAGAACCACATTAAGTTGATCACGAGAAATGCATATAAACGCTCTAAAAGCTCTAAAACTTATTGGAAAACGCTGACCATGTTTAATGCTAATGCCGGGTATCCCATACAGATTAAAAACCCCGACGACACTGACACAATATTAACAGACCCCAAGCAAATTTCAGATGCCCTCATTAAGTACTGGGGTAGTGTTGGTAAAGTTAACAAGAACCCTAAACATGTCACACCTTCCCTTGAGGATAGAATTGATGAGTTAAAGTCAATGTCAAATTTTTCAACCGACTCACTTTTATTTTGCGCTTTTGAATTTGATGACATAACCACATGTATTAAAACTTTGAAAAATGGGAAATCTTGTGGAACAGATCAGATACCGAATGAATTTATGAAAAATGGTGGAGTTGCGCTAATGAAACCATTATTTGACCTTTTTAACAAGGTAAGACTATTGGAGCTGATTCCTAAAGAATGGAAAGAAGGCCTATTAAAACCACTGCACAAAAATAATGATATTGAGAATTTAGATAACTTCAGGGGCCTCACAGTTAATTCTAATGTTTATAAAGTTTTCACTTCTATCATGGAAAGTAAATTAAGGTCATTTTGCGAAAAAAGAAATATCTTTGGGGATACACAAGGTGCCTTCAGATCCAACTTGAGATTGGAAAACCATATATTTGCCTTAAAGGGCCTATGTGGCATAAGAAAGGCAAAGAACAAAAAATCTTTTTTGGCTTTTATTGATATTTCCAAGGCTTTCGACGTGATTGATCGGGATATTTTATTTACGAAATTATGGGAAAAAGGGATACAGGGTAAATTTTGGAGACTCCTGAGGAAAACATATGAAGGTATATCTAATAAGGTGGTTTTTGGAAATTTTTCAACTCCATGGTATGACTCAGAAACAGGTTTAAAACAAGGTTGCTGCCTTTCCCCAACATTATTTTCTATTATAATGACCGACTTATTAAGCTCACTTGAAAAGGAAAACATTTGCTTTGACTTTAAAGGTAAAAAAATTCCATCTTTATTTTTCGCCGATGATATAGTGCTTATGGGCGAGTCTGAGCAGCAATTGAATAAACTTTTAAAAGTAACTGACATTTTTGCAGTTGAATGGGGTTTTAAATTTAATTCGAAAAAATCGAAAGTAATGGTTATAGGGCAAAGAATCAATTATGAGAAAAAATGGATATTAGGGGAACATGAATTGACAGAAGTAAAAGTCTACAAGTATTTGGGTATCTATTTTGACCGTTCTTTGAAGGATACTTACCACATTAAAGACACTTTAAAACCCAAGTCAAGAAGAATTCAAAATATGATTTGCTCTACACTGACAAAGCATTGTAATATGAAAAGAATTGATTTTGGCAATACAATGTATAACGGAATGTTTTTGCCTGCAATACTCCATGGTTGTGGAGTAATGTTACTGAATAAGACCACCGAAAAATATCTTAGCACTATGCAATACAAAATGGCTAAGGCCTTAATGCAACTCAAATGCAACCCTGCAAGAGAATCCCTCCTTGGTGACCTTGGGTGGAGACCAATCTGTGATATTATACATAAACGCCAGATTGATTATTTTATTTATTTAAAAAGTTCCTTGAAGAATGGACTCCATAAAGATATTTTCAATTATTTGCTACATGAGTTTAAGCTTGGTCACAAGGCACCATGGCCTTTTATGGAAAATGTCCACTCAATCCTAACTGAGGTTGGACTTGATGATGTTATATACCGTGACGATACTAACTGGTACACATCTTATTTAAATATTTCAAATGAACAATGGGTAAGATGCTTTAATGAGGCAATATGCGATAAATCATCATTGTCACTATTCAAGACTGTTAAGAACCATACTTTTTTAGAAAATTATCTGAAAACAGGCATGGATTTTTACAGCCAGCATATCAAATTCAGAGCTCGCGCTAAATGTCTGGGCTTGAATACTGATCTTGAAAGGAGGGGACTGTCAGATGGGTTCTGTAGTACTTGCCTCTCAGAAAAAGATACACTTGAACACCGCCTATTTACTTGCCCATCCACAACAACACAACGAAATATGTTTTTTGAAAAGTTTAATAAAGAATGCCCGGATTCAATTGTCAATAGTTTTTTACAACTTTCCATTTCTGAGAAAACACGTTGGATTTTGGGGGATGATGTAGCTATATATTGGGGACAGGACCTAGGTTCTACTTTTGATAAGCTATCAAAAACATTTTTAGTTGATATCAATAAAGAGATATTCAAACATTGATTTTATTCACTTTCACTTTCTGTAATGACAATGAAGATAAAAGTCTATTATCAGTATTGTAATGTATTTTAACAAATATTTTAATGTTTTTTAATGCTGTAATATGTTGTATTTTAATGATATGTCATTCTGCCGCACTGATACTCCTCATGTGCCACTGTTGTAAATAGTGAGAGCAATAAATAATAATAATAACTAGACATGTAAATTGAACAGGTTCAATTTAAGACTCCAGATTTTAAAGCTGAGTCATCCAGAAAACTTGTAAGCTGAGTCATCCAGAATAAGCTGAGTCAGCTAGAATATAGACATTTAGACGACTCTTAAGAATGTTATCTTCGACTCCATTGGCTTAACATGGAGATATCATCAGATCGACTTTTCGAGACTTCAAACCGATATAACTATCTAACCAGAAGTTGGATTGAAATTTGGATTAAAGATTCGGATTCCTGAGGAAATTCTACCCTTAATTCATTACTCATACTTTAAATTTTGAGAACTTTTTATTTTGACCTACTTTTCGGACACCATATCTCAAAAGTTGGTCAAAATACTTTCTGACGGCAAAAGGCTAACACTATTAACTCACTCTTTGCTACCTGTATACAAAATTTTGAAGCAAATAATTAGAGTGTAGCGTCAGAATCTAAAAAATAAGTTAAAACTATAAATTTTACCTAGATTTTGACCTAGGCATTTTGGTGTCCAAATTTTGAAGCTAGATAGCTTTTGAGGTCCGTTTCTTTTATAGGCTTTCATTATTTGAAGCTGTACTTAGTCTATATCTCGTAATTTACACTTCAAAAAAAATCTTTTTTCCCATTGCCATAACGTGGGGCACCAATTTTAGCGATTTTTGAGCTTTCAAAATGCCATAACTTTCGAACCGGAAGTCGGATCGAAATTTAGTTTGCAGATTCGGATTCCTGAAAAAATTCTACCCCTAATTCATAACTCATACGTTAAATTTGGATTTTTTTTATTTTGACCTACTTTTTGGACACGCCATAACTTCCGAACCAGTAGTCAGATCAAAATTTGGTTTGCAGATTCGGATTCCTGAGAAAATTCTACCCTTAATTCCTAACTCATAAGTTAATTTATGAGAAATTTTTATTTTGACCTACTTTACGGACACCATATCTCAAAAGTGGGTAAAAATACTTTCTGACGGCAAAAGGCTAACACTATGAGCACACTCTTTGCTACCTGTATACAAAATTTTGAAGCAAATTATTAAAGTGTAGTGTCAGAATCGTAAAAATAAGGAAAAACTATGAATTTGACCTAGATTTTGACCTAGGCATTTTGGTGTCCAAATTTTGAAGCTATGTAGCTTTTGAGGTCCCCTTGTTTTATAAGCATTCATTATGTTAAGCTGTTCTCAGTCTACATCTTGTATTTTACACTTCGAAAAAGTCTTTTTTCCCATTGACTTAACATAGGCACCAAATTTAGCGATTTTTGAGATTTCAAAACGCAATAACTTCCGAACCGGAAGTCGGATCGAAATTTTGTTTGCAGATTCGGATTCCTGAGATGATTTTACACTTATT